TGAGATCGATGATGACATGTAAACGACTGCAATTAGAATCAGAGCAATGTATTGCTCGATAAGAAAGGGTGCAAGTATGCTTACTGTCAGTAACGTTCCCATCGAGAGGAGCAGTTGGTACACCTTTGATTTATTTGTTGGCATGGGAAATGAGTTGCTTGTTTTTTTGTACAGCTGATAAATTACAGCACGGGAATCACTGCTTTGTTTGATGAAATGGCGGAGTAACGCTCAAAACACCTGTGAATTACAACGTATGCGGTTTAATTCACCATATATACCCCTGAAACACGCTCTGCGCAAAGGAGGAAAAAAAGAAGCACCGCTCGATTGTACACTTTATAAGGTATGATTAACATAAAAATATTATAAAATAGCATTTGCTGCCATTATTTAGCTACAATTCATATAAAACGGCTTTTTATAAACTTAGTTATTGTTTAAGAAACACCATTGCCAAAATTATACTTCTCATAACAATATTAAACTTACCTTTCTGAACAACAATACGTTATTACCTTCTTTGTTCTTGTGCTGCAAGCAGATTGGTTGAGATCAAAAAAATTTATTTTTATTTACAAATCGTGTCCTTGCATGCATCTCTGATGGCAAGTACTGCTGATGCCTTTCAAACACCCCGTATTACAGCACTATCAATTTATTTTTGGAGCGACCCAAAACAGTTTGTGTACCTGATAGGGAGAAGTGAAAGGGTTTACTAATCAAGTTGACCACTCTTTTACGAAGGAGCTGTCGTTGGTAATCGGCGTAATTAACGGGTATTCTTAAAATTATTACTTCGTCATGTTGGCAATGAACAAATCATTCTCACACAACAGTTTACCTGCGTTGGTTGGCATAACTCGTGTTTTGTTGCAAATATATAGCAGGTGTGCCATTGTTAGTTCATCTGATGTGATATGTGCACCATATTAGCTTAGGGTCCACCTTTCACCTGCTTTTATGGTTTTTAACCCGTTTTACGGATGGCATATCGATTGAGAGTGTAGAAGCCTAGCATGCTGCTGTTATGGTGGTTGTGAAGCGTATGAGACCGTTCCGTACGTTCCCTTCTTTTCAGTAACGTAAAAATATTTTTAATCAACGATGAAGGCATCATCAAACGGAGAAAGAACCAAAAGGAAAATCATTAAAAAAGTGCACATTGTACCCGCAGCACGCCACACAGCGATTACTTCACAAATCCTGGTTTATTACGTTAGCACCAACGATCAGCCTCGAATAACAAAGTTTACACTGCATTGCCTTTGTTATCGCAGGGGAAACACAGAACGAAATAATCTCCTGGTAGAATCTCAACAAGAATAAGTGTACATTCCAGCAGCTATCACCTACGTTTGTTCCTTTCTTTCCTGTACTTTCTTAGCTCTTCCTGACACAACTCTATCCCATTGTAATTCTCCTGCATCATGGCGCTCTTCCTCGCCTCCTTCATAAAACGAACAAAATTCTTTTCACTCCCCATTCGTCTGTAGAACATCGCCAAATTATACGGACCTACAAACATACACGATGCATTCGCGTTGCCTACCATTTCGTTGCTCTCCCTGAGCACACGCTCCTCCTCCTCATTGTAGTACACCACGCCTTCCTTTTTCGGCTCCTTGTCGAGCTCGTTTCTGAGCGTATTATATTCCGTGATTAAACTTTCCAATCCCTTCAGCTCGTATTTCAGTTTGTAATACTCTGCTAAATCCTTGTAGGTGGTTGATTTGATCTCAGAAATGAAGGTGTAGAATTCGTAGAAATCCGACAGGCACTTTCGGTACAGGTCAAGGTTAGAGGGATCATGCGGTATTATAAACGGGTGACCGTTTATGTCTGTGCTGATGTATTTGATATTGTTCGACTTTAGATACGATAAGTGCAGCAGATCGTTTTGCATTTTCGTTGTTTTTGAGGGGTTGAGATGAGCACGCTTTCTGAGTGCGGAATAATACGAAGGAATGTTTCAACGTGGTGCGACATAAGCAAAAATATTTAAAAATATTTTTGTTCTTCTGTAACGATAAGAGAAAAGAACTTTAACGTGGTGTTAAACAAAAATATTGGTAGATACGAGAGCTATAAGCGGAACCATGCTATCATGGCAATAATACAGCGCAAACTGTGCCGGTGCACGTGTTTGCTAGGGAGATAGTTTGTTGTTCATGGTTTGTATACGGTTTTTTGACCAATGAAGATTGACCGGGTATAGAAATGCGGGTTTAGAGCGTGTGCAACGCTGCATTTCACAAGCAACGAAGTGCAAAGGTACAAATGGCATGTGCGCACAAACATTCTGTGTTACCACACTGTCTTCACATTCAAGCCATCTCCTCATGCACATTTAATGAAATGTTCTCGTCCAACAAAATTTAATTTTGCTATGAACGACCCTCATGAACATACGTCTGTCATCGTTTAAGCGAGACCACGGTCTGAAAGAACTGCTGTCGCCCGACACCTCAGAATTTTGGCACACCGATGACAACCTGCCACACTTCGTAAAGTTATCGTTCAGCAAACGAACGTACATCGATCACATACAGCTTACTCTTTCATACTTCAAGGATGATTCTTATACACCCGAGAAATTGGACGTGTTTGCTGGCGATACAACTGACAGTATGGAGAAAATATTCTCGTTGTCGTTGTTTGAGCCGGAAGGTGCCGTTTTGTTGATGGTCAAGAGCAGTGTGTTTTACATTTACGTGGTGATTGCTGCCAACCACCAGGAGGGAAGAGATTCGCATATTAGGCACCTGAAGGTGATAGCTACCAATAACGAGGAGGTTATACCAAATTTGTATTGATAATCGTGGAATAAAGCACATTAATGGTTACATAGCTGTTTTACCGTACGTTTGTAAAAGTACTCGTGCTACTTCATAAAACTGATGCTTAGCACAACGTAAAAAGGTGGTACTTCGTTGTACCTCCTAGTAACGCCCACTTGAGATCACAGCAAATGTTACTCGTGCTCTGCCCTGTGAACTAATTGCGTTATTACAAAACAAATTAACAGTTATTTTCTATCAGCACACCTAAATCCTCTTCAAACAGCAATTTATCTTCACGGTGTAAGTGGTTCTGCACGTTTCATTTATTCTTTCGCTTTCAAGTCGCATTAAATGCTACGTGCAAATCTTCCACAGCTTAACTTTCATTTTGTTTATTGCTATCATTTTTGTGAACACTTACGTTTGATACAAAGAATGGCTCATTCATCGCTTCTCACCCCACAACAATAGAGTACAAATGCTTGTACTGTGGATGTGAACATACTTTAATCTACATCCTACTCAATATTTCATCTCATTGTGCAATAATCTGTATTTACACAATTTCTAAATCTGTTTTCTTCAGGTATAACTGCACACTACCACACTCTTGGTGGCAGCACACGTACAAATGCACTTTCATTATTTATCCACATGCTCGCTGCTTGTATACTCCTACTCCAATTCCTTTTTAGTTCTTCATCTTTTGCTTGCTATGATGGCAATTGAACCAACCATAAGAATAGGGAGCATTGCTACGGATACAATTGTTATATCGTGTTAAATCATTTATTTCTAAATTACTTAGTTTAAGAACCGATCTTTGGATTCGTTGTGTTAAAACTGCAATATTTGTTATTTCCTGTGAATATCAGCGCTACGAAAAACGAAGTAATTTGTTTTTAAACCGCTCATTTATTGCAAATGAAGTAATTAAACAATAAATTAGTAACAGCGCTGTAATATGGGGGTGTTTGAAAAGTATAGGGAACATAGAAATGTGCTTATTAAGTGGTGCTATGTATAAAATATAGATAAATGCATTTCTACATAAAAATTGAGAAAAGGTAAATCATTAATACTTAGGGGTACATTCCAGTCAAAATTAATTTTTTACCCCTACCAAAAGGCACAGCGGTAAGAAAGCCTAATCTAACAACATAAAATAAAGATATAAACAATCGAATACAGCAGCAACAACCTTTACGTATTGTGAACAAAAACAGCACAGCTCTTGACTCAAAAAACAATACCTCATATTCTTTCAGTGCATAAACAGTAGAACAAAAAACGAGAAATTGTTCATGCGTTGATGAAGAGCAGATCGATGAAAGAAATTGCAGATCTCAGAGATGCAATAAAAAGGGAGAACACGGCATTCAGAACAAATCTCATGAACGAGTTGAGCACAATCACCCACAAAAAGAAAAAAGAGATAAAGGCACTGCTGCACCGGAAGCGAAAGAGGCTTAACGATACAAAAAAGGAGATAAGCACGCTTTTGAACGACTTCGACTCGAAAGCGATAATTGCTGACCTAAACAAAAAAATCGAAAAGTTTGGTGCGATGATTATTAAGCAGCAGAGTGCGCTTGAAAAGCGCATTACCAGAATAAGAAAAATAAAGGAGGCGAGTTTCTCTGAAATACACGCCTATTTAGAGGAACTGAAAGGCGTACAGAACAAAAATATGCGATCGGTTGACAGGCAAGCGGCATACATCCAGAAAAACATAGAGAAGTTTACCAGAGACAAAGACAGTGCCGGTGATAAGCTGTTCTACAATATGGCAAAGCGTTAGGTAAAGGACTGTTTTACAGCTAGGAATGCAAGAGGTACCAGTGCAGTACCGTTCTACCGTATTGTTGCATTCTTCTGCGTGGTTTATTACCCTTCATGGTCGCTAATGCCGTGTAGTACACATGAGCAAGTTACCTTTTATTTCCCATTTTTTACTGCCATATTTTTTTATTGAATACTCTCCTCTAACACCCCCATTGATTACTTCCTCTCTAACACCGCTCACTCATCCTATTTATTGCACCGCTCACTCATCCTATTTATTGCACCGCTCTTCATCCTATTTATTGCGCCCCTCCCCTGCCCCACAAAACAAAAAATGACAAAAAAACCAACAATAGAAATACTCAGCTTCACACCCGTGGCCCTGTGGTCCTTAGACACCCAAGTAGAGAACTGTGCAATATGCCGCAACCATATAATGGACACGTGCATAGAATGCCAGACCGGCCGAGCGGTAACCACCGAGTGCACGATAGCATGGGGAATGTGCAATCATGCGTTTCATTCGCACTGTATATCGCAGTGGTTGAAGTCTAAGCCTATTTGCCCGTTGGACACGCAGAAATGGGAGTTTAACCATGGTGTTGGTAAGTGATAGTGTGGTGAGTGTTGGTAGAGTACGATGTATTAAATGGTGATAAGCGGTATTTGCGGTTTAAGTACCTGCTTTGTGTGTTAAATCCTTTTTGCCATTAAAAGTAATTTTCTATTATTTTACGTAGCAGCATGCAAGAATTGGATAGTTCGATTTTCTGCTCATAATTGCGAATAAAAACAGGAAACGTGCATGAGCAGGATCAGCTCTTGATTTGATATTCTCTGGTTGCGTGTGCAAAGAAATTAATGAACTGTAACAAACAAAGTAAAGTTATGGGATGTATACCATGCTGCTAATTTGTACATTATGTTCATGAGTGATATAGGACGGGTACCTGCCACCAGAAAGTAGATCAATCTGAGCGTGCTTTTAGAAATGTTTGATGTAATTAATCGCATTTGTACCGCTCGTCAATCTGATGGCATTTCATTCCGCTCGTCAGTCTGATGGCATTTCATTCCGCTCGTCAGTCTGATGGCATTTCATTCCGCTCGTCAGTCTGATGGCATTTCATTCCGCTCGTCAGTCTGATGGCATTTCATTCCGCTCGTCAATCTAACCACACTTCGTGCCTCGCTCAACCACCACCTGGTTCTATGCCTCATATTTAATTCAATCGTTCTGTTCAAAATGATCACCCCCTTACAACAAATAAATGCCTCCTAAAAACGCACCGCACTGCATGACAAACACAAAGAAACGCATAAAAATAACAAACTCATTGCATAAATTGCCCAACGAGCTGCTATCCAAGGTGCTCATCCCCCTGCCACTCGCAAACATAAAAAATCTGAGCAGGCTCAGAGAGCTGCAGACAAAGATAACAAGCAACTACGTGCTGTGGCACAGCAAGTGCATGCTGAGCAACGTATCAACGCGGCGGGTGGAAAAGAGTGACGGGTACTTCGCGGTGTACAGGCAGTACTGCCGGATACGCCGGTGCTGGATGAGCGGCCACATGGAGAGCAGAACGGTGTTCAGCACCAACCAGCCGGACATAACACACGCACAGTGCAATGACCGGTACATCGTGGTGTCATCGGATGACCAGAGCATAAAAATCTTTGATGTGAACGGCTGTCTGCGAAAGAACCTGGTGGGCCATTTCGGGGGTGTATGGACATTTCAGTGGCACAAGGATGTGATTGTGAGTGGCAGCACCGACAAGAGCATACGTGTGTGGGACTTTGTGACGGGATGGCCGTTGCGGCACCTTAAGGGCCACCGGTCAACCGTACGCTGCCTGAAGGTGTACAAGGAGTACATCGTGTCGGGTGCACGTGACAGCACGATCAAGGTGTGGAGCATGGATGGTGTGCTGCTGCACACCCTGAAGGGACACGCGGAGAGTGTGCGGTGCATAGATGTGTACCACTCCATGCTCGTGTCAGGCTCGTACGATGGCACGGTCATTCTGTGGGACTATCCCAAGGGTGCCATGGTGCGCAGGCTCAAATCGCATCTGCTGCGCGTGTACTCCGTGCTGATAGGCAGGAACCACATAATATCTGGGGGCCAGGACTCGTTCATCCACGTGTCGGACATAAAGGGGCAGTTCATCACCACGCTGCACGCCCACCGCTCGATCGTAGCATGGCTAGAGCTAACGAGTGATCCCGTGCACCGAATAGATCACCTGCTCGTGAGTGCCGGAGCAGATGGCCATATTTGCATATGGGACCTGCACACCGGCACACTGCGTGATAAGATTGTGGAGAACATGCCGATCACCACGATAGCACTTAAGAATGATTGTTTGTTTGTTGGTGTGCATAACAGGGTGAAGGTGTATGATTTGAGGGACGCACAGTTCAAGAGAACGCTGATTGATAACCTGAGCAGTGTTTACAAGGTGTACTGTACTGAGAGCAGAATAGTGGTGGGGTGCAAGCGTAGTTCGTGTGCTGAGATCGCGGTCTTTTCGTACGACATATGAAGAGGTTGATGAATGGTGTACTAGCAGGGTATTTGATGCTAGCGTGGTATTTTTAACATGTTATGGTAATTTAACATGTTATGGTAATTTAATATGGTATGGTAATTTAACATGGTATGGTATTTTATGCTAGCGTAGTATTTTATGCTAGCGTGATCTGTCAGTAATACCGTATGGTCTACAAGTAGTATCGTACGCTCTATCAGTAATACCGTACGCTCTGCCAGTACCATAAACAACAACAATATCGCAAACACCACACTAATACCAATAAAATAACAAATAACGTAAAATGATAATAAAGAACCTTGGAATGCTACGGCACGTAAAGGGTACCGTACGGATGTATGCTACCGTAACATTGGAATGTGTTTAATTTGGTGTACCGTACCGCTACAGTACCACACCACGATCGTAATACACCGCACCGCTAGTTAAGCTTATCACCTACCAACTCAGCATTCCCCTTTCCCTGTACAACCCCCTTCACATGAAAATGTGTGCAATCTCCCACATAAAACACTCCAACCGCGTACCCATCAACAACCTCAACCACATCACCGCACACCTCCATAACAACACACTCAACCAGAAAGGTACCTACCACCTCAGCACTGTCGTACACCATGGTGTACTCTTCGGTGGTACCTAACAGGGTGTATGAGAGGAGAATGCCGTTTAGTTTTGAGGAGTATTTTAAAAGGTACGTGGAGAGGGTGCGAATTGCTGCGGATTGTATGTTGGTGGGGGGTGATGACATTGCTATGGAGATGAGTGTTTTGTAGAACTTCATGGGGGTGCGGTTAAACGCAGGAATAAATCGGGGAGGTGCAATCAAACGCAGGAATAAATCGGGAGGTGCAATCAAACGCGGGAATAAATCGGGAAGGTGCGATTAAATGCGAAAGAATTGCTGCCGTAACTACCAATGCTTTAAATCGTGTGCTTGGCATTTCTGTTATTTGGAGAAGATGCTTACCAACTTATTGGCAGAGGCTGTCATCCACAACACGTATTATTTATTTATATGATAGCACAAATTGCACCGTTAATAACGGCAATAGTGCGCATTACAGAGCGTGGCAAATGCTGAACATGTTCATCGCATAGGTCCTACCAAGCAGTGGCTGCATTCGTAAAATTCATTTTAATTAGCACTCATCTCTATCTACACCTTACAGGAGCACATCGCTGATATATCGTGGTGCTTGACTACGGTACTACGTGGCACCGCACAGCACCACGCACCAAACATTTCATACCATAAACACCCTGCGCACAGAACAGTCCTGCACACCCCGCTTACACATCGCTGTCCTCATCGAAGTTAAGGGGCTGGAACGGATTGCCCTGTCCATCGTAAAACTTCGAATTAAATTCAATCCAATTGAGCCGCATGGCATGCAACGAGCTGCTCAGCCCCTCAAGCGCTACCATAAGCACCATCGTTGCAAGCAGCCACACAGGTGCGCTCACAATCCTTACAATCACGTTCGCACTCCCCATCGTATACTTGTGTATAATGCCGGTGAGCTGGGAATGCGCGAGCGACACCGCCCAGATACGCAAATACGAGCTGATATTGGAGATGAGACCGATGTTGAACTCAATGGCCTCTATCCCGAAATGTATGATGACATCGGACAGGTTCTTCCGCTTGTGCTTGATGAACAGCATGATCGGATACGACACCATCATCCACGGCATGCAGACCGCAAACAGCGCAAGCATGAACAGCTGCACGTACAGCTGGCCCGGATAGAAGAACTCGGCCTTGAACGGATCGGTGAACATCAGCACGATGGTGTTGATGATGCTCGGCTTGAACGGACGTATCCACTTCACAACAATGAGCACGCTCAGGTAGCCCGCGAAGCACGCAAACGAGAGAATGCGTGGCAGCACCTTGCAGTAGAACAGCAGCTTGTCACGGGTGAGCACCGTGTTAAACGCTGCCAGGCACAGTCCCAGGCCCATGTGCACCGTGCCAATCACCACGCTCATCTTCATCTTGAGCGAGTTCATCAGGTTCATGCCGTTCTTCGCCTCGTGCCACGACGGGTCAACCCCAAAGTACGTAACACCTCCAAACTTGAACAGCGGCATCACCACGCCGAAGAACTCAGAGTAGAGCAGCCCAAAGTACATGCTCATCACGCCACACGCAAGCAGCATATACCGGCCATTCACCACCATCTCTACCATCTCGTGCACACGCGCAAGCTCGGGCCGTCTTATGAACAGCACCGCTATCAGCACCAGGATCAGGCCGTGCCCCACGTCACCAAACATGGCACCGAACAGAAATGGAAAGGTGATGATGGTGAACGGTGCCGGATTTATCTCGCGGTACGATGGCACGCCGTACACATCGTTCATCTCCTGGAACGGCCGTGTGAAAATGTTTGTGCGGAAGAACGTGGGCGGCATTTCGTTTTCTTGCACTTTGTGATCCTCGTTTTGTGCTCTTGCTGCGTGGATGTCCTCCATCGAGTTGCTGAGCGATGAGTTTTCAGTTTTGTGTGGGAGATCGGAATCGATTTTTGTGCTCCTGCGTTTGTTCCTGGTTTGCTCGTACTGGTCGGTACGGTGTTGAACGTTGCCACCACTTGGGCGTGTTTTATCTCCGTTTTTGTGCGTTTTCTCTCCGCTTGAATTGGACGCATCGCTCTCCGCATCATCGGCCTGATTCACATCCCTGGCCTTCTCTCGCTGCTCTGCGCTGCGATCTGTGGTACACGCCACTCCACCCTTCTCCTCGCTCATACCATCCAACTGTGCATCTGAGCTCCTCTCCCCATCACTTTCAATGTCAGGAGCACTCCTCTCCCTGGCCCGTCCACTGCTCCCCGTGCCATCCACTTCAAGGTACCTCTCATCCTCTATCTTATTTTCCCTATTCTCTCCGTTGCTACCCTCTCCTTTCATCAACCTTCGTATCTCCCGCTCATTCATCCTCTTCTGCCTTCTCTTCTTGTTATTACCCGTCACGAGCACACTCACCTCAAGGTTACCGCCCGTACGCACCTGCTCTTCGTACGCGATACGCCCGTGCGCATCGCAGATTGTGTTAACGGCGTTCTGAAACACCGGAAACTTCGACTCGGGCACGTAGCCCTCGCCAATAAATGCGGTGCTCTCCCTCAACCGGTTGAGCGTCTTAAGAATGCGCAGCACTTGGCGTGTCTTGTATTTCCACGTGTGGATGTGCTGTGCAATTGTTCCGAGCTCGTTTTTTATGCTGTTCTCATTGTTGGCATGCACGTGCTGGTACTGCTGGATGAGCGCTGTCACGCGCAGGATGTTCGTTTGATTCTCGTCCTCATGTTCCTCCCCCTTGTTGTTGTCCTTGTTCTCCTCCTTTTGCTCCTCGTCCTTCTTTTCGTTGTCCTCGTTCTTCGGCTGCTTCTCGGACTGCTCTTCCTCGCTCTTCATCATGAAGATGCGTGCGTTGAACGACACGCAGATCTTCTTTATCTTCTCGAATGCCTCCTCGCCGTGCGTAAATATCACGAACACGGTGCGTCTGCCCGTTTTCATGTGTATCACGAGGTTGTTCTTGAGCACGCTCTCGAGGATGCGCCTGAGCAGCAGCACCTTGTCATTGTCAATTATACCGGTGAGGCACGATGAGGAGGAGAAGTCGTGCTCCTTCATCTCCTCCAGAATGAACAGGTTCTCGCTCAGATTGGTGAGCTGCTCCTGCGCACCGTCACGTATGCTCTTGAGCTCAAGCAGCCGATTGAAGTGCCGCTCTATCGCGTCTTCGTCAAATACGTGCTCGTTCCTGTGCACCTCCATGTCGTACGCCTCAATCTCTCCCATCAGAAAGTTTATCTTGCTGCGCAGCTTCTCGTAGTGCAGGATCTCCTTGTTGTACGGCAGCTGCTCATTCTTCAAGTGCGCGTTAAGATCAACGAACTGTATCAGCTTGAGCTTGCCCAGCTCGTAAAGCGCCCGTTTCACATTCTCCTTGTTGATGTACAGCGATATTCTTCTCATTTTCTCTGATTGCAGAAACATTTTGTTTTTTTTTGTTTGTGAGGTTAAAGGGATTTTTTTCTTTTTTGTTTTGATGTGTGAACGTGTAACAGATCAATTATTTGTTTTTTGACGGCGATGGCCAATGAACTACGCGGTAGCGTGCAATTTTATTTGTGCATGCACATTTTTGGATAGACAGTACGGCACTGAGAGGTACCGGCCGTATTGCGTGGGTAGGGAACAGCACGTGCACCTGGCACGTGCACCATACTTGATGTGCTCACTGGTACGGGTGCGTAAATATGCTACGGTACGCTAAAGCGTGGTCTATCACACGATAAAAATTTTTAATTTTGACGTTTTACCACGTAACTGATAGCAAAGAAAAAATGGTTGGTGAAGATACGTAAACATGGGAGTAGTGCGATGCGATGAAAGGAAACAGAACAGCACATCTAATAATTCGCTATTATATCGCAGTGTTCTAATATATCGGAATGATGAGCAGAGCGGTGCAAGGAAAGAAACAAAATTTAATGAATCATACGTAATTGAGGCAAATAACGGATAAAATACCGTAAAATTAAAGTTTGAAGGATTATGATGTACAGCGATGTGGTACTTGTAGATGTTTTGAGTTAGATTAGAGTATCTGAGTGAACGAATTAATATAAATTACCACAAAAGCATAACGTGGTACTTTGTTGCTAGCGGTGATTGAAAATATTTGTTTGTTGTAAGTGATCCACGAATAATTTCACTGTGATCATCTCCCCGCACATCATATTACTCCCTGATTGATGTTCGGTAAGATGTTGTGATGCTTGTACTATTGGTGGTTGTTGTATGCCTTTTATACCATTTAATCGCTGTTTGCCTTTTCTGTTCCGTTCTCATATTTTTTGCACCTCTTCTACCTCCGTGCTATTTCTTACCGCTATGCAATATCATCCTAAATTATTATTTTTCACCTTCTTAAAAAGTATGTTTTTTGTTCACACCTTTCTTCTCATCGTCTTTCCCTACCTTTTCATCTAAAATATGTTTGCTGTCCTTCTTCACCTCCCTCTATCATTTCCTTTGTTCCTTGTCTTTAATTTACTCCACGCAGCACACATACTAACAGCAATTACACGGTAAAAAATTGCTAATCGGTCATTTAACAGGTATAACACCGCTATACAAGAATAGTTACGGTTTTACCTGCCATACTCACCGACATAAATTTAAATTAAAATGAGCTGTACGATCAGTGGATGCTTGATCATGGCGTAATATTTCATCGTTACATTCGATGTATGCCTTTAATTTTATACAAAATCATCAAATAATTTAATTAGCAGCTCAGTTACACCTCAAATCAATCAATCGTTCCTTTTTGATGGGTGCTACCCGCTATAGCCTCGCCATCTGCCGACCATAAAAATTGTTCTGTCTATGATCCAGGAGATTTAGATCATTCTCATCGGGCATAAACTCACCGTTCACATCTTATTCGTCCATATCATACACATCACCTTCATTATTCTCATCTAACATAAACTCACCATCCTCATCATTCGAAGAAGCTGTGGTGTAATCATGAAAAAGACGCACAAACGATTCACCAAGACCCTCCTGTGGCTCTTCCAATTCTTGATCGACCGCATCTTCGAAACCTGCCGCATCGGGGATTAATTCATCAATAAAATTTTCAGTTTCTATATCATCAGCTTCCTTCCACTGCATATAGCACGAAAAACAGTTTAAAATCATATTCTTTACTCGTTCGAGACACATTTCAACTTTTGCTTTCAACCGGATGGCATTCGAAGCACGTGACGTAGAATGATCATTTGCACCATGAACTACTTCATCACCCCTTTCATTGGCATCATACGCGGTGCACACCTCATGTTCAAATACATCAGATTTTTCATCTCGATCCAAATCATTATGGTGTGCAACCATGCCTTGGTTATGCTTTAGATCGTGTTGATGGCTCTGCTGCACAGAAAACGATCTATCGCATGTCGTTCTACCCAAAGATAATCCAGCACCACGTTCCAATCCGTTTGAACATTTCATCCTTCGATCAGCATCCATACTACTATTTGGTAACACGTCATCCATCAAATCTTCTTCTGTCATTGTACCTTTGTCAACACCTGTGATACGATTGTTCGCAATACTCGTTTGGCACCCCATATCGATGCCATCAACTTTCTTATTCTGCTCATCAACTGCGCACTTATTTGCTCTATTAATTCTCAATGCAGTAGCATTTGCAACAACCAACATTAAAACTACGATTTCTAGCGCAGCAAATGAAAGCATGTGCATCTAAAACGGGTCCTACTTTTCTGTGCTTGGTATTACTTCCGTAACAGGTAGTAGCTCGTATTAAGGAACAATCGAAAAAATTGAACGATAAAACGTTTAGATCGATCTCTTGGTTCAGGACAGCCTTAGTAAATGTTTTCTACGAAAAATGCGTTTATTTACCTGTTCATATAACTAACACTCTTTTCTGGTTTGCTGAGACAATCGTGGTCAGTAGCCCTTAGTTCATGAAGGAAATAGTGTTTTATCTCGCACAAAGCCTTCATTATAACATAAAGATATGCTGCAATCGTAATGATGATCCTAATGTAAGCCATAGTTTGCACGACTCATCGAAAGACTTTCTTCTCAGATCTGCAGATAAATGTGATCCGTGGCAATTTAACATCCAGCAAAGAAGCGTGCTCAATACTCAACCTATTATTATTATTCTCAGAAGAGATGCTATATTGTTCCTCTCTCATACTTTTCACAGAATGACCATTTCCTCCTGTCAATATCTATCAGGCAATGGACAAACATGAATGTGCCACATGCATTTATTAATGCAGCTCATCAGTTGCCCGATTAATAGCAACAATTTTCTAAAACAATGGAGGTGAATTAATGAAATTAGCAAATCTAAAACTGCTTGTCACGCTTCTACCGATGTATGATAGCTAGACTATCTCACAACACATAGCAAGAATTGCTTTCTTGCAAGACATGTCATCCGTAGTATGTTCGAATAGATCACAACATCATACCAGCTCTTACTTTTGGTAAATACTTCATTACTGTTAACATGACAGAGCAGTGATCTCAACACAAGCGGTTTTAAATCGTTTTACTAATCAACAAAGATCTTAATTGTTCATATCAACAAATTTTCTGCAGCAATGGCGTTGATCATGTGCAAGAGACACAATCCATTGTGTTTAGATTGATAGCATCATTCATTCGGCTGTTACATGTCATTAATATGTTATAGATTGCTTGAATACCATGAACAATGAGACCTGAGATCATTACAATCATAAAAAAGAAATGATCAGCACCAGAAGATCGAAAAATAACTTAACTTTTACTTATAAAGCTCGAAGATTGTTCGTTCCTCATTGCAATTATCTGACCACTCGCATCTCTCCTTGACCAATTTACACTTCTCAGAAAAAAGCTTACGAAGAATATGCGCTTCTTCTCTAGATATGTGAGAACTCTTATAACAGAACACAAGTACATCAAGCTGGTTGAAAGTCTCAAAAACACTTTCGATCAAGTTATTGAACTGCTCTTGCATACCTTCCTCTTGCATACCTTCCTCTTGCATACTTCCAAACAATTTTTGAATTACTCCTGGACATTTTGGTACTACGTCAATCACCAGTTTCTTAATACCTGCGAAAGCTTCAAAATATTGACATAACATAAGTTCGATTAGTTCTTCATAAGTTGAACCCATGCCAATATGAAGAGTGTGGAGTTTAAGATGCACCACATTCTGTTCGTTTGCGTCAGCTTTTGCAGGTTGAAGTCTTTCATAATTTCGACTGGCAAGGCTATAAAATAATGGCCGAATGAATCTACTGTTCATGAATAATTCTTTCAGCCTGTTTAAACGGATTTTCACGGATTTAAATCTGCCATAATTTCTATTGGCGAGGCTATTAAATGTTGACCGAATGGATCTACCATCTATGTAAAATTCTTTCAGCTTGTTCAAAGGTTCTATCGACCTTACCAATCCACCAATGGTCATCTCAGAACTAACCAAGAGTTTTTCTATTGGTCCCTTTAAACTGCTTAGTTGTCTACATAAAAGTTCATAATTATAGTTCCATTTTTTTACAAAAATTTCTAGATGTTTCAACATTTCCAACTCAGTTATCATTTGCACGAGTGCTTCATTTACATACTTGCAATTTATTCTCAGTGCTTCTAACTTTTTCATTTTTACTTCAATTGTGCTTTTATCCTTCAACTCCAAATTATTATTGCTAACATCAATTTCTAGAATTTCAAGAGCGGCAAATTCTAAGTTAAATAAATCGGAAACATCACAAACATGACAAATCAATACTAAATTCTTGAGTTTGTTTCGGTTAATTTCCTTTAGAACATTAACAGCCAGCTCTAGATCTCTTGTGTCAATTGTTAAAAATTCTAGTCGAGCACCCTGACACTTAGAAGACGAAAGCGGCGGTTCAAAACGATTCTTACCTAATGATAAATACCGTAGACCACTTACTATTTGTTTACTGAGTATAACACTCGCATATTCACCCATGTTTACCGTCAGATTGCGTAGTTTTACGCAGTTATTTAGATTGATTATGATCTTTATACTGTATGTCAGACCTAGAGCGAACCATAACTGATGTATTCCGTACATCTTGCACTTACTGAAGCAGATAGTCTCATATGATTCTCCAAAAGCTACCTCAATTTGTTTACATTGTTGCACAGTTTGCACAGTATCCTTGGAAGTGAGAAAAGTACATCCAATAAACATCAGACTTTCCAGTTTCATGTTACTCACTTTCTCTAAGAATTCATCTGTTACAAACATATACTTCACCTTAAGTATACGTAATTTTGAAAATTTTTCAAGATCAATGAAATCTTGCACTGTTTTACAAGATTCACCGATCCAAATTGTATATTCATGCGTCAAGTCTAGAATATATAAATCGGTAATGAAACAAAATTGTTGTATTATATCACTAAGATCCACATCAGATAAATTTCTTGACCATTTACGAACAACAATTGTCAAATGCACACGGTCGAGTTTTTTAAAAATACCTTTCATCATCTCAATCTTCTTCTTGTCAATATAAAGCTTCAATCCTCCCATTGGCTCTGCATTATCTGTCTGTTGAGCAGAAAAGTATAAGCTGAACTTCTCTGCCTCGTAGACAAATTGTATTGCTTTTGGAAGCTCGTGATAAAAGGTTTGCAAGTTCTTGTACTTTTTCATTGTTGCCCTCTTCAAAAGTGTCTTACAATCTGACAAGAGAAGACATTCCACAATGTGAGCATACCTGAGATCCAAATGTTCTTCAGGTTCATCCAGTAAGTGCTTAAGATCATCCCTAAGTTCTTTCTCTGTGTACACATATTCTGAGCCATCATCACCCTCTCCATCATCTGTATTGGTACATAACAATTGATGAATGAACAACAAGTTACTGAAAAAAATCATGGGATCCACAGAATTCTTTCCTTTTATAGTTTTAAATTTGCAAAAATGATAAGGAAATTCATTCATATCGGCACGTGCTTTTTGTTCATCTCATATGGTTGTTGGTCATGTGATTAGAGGAAAATGCTAGTATTAAATTGCGAATTTTTTGACACTGACAATACTGCTGCACACATTTTTACAAGTTTAGTGTGTTCTTTTCTTGTTTATGGCATCGATCACCAAAATAGGCCTGTTTTTCTTAACAATCTATTACATAAAATTATAAACTAGTTGTTTGTGTGAACGAAGTATTCCTGGTTAACACACTGTTACTAATTGTACGCACTTCAGTAAGATGCATGAGTATGATGATGAAGAATAAAAGTATTGTTGAGTGATGAATACATTGCTGTTAAACACATGTTTTGCTTTTGATCAGAAAGCTCATATTGTAATTGTGTTGATCTACCTCACGAAAAGCTGAAAGCTACATACAATATGCAATTATCAATGCATTATCATAGTTATGTTTATTACAATGCATGTACACCAGTTATATTGTGTATGCTAGTATCACTGCATTTCTTTTCCTGTCATCGTTTCTACTCCAAATGAATTTCTTATCATCAAATCAATTCGAACAAATATTGAACATAAATGTCATCAATGTTGATCAACTATTGTTAGCATAAAATGTCACCTGCATTAGTTTTTCGAACATTGTAACTATTTAAAGCACTGTTTGAAAGTATTTTTTACTAGTTGCTGAACAAACCGGTTGTAATAATCAGTACTCGTCTTCTTTATGCTCTTTTTGCACAATATTATAGCTACAAAAATGTGCTAATATTCTCAAGATAATCATGACATGATATTTTGTTGCCATTTCACAATCGATATCACGTGTTGTAGAGCCATAACACAACTGTTACTAAACTGGTATTTAATTAAAAATATTCTGTCATAAAAACACATTGACATATGGTGGTTGACTGGTAATGAGCACTAATCACTGTGGTCTTGATGACCATATTGCATCTTTTTGACAGGCAATCAAAAAATTGAAAATGACAGCAGCATTAAAATATTAAATGAGGTATTATAGTGTGATCAATTTTATTGGCATTTATTATGCAAATATTTATGTGATTTTGTAGCAATTTTACAGCACTGCTGCTTTCTCTCAAATTGATATGATATCAGCAAAAGAAGAAAGAGATGTACCAATATATTGAGAGATGGTGTTGAAGCTAAACAAAGCTAAGAAAACGATACAATGCAAAGCAACATCCTAAGTCTATGGACAATTATGGCAGTGCTGGTGCAAGGAAACAACACAAGTGATAGTAGCTCATTATTCCACTAAAACTCGTTTATTTATCTTCACACTTTTGTAGTCCGCTGGACCCGGTCATAGCTGCTAGAATTTAGTTCATAGGGAACATTTGTGCGTCATCTTGCGTAAAATATTCGCTCGCATCCTATCACAATAGAAAGAGTAGCCTGTTAAAACATTAGTACAGCTTAAGTTGCAAAAACCATGTTAAATAAACTATCTTTAGCCAGGAAAATCGATCAAAATAACTTGTATCGCAATAAATTGTCCAATTAAGGGATATATACCTCAGGACACCGTATGATCGAACCAGAAACACCTGAAAGCTATTTCTTTGTCAGATGCGACAAGTGAAAGTTCAAAAATTTAACTATCAAACATCCTTTTTATTGATATCACCTCCACATCAAATTTCTATCCTCTCCAAACCCTATGGGAACACACATTTCATCTTTGTTCAAAATTTCGTATGTTAGCGGATCAATTATGATCAAACCAGAAGAAGAGACAAGCATGAGATGATCAAGAACAGTAAAATCAACGTAGTTTGATAAAAACATAAGCAGGGCTTTAACTTTTCGACCAACACTCTTGTTGCAGTCACCGACAATGTCGTCTTCATCACTGATGTATAACTCACTTATTTTGAATTTCGATCTCGCCATTGATGGGGCTTTCGCAAATCTCTCTGTCAAACGTACTTGAATGGCCTCGAGTGACCGAGGTATTGGATCAGAATGAGATAGAATGGGTATGAAATTTGCATCAACCAATAAAATTCGCAAGTTTGGGAGTGCGACCAAAGGATTGGAACAGCCAAACTTATCTTCAACGTTCCATTCCACGTCACGTGTGGTCATGCTTGATAATTTTAATAGCCTGATGCTCGGTGGAAGGTTCTTGAAGAACGCATCGGTGAGATTATCCACACATAACTTGAGTATTTTCAAATTGGTCAATTTGCTCAACGATATCCAGTTGTCCTTCATAATTATAGTGTTGGTGAGATCAAGCTCGCGGATTGTACTTGCTGTGCATTCGCTTATGGACGAAGTCAAAACAGAATTTACGACCAGGCTTGATATGACATGACCTTTTAAGTGCGGATAATCGCTGTGTTCTGCTAGTAAATTCATCGACAACGGCATAGTCGCATTCATAGGACGCTCATATTCGAAGAATTGTGCAATATCCTGTTTGTAAGGTAAGCAACTCGTATAGAATGCAGAGCTGCTATTGTTCACTATTTGCAAACGTTCGATGTCTTTAAAATTGAATAATAAGTTCTGTAATGTTTCTGGGGTTTGGTTGATACAATGAAGGCGTAAATCACGAACACTGACCGGATTTGCGAATGTGGCATAGATGGATTCTGCTTGAGAAAACATAATTTCTACCATGTCGAGTTGCTTTATGCCTGTAAAATCGATGGTACCGGCACACTCATTGAGAACGAGTTCTTTGCACTGCGCATTTAGGATGAATGATGAATCATCCACAACGAAAATGTTGCTCAATTTAACATACTTAAAGATATCCGACAGCTTTACAGTGCTATGAAGCCTGGCGCCCGATAATTCGAGCCGGGATAACTTCATCTCATCGTCTTGAATTGGTGAGATTATCAATTCCATACTTTGCTGAATGTCCAGTTCTATTCCAAAAAACGGCGTAAGATCGTACAAACCGTATGATTCTGATATATGTATGAATGTATTGGTATCCACAAATATGAATTTCTGATTTGTGCCAAAATAAACATTTCTAAAGGACAGGACGCCAATATTCGTATCAAGAATAACCGAATCACAAATTTGAGCATTTACAAGCTTGAGCGAACTTTTTCCATTGTCTTTTTTCTCATACGACAATTCATTACAGTATTCATGCATATTCCAAGCTATTCTGTTGATCCCTGCTATGTTTGATAAACAAACATTTCCACTTATATTTGATATTTTGATCTCTTCGTACTTTTCGTTGTATGCAAAAGTTAACGACCCTTGAATTTTCTCTCCAATAATTACAATCTGTCTTTGAGCACCATCAAACACCAAATTGCCGTAGAATATACCATCATAATATCGTGCTACCGCAATGTCTTGGGAAACATTTGTGATCTCATTATCAGATGTATTGTAAAAATCGACTTCTACTGTTAACATATCCTTCGGTATCGAACTTATAAAATCTACGGAACAACGATCACACTGAATTGTCCTTAGAGCTGGGATAAAGTGAATCCAGGATGAATCAACAGATGCGTTAACCTCAGAAAATTCCAAAATAACATCCTTAATATTGTGTTCTATCTGATAAACAAAATTGGATATTGTATTAATCTTTCTTAGCAATACATCAGTTGCAGAAAGCATGTCTGTATTCTCTATTTCACAATCATCATTAATTTTATCGCTGATATAAGTTATTCGTAGAACCAAAGGGGATTGTGTCCCTCTACCATTAAACTTATTGACCAAAGTGTGTATGTTATCTTCTAAGTAGTTATAATGTAAATCTAGATAATTGAATAGAAAACCAATCACCAAACTCGACAGTTCTAGCTCATGGTGTATAATTTTTTCAGAGTGTATTTTCCTATTAAACTGTCCATAAAAACATCCTTCTCCCCTGAACCTAAATTCGATATTTTGATTCACCATTTCGACAAAAGACACTGAATCATCAATTATGTCAAAAATGCATTTTGATAGGAATCGTGTTTGTTCATTGAAATTACTTTTGTCCCCTGTTTTGTGGCACTTCTTGAGCTTCCTAACCAAACTAGCATTTTCCTGAAGGTGCAAACATGTAACATATGCTAACAATCCTTGCTTATCCTGGAAAGGATAGAGATGCGCGAAAATTTCGTGCATTTCATTTGATGTGAATTCGCAGATATTGTACATCGATAGTTTAACAAGCTTTCGAAAAAGCGACATGGTAAGCGGCACCTTAATAATCACAAATGACATGTCTTCGATGTTAGCATTCACAAAATCAACGTATTTTATGTATTTCCTTCTTCCCAGACCTAGTATCTCGTTCGTATAGCTGACACTACGCTTATTATCGGTGTATTCATCGGAACCAAAGACCTTAGTGCATGTGTTTCTGCTGTGAACTCCTGATGATTCGTGCATAGGCGCAGAGACAACGGTGCTCGATTCGCATCCTATCAGAAAATTCTCTAATTCGGTTTCTTTTAAGCTGTTATACACAAGGTAATCAGTTTCTGCTGTATCCGACATTGATTTAAAAAGCAGCAAATACTTTGTTGCCACCCGAATATAATCACATATATCAAATTGCATGCTATGTTGTATGAATCGAAATTATTTATACTTTCTATATCATTGCATTAGATATATTAAAATTAACCATTTATGCATATTTTATTTATTAAAACACGTACAAATCGGGTAAATGGTAATGACATAGTGTGAATGGATAAGTAGGGAAATAATGAGACACACAGTAAAACGCAAATAATCATTCGAAATATCACCGGAATCGAATAGAACTAATCCTGGTATGGTTTGTTAACTGAATAGGAAAACGTGTATGAGCAGATAAATTTTTAGGATGGCATGGATATATTTTTGTGTTTCTCATTGGTATACATCATTAATTAATGATGTTGCTCAATATGTTAAACTAATATGCCGTCTTTAATAATCAATGTTGTGCTAATTTGATTATTGCTTTTATTTTAGACTATTTCATTTTTACCTCAAAAAAGAAGTAATTCTTAGAATACTAGCTGTAACAGCTCTCATTATAACGGATCAAAAGTTCTAGTGTTTCCAAAAACTTATTTTTCTAAGTTATGATTCTGCCCCACCTTCATCCTTCTGGTATTTTTCGTAGAACTAAGAGTTAGTTCTACATTTTTAATCATGTCATTTTAGGGTTAATCATGGATGATAGCTGAACACGTTCAAAAAGGATCAATTTGTGGTTTCTCCTATTACACAATTCTATGATATTAGTTACTTTCATTGATCCTATCTACCAAGGAAACGTAAAACAAGAATTTAACCTGTTATACTTTCCTTGAGTATTACTATACCACCATCCTATTCGGCCATCATTTCCATTGTTATAGTCCTGTATGTTTCGTTTTTTGAGGTACAGTTGTGTATTGATAGAAGTTTTAAGTTTTCTCTTATTTACATTTATTGTTATCATTTACCGCCTTATTTAATAATCTGTTTTTCAGCAGTTATAAATGGTATTGGTATGGTACAGTGATTTAATTCATTTTTTACCTTTTATTCTGTGTAACGAATGCGAAACGAAATTTTATCATTTTTTGAGCTGAGCAATCAGCCTCTATGTTTCCTTATTTACTCATAATTATGATAATTACATGCCATTAAAAGACTAATTGCTCGTGTATTTTCTATTTTACCTGTAACATTTCATTCACTTTTTGGTGAAATGTGAAGAGCATAATTTATATGCTGTAAATTTAAAAACGAGGCACTCAAAATATCTACCATTATTTAACGAGGTTACCGGTTCTTCTGTACAAACCTATGTTTGAATCTGTGGTCTTGATGTGCATAATATTTGACTATACAAATTATTTGATGTATTCTCTACAATTTGGTAATTTTTTACGAGAACGCCCTTGTAATTAAATGAAATTACTTCTACTTCAATTACGACTTTAATTAAATTATACCAAAAACATCATTAAGAGCAACAAATCGCGCTGCAAATGAATTCTGCACAGAATCAAATTCACACCAAATTACGATCCATTCATTTCATTTGTTGCATCTATAGCGCACAAAAAATGAAAATATTGAACAAAAGTGCTTAATTAGTTCAGCATAAAAAAAAGCTGTGAAAAAGAACTGAGCACTATAAAAATGGACAGCAATAATAACTCATCACTAGGCATAAACCAAGCAATAACAGAGGTGAGTTATTTTTTTGACTCAAACTTTACCATGGATCATTCCACAGACATGTTCAATTATACAACACCATTAGCTAGCACTGAAATTCTAGCCACTTATGGTACCATAGCTATCAATGTTATCGGTTTCCTGCTTATTATATTGATGATAGTCTGTATCTACAGAATATTCAGGGGCATTCATTCATATTGTGAACGGAATGTGTCTTCAATACGTCGTAGAGCTAGGAATATAATTAACTGTCATCAAGCTAATCCGGCAAGTAGAAATAGTTTACCTCAATTTACAGTACAATTATCTGATCCGCCACCTTCTTACGCTGAAGTAATGGCAGGCCAGAACATAACTTTGCCGGTATTTAGTGGTGATGAAGAGAAACCACCAGCATACGAAACATGCGTTCAATAAAGTTAATACGCGTTCTAGCGAATGTTTCTTTTATCTTAAGCAGATTTTACTTGGCTTGGTTCCAATGTTTGTTCACCAAGTCTGATGTTTAATATCACTGTAGGACATTATTCCATAATACTGCCGCATACCTCAGAATGGTTTTTAAATTCTCGTCCAATTCAATCTTTTGTTAATTTACATTTCACACTAGCAGTCACTTAACTTGGCCCGTTTCACCGAACGAATTGGAAAGAGTAGCAATCACTGCACAGTGTTCCTTCGAATCAATAACAGAACCATTATCAGTTCTTAACAAGCTAATTTACAGCAGATCTGTCACATGAAGCTGTTATGAACCATTTAAAGAAATAATGCTGAGCAGTTTATCACATTCCTTGAGTGAACGCATATCGATTACACAATTGCAGTGTACGAAGATAATTCACTGCTGTAATGTAAATTAACGCAGCAGATGAACAAGAATGAAAAGATATACTTGTATTTGTGATCTATAAATCGATTGAAATATAGGAATGTGATTCTTGAGTACGAGGACATGATTTACACTGATGTACAAGACGTATTCGTGGATAATGAATGGATTGTACTTCTAGAAAAGAGCATGGCAAATATGCTTTGAGATAATACGAGCTTTTATATGAGATTGTATCCAAGTTGTACCAAAAACTGTGTAAAAAAGTAGTTTTTATGAACGTAGTTCTAGTATGTAATCGTATTAGGAGAACATTTTAGTAAAATACGAATGAGCAAGTAATTCAGTACTATTTTGTGATAATTCTGTAATATGTTGCTGAAGAATCTCCGAATACCTACGCACATTCACCGAGCAATTCTCTTAAAACAATCGTAGCATAGGATTGTGCGGTTAAAACCCGGCTAACAAAGAGAACAAAGGGTTTATGATCTCTGGTGCGCCATTCTCTTTTATTTTATGTGGCAGAATCATTTGTGCTTGGTGAGATGTAAAACATTAAACTGCTTGCCATTAAAATAGCACACATGATTGCTACCAGGTTCATTACGGTTTTTAATCAATTATCTTACGATATAATTTACAATATAGCGTGCTGATCGGTACGCGATCATTGAAAATGTGCAATTCGCAGTTTTGCAGCCCAGTACGGCAAATACATCCCCGTTACAAAAACAACGCAGTAAATGTCAGACATGCACCGTAGAGCTTAGCACTAAATACAATATTTTAATGAATGCACGTCGCTTACAGCGTGACTGACAAACTTATTTGGTCCAGTGGTGAAGGACAGTCGCAACCAGCGCAACCATAAACAGTAATACACCCATTAGAGAAACCATTTTTATGGCTAATTCCACTGTTTCGTAGAAATTACTTCTCTTCGTAACATCCTGCACCTCATCACACCCGTTAAAACATTTTTTGCTGTCGACAATTTGAGTGCCACGATGCTCACCACGCGATGCTACCCTTTCTATGAGCTCTTGCATTGTCAAACCATGTTTCTCTTGTTCAAAAGCTCTCATAAACTCACAATATATGCTATCAGAAACATGCTCGACAGCCTTGCCTTTTTTTCCTTTTAGTCCAGAACCGTGCCTGCATGCTGCTCGTTTAATGTATGCTTCACAGGTGCATGTTCTTTCTAAATTTGAATACTTGTCTTTGTTTTTATCCGAGCCTATGTTCGCATCCCTGTATTTTACCTTTCTCTTACCGATCACGCCACTTATTTTGTCACATAAACCTATGGTGCACCAGAAAAATTCACGTATAAAGCACTTGCATGTCCTAGCCAACAATTTTCCCGCCTTCTTAAGTTCGTTATCAGTTCCATTCCCCGATTCGCTCATATTGTCGATCGCTTCGTCGATGAACTCCTCATTTCGTTCATCTGAAGGATCTATCCACAATCCGCAACCCTGAAACATGCTGAACACTTCCTCAACAATAGATGAAACCGTTCTGCATCCGTTTTGTATAGCGCTCGATATGTACGACCCGAACCAGTACGCGTTCTCATCGTTATTTTCCTCATTATCCTGATCACACTCTTTTTCAACACCTATCCTGGTACATACCGGTTGGTCCGATACGTTCAATTTTTCTTCATTATTTGGGCTATCACCACGCGCTGCTATGCGACACGAGCTGTGCTCTACATTTTGCTGGTAGCTCTTCCGCATCAAATTTGAGGCATCTTCCACCATCTCATCAGAAAGTAATTCATCACAAGGACATGGCGCACTTGAACAGCCCATTATTTGGCTATGAGCGGCATTGTCAGTTCGTGGATGACTGTCAGTCAGACCATCCTTCCCTACCACATCTGCAAAAATACCGGCGTACAGATCATCTGTGATACACGCTTTTCTTGTTGTGCCGCCATTGCCTTTCACATTTGGGTTGTTTACATTCTGGCACTGATACGATCCCTCCTCCGCACACTTACAGACACTTTTCAACTTCAGCAAATCGGCATGCACAAAGATCACCACCATAACCAACATCTCTAGCGTATGAAAATGCATTTTTACCCTGTAATGGGTTTCTTTTTCCGGAATTTAAAAATACTTCCATAACAAGCATTCTCGCCAAAAAGGAAATAGACAAACTTTAAATAGCAATTATCAACGGAACAAAAGTTGCTTTCACTTCACAAATTTTAACAAAACTACTAATTGCATCGCTACAGCGTAATTATTTGCGTACAAAACGATTTGGAAAAAGGCAAATCATGCACCACTTCGTTCACGAGCCCTTATAGCATGGACATGGGATGAACTGCTGCTAATGTTTAACATTCAATGCTTTCATCGTGATCCGTGGTGTTGAGCAAGCAATTATCGATCATTTATTTCTTATTTACGAACTATCTCAACCTTTTGACAGCTGATCATGTACCATTTAAAAAATATATTGGGAATTCGGTGTTATAGAACGGGAGACGGCAGAGAAATACTCTGAAATAGGTGATGAATTTTTACAAACGATTAAGCATATCAATGCGGCTGAATATGCCTGCCTGCAAAGCATCAAATGTTTGTTTGTTCGTTTTCTTTATTTTTTTTGGAGAACCACCTTTAATTAAATAGCTCGATCATACGAATGGAACTAATCGCTAAAAAAGGTGCTTTACCACGCAAATAAACGTGTCTTCAGAGCAAAGAGGTTGTTCACGTTTTACAGTTCTTCATAAAAATATAGAGAAAAGGATGCACGCGCCTTTTGCAGTGATAGTGTATATCTTTTGTTGATGACTGCCTTTTTTAGCACTGCCTGTATGCATGCCCGTTCCGTAGAATCCATTTTAAAAATCTGTCTCAGCCATGGGTGCCTACAGCCTAATGTTACGACCCTGTATTGGAACCATGAGAGTGCTGGTTCTATTGATTCCGATCTTCGTTCAGGACAAGATCCTGACCAATTCAAGCCTGGCATTTTGGTCTACATCTTCGTTTGGCATCTGCCACTACGAATGTGGGCCTGTTACTTCTTAAATGTTGCATCGGTCTTATACAAACACAAGATTGCGTGTTATTTCACTGAGACTATCTCAAATATACGCCCTAGGGGTAAGTAGGGAAATGTGTGCCTACCTGCTGGATCGTCCAGAACTGATAGTGCGCACACGCACAGCAGTATCATGCCTTATTCTCAAATGACCACGCATATCTACGAATGAATGAAATGTTGCATGACGTTCTTCATTCCTTGAAGAGCTACTCACCAATGTGAATAAGAGTAGTTCGGTAAAATCATTGAATAGATTTATTACCTCGCTAGTGGCGCTCCTCAGCCCTAATAATCTAAATTGCAGTACGCGTTGGTCATGCTGACTGAGAATTAATGGAGTGCTGGTTTCCACACCAATCCTACGGTTGCTGCTTCATTGCAACCGTCCCACAATGTTTTCGTGATCAAAAATTTTGACCCTTCACCATGACAACGAAGTGGACATCTACCAAACTACGCGAAGCCTTTATCGAATATTTCAAGACAAGCAATCACACGATTGTGGATAGCTCGTCTGTCATACCGCACAATGATCCAACGCTTCTGTTCGTGAACAGTGGAATGGTCCAGTTCAAACCGGTATTTCTTAATCAGCCCTGTCAGTTTAGCGAGTTAAAACGGGCAGCCTCTATACAGCGCTGTATACGGGCAGGCGGTAAGCATAACGATCTTGAGGATGTTGGGTTTGACACGTACCACCACACGTTCTTTGAGATGATGGGCAACTGGTCATTTGGTGATTATGGGAAGGAACAGGCAATTGATCTTGCGTTCAGGTTTTTGACTGAGGAATTGCAGCTGGATAAGAACAGAATATACGTGAGCTATTACGTGCCTGAGGGATGGAAGGATGGCAAGCAGACTGGTGCACAGACACAGGCTGAAGTGCAGGAGGATGCTGTTGCACTAGAAGCTGATTATGAGACAAAAGGCATTTGGATGAAGTATCTGCCTGAGTCACGCATTCTGCCCTTCACCAAAGAAAATTTCTGGGAGATGGGCGATACAGGGCCGTGCGGACCGTGCACAGAGATACACTACGACTTGAAGGGGACAAATGGCCCAGAACAGGTCAATAAAGACGATCCGTCGTGTATCGAAATATGGAACTTGGTCTTCATGCAGTTCTACAGGAATGAACAGGGCACACTCTCACGTCTCGATAAGTTGAGTGTTGATACAGGGATGGGCATGGAGAGGGTGCTTGGCATCCTCAACGGGACCAATAACTACGATACAGACCTGTTCATTCCGTTGTTTGAGATGACCGGTCTGTCGTACAGCAGGCATGAGAATTTTGAAAAAGAGAAAAATACCGAGGGACTTAGAACACTCTCCGATAATGTGGCACTACGAATAATTGCTGATCACGCTCGCACAATTGCGATATGCCTGTTTTATGACATATCATTTTCTAGCGATGGGGCAGGTTATGTCCTCAGAAGGATCACAAGGAGAATGATAAGAGTGTTGCACAACAAAAATCTTCACAATTTGAAGGAACTTGTTTTAAAGGCAGCAGACATCCTGGAAATACCACTTGCAGATAGTAAAATGGAGCAGTTAGAAAATGAGCAAAAATTGTTCGAAAAGACACTTAACCAGGGCGTAAAGTACTTTAACCAATTTAAGACGATCACAGCAAAGGAGATGTTCATCTTGAAAGACACTTACGGCTTTCCGTTCGATCTTACAGAACAGATGTGCAGAGAGAAGGGGATTGTTATCGACAAGAATGAACTTAAAAAGTTGGTTGAAGAGGGAATAGAGAGAAGTAAGGTAAAGAAAAAGGCGGGTGTTGCTATAAAAGATTCGTGGAACGTTGAATACGAACCAACAAAAGAATTTTTGGAACGTGATTACGAGAACTTTGATAGCTCCCTGTTTTTTGTATTTGATGGCAGTAGAATTATCGAGGAGAAAGATCATGAACAGCTGACAGACAGGGAAATTGGGCTTGTTGCTGACAGAACGTGTTTTTACAGTGAAAAGGGCGGTCAGATTGGTGATGCCGGAGTAATCGTATTTATGGATGAAAATGGAAATGCGATCGGTAAGATGAACGTCAATGATACGCAGAGGAACCAAAAATACGTCGTTCATAAGGGTACAGTTGAGGGACAGGTGAGCACAATGCTAAATATGAAAGTTGATCTGGATCGCAGATTTAAAATACGTTGCAATCATACGGCAACGCATCTTTTAAACCAAATACTGAGAGAAAAGTACGGATCTGCGCAGAAGGGCTCGTTAGTTGCTGATGACAAGCTCAGGTTCGATTACACAATGAACCGTAAATTGGAAGGAAAAGAGATAAAAGAGATTGAAGATAAGCTAAACGAAATGATACAGAACGGTTACAAGGTGACGGTTTATGAGCGAAAATATGATGATGTGAAGGACTGTGCGGTTCACCTTGAGGAGGAAAGCTATCCTGATGTGGTGCGCGTAGTTGATGTGGAAGGTGTGAGGGAACTTTGTGGAGGACTGCATGCTGAGAGCCTTTCGCAGATAAAGTGCTTCAAAATTATCAGTGAGGGCAGTATCAGCTTTAACACGCGGCGAATAATTGCTTATACTCGTGACAGAGCGCTCGAATGCCATGATAACGCATTAAAAATTGAGAGCTTTGAACTGAGCACGTGCCATGAATGGGAAGACAATCTGGGCCTGCTTGATAAAATGCGGTTGATGGACCTGAAGCAGAGCAAAATCAAGGCAAACATGAAAATACGAAAGGAGAAAGTGAAAAAATACAGCCAGTCTCACGAAAGGGTGATCGTTGCAGATCTTATTGGCGATAAAAAGAGTATTTTGAAAGATTTAAATGCAATATTTCACAATGTAAGCCGAATAAATGCCGAAGTGATCGTTCTAGCCAATGTTGATGGTGCGTATCCCTTCGTGTGTAACAACTTGGAGAGGACTGCCGACTACTTAAAACGTTGGGGTGCACAAAACGTTATTAATGTGCACGGCAAGTTGTGCGGTGAAATACCGGAATTGAATCCTAAGGAGTTTACTGATGGTTTTAAATAAACGTGCCAGGTTGAGATTTTTGTTTGCGTGAGATTGGGACTGTTCCTTTTATGAATGCTCGTCTATTTTTGATGGTGTATGCCGTAGTTCCCTACAAGCATTGGAGTAGCCCTGTGCCATGGTTAGACAAAAATCTCACCTGCAATTAAAATTAATCGTTTAAATGTTCATTTTATCATCTTACACTGCAGGAATGAATCTTACCGGGTCGAATATTTCCGAATTGTTTCTGTTGGATCATCGCTTTTCAGCGCTGTCCTAACGACCTATATTAAAATAATGGCGCACCCATCAAAAATGTTGCAGAGAATTACCGGGCAGCCTTCATATTTTACGATTGCTCACAACACTTTGATCTCGCTGGAAAAGAAATTGGATAATGGATACGGCGAGATTGAACACAACAACAATGTCATAGAGTATAGTGTTGATGGCATAGGGCGATACATAGTGAGTAGACAGCCATCTGTTATGGAACTGTGGGTGTCATCGCCGATAAGCGGTCCGAGCAAATTTGAGCTGAAAGACAGGCACTTCGTTGAGAAAAAGAGTAAAACAGAGATTATGAAGTATTTTGATGCAGAAGTACAGAAAATAAAGAGATTGGTGAAGGATAATGGAAATATATAAGGATTTGCGTGTTTGGAGAGGAAATATACGACAAAATAGAGAAATTAGTATTTCAGGGCAACCATTAAATTAATAGTTTGGGCGTACTACGTTTAAATTGCACTTCTTTACAAACAAACGGTTTACAAGAAAGAAAATGCGTAATAAACATAAAACAATTCGGACAGACGTGTTGTTTTGAGGACATATTGTTATTCCACCATATTTTAAAATCTTTTTAACATAGTACAGCAATTATTTTGTTTCCTAAGCCACAATCATCCTTTAACTGCTATTCATCAGATGACATTTAGTACTGCAGCCTTTTAAAGCAGATACATGGTGGTGAGATGGGGCATGCGCGCCGTAATTGTTTACAAATGGCTGCTCATTGCCAAACCAACGCACATGTGATATCATAGGATTATTTTTACAAAGACCAGCGCTATTACAAGGGAATGCCAGAACTTATCCGTCATGGTACGAAATACATTCATGAATAGTTTTAAAAATAATTTACTTGGCACACACACGGATGCGTGCTGATAGAACCTTTGACTCTGCTGTTTTATCAAATATTTTGGAAATGCTTGCGCTTAACAGTATTTGAATGCATTATTTGTTCGCCAATCCGTGCACCTTTTCGTATTTTATGCCGAGCATATCAAAAGATCACCCCTTTGACCTAATAATGGCGCGTTACGTACCGCTCTCTTCAATTTTGCGATGCGGAATCCTGCTTAGCTCCTGCAACAGAACTTTATGAATAAAAGATTGCCTTTTATGACAAGTTGGTGCTGTTATAATCAATCTTTGGCTGTCACGATAAAATAACGTGCTAAGATCGAATTGTTTTTCTTAATTTCGCTGCTCACAACAAACTGAGATATTAAAATAACAATTTCGCACCCCTCATGTCACATGCGGATATAATCCAGGATTTACTGAAATTACGGCCCAATCTTTTTGACGAGGACCTGGGCGAGTTGGATGTTCAGACAAAGCTGATAAATGGCGAGACAGACATGATAAAGTCTGTGATAAGCAACATTGAGCATCAGATACGCGTAAAGAAGGAGGGTATAAACGAGAACTTGAAAAAAATCAAACTTAACCGGCAGATGCCCTACCTGGTCGGAAATGTCGTTGAAATTTTGGATGATGATGAGAATGAGGAGAAGAAGAGTGCGGTTGTGAGCACCAGCACACGTGTAACCTCATTCTTGCCCATGATTGGGCTTGTGGAGGCCAAGGACTTAAGGCCGGGTGATATGGTGTCTCTGCACAAGGAAACAAATGTTATCTTTGAGAAGCTGCCGCCCGACTACGACAACAGGGTTAAAGCAATGGAACTGGATGAGAAACCGACTGAAACGTACGAAGACATCGGTGGACTGGAGAGACAGATCATGGAGCTGACTGAGGCGCTTGTATTGCCCATTACGCATCCAGAAAGGTTTAGAAAATTGAACATAAGACCACCCAAGGGAGTATTGATGCATGGTCCGCCAGGTACAGGCAAGACACTTATGGCACGTGCGTGTGCGGCTAGGAGCGAAACTACGTTTATGAAGCTGGCAGGGCCGCAGCTTGTGCAGATGTATATTGGAGATGGCGCCAAGCTGGTGAGAGACGCGTTCAAGCTGGCAGTGGAGAAAAAGCCAACAATAATTTTTATTGATGAAATTGATGCGATAGGGACCAAGAGAACTGAGTCGGATAGGACCGGTGACAGAGAGGTACAACGAACCATGCTTGAGCTACTCAATCAGCTCGATGGATTCTCGTCATCCGATGATGTCAAAATTATTGCAGCCACCAACCGTGTGGACATTTTGGACCCTGCGCTGCTGAGAAGCGGTAGGTTTGATAGGAAAATAGAGTTCCCGCTCCCGAACACGGACGGTCGAAAGCGCATACTGCAAATACATGCAAGAAAGATGTCTGTGAGCGGTAGTGTAAATTTTGATGAGCTGGCACGCAGCACAGAAGGTTTTAATGGTGCACAGTGTAAAGCGGTATGCGTTGAGGCAGGAATGGCAGCACTGCGAAAGGATCACAAGGAAATTACGCAGAACGACATGATTGATGGCATACAGGAGGTTATGGCCAAGAAAAAGAGTGTTTTGATGTATTTCACGTAATTAAAGCGATTCTTTGGTCCAATTGGTTGTAGAATGCTCTTTGTAACGGGCACGGGTCGAACGTGAGTTATTCCCTACCACTCTGTGCGATACGTGTAGAAATGTGGATCACACTTATTTAAACCGTAAAAGCAGTTGATTGTGTTACTTCGTCTACAAAATTGGGTAAATTTACCTTTTTGTTTGATAGTGAAGGGCAATTGCGTAGATCATGTTATGTGGGAAGAAGGGACATGCTAAGTTTACTTTTATTCCAAACATTTGCACAAGTAGAGCCTGAAGAACAACATCATGTCCAATCATTAGCAAATAACATAAAAGGATACGCACAAACAGATCAACATCATAAATAAAGGCGGTACTTGGCAGTTTAATTATATAAATCCTCCACGTTGTTGTTCTCGGGCCTTTCCTGCCGTTCGTTGTTGCTCAAGTTGAGATTTATGTTCATACTCCTTGCAAACGATTCGTATCTTTCCATGTCCTTCTGAGTGACACTCCTGCGTGTATTCTTTAACGACTCCTGGAAATGTCTCAAACTAACGAAGAGTGGCTCGCTCTCAAGTTCGATGTCTTCCTCATCCACATCACCATTCTTTTTGCGAATGTTTTTCATTTTGTCCATGTCCCTCTGTATGCTCTCCTTGAGCGCAAACTTACGTGCCCTCTGCACGATTTCTGCAATATCTGCACCAGAACATCCTTTGGTCATCTCCGCAACGGCTTTCAGGTTCACGTCTCTGTTAAGAGGGGTCTTCCTACACGTAGCCTTAAAGATGGAATTTCGGCTATCCTGATCAGGCAAAGGTATGAAAATAAGCTGATCAAGTCTTCCCGGTCTCAAAAGGGCGGTATCCAGCTGATCTGGTCGATTTGTCGCACCTATCACGAATACATTCTTCTTCGCGGAGATGCCATCCATCTCGGTGAGCATTTGATTCAAAACTCTGTCTGTCACGCCGGCATCCGATGATCCGCTGCTCCTGCTCTTTGCTATACTGTCCAGCTCATCAAAGAAGATCACACATGGTGCTGAGCTACGCGCCTTATCAAAGATGTCCCTTACATTTGCTTCGCTCTCACCCACCCACATGTTCAGCAACTCGGGTCCCTTCACCGATATGAAATTGGCCGAGCATTCACTTGCCACTGCCTTGGCGAGCAATGTCTTACCACATCCGGGTGGTCCATAGAACAGGATACCACGAGATGGCGCCATTCCCAACTGCACGTATTTCTCAGAGAATTTTATCGGATACGATACAGTTTCCCTTAGTTCATCCTTAACCGCCTGCAAACCACCGATATCTTCCCATTGGATATTGGGCGTTTCAACGACCGTCTCGCGCAACGAGCTAGGATCTGTGTTATCAACAGCATACGTAAAGTCTTCCGTTGTTACCTTCAGCGACGACAGAATCTCAGCATCGACTTTATCCGACTCAATATCAATTTTTGGCATCTTTCGCCTTATCTGCTGCATTGCCGCCTCTGAACATAGGGATGCAATGTCGGAACCTACAAAACCGTGTGTCTCATTTGCGACCTTTTCCAGGTCTACATCCTCTGCCAGGCTCATATTACGAGTATGAATGCGAAGGATTTCCAATCGGCCTATCTTGTCAGGAATACCAATCTCAATTTCCCTTCCAAACCGGCCGTACCGTCTCAGCGCAGGATCAATACTGTTCGGCCTGTTGGTTGCTCCCAGAACAATGACATTTGTCGCCTTCTTGATTCCATCCATGAGCGTAAGCAACTGCGATACAATGCGTCTTTCCACCTCGCCGTGGCTCTTCTCTCTCTTGGGCGCTATTGAATCGATCTCATCGATGAAAATGATTGAAGGAGCATTCTTCTCAGCCTCTTTGAACACATTACGTAAATTACTCTCGCTTTCACCGGACATCTTACTCATGATCTCCGGTCCGTTCACCACATACAGAAACGCACCGGTTTCATTGGCAATAGCACGTGCTATCAGCGTTTTTCCAGTACCTGGAGGACCGAAAAGAAGAATACCTCGTGGCGGGTTGATTCCCAGGCTTGTGTACAAGGACGGGTGACGCAGCGGTAACTCAATGAGCTCTCTTACCTGTGCCATTTGCCTTCTGCAGCCACCCACATCATCGTAGCCTATGCTCTTAAAGTCGGCCTCGGCTGCCTCTCTGTCCACGTCTCCCTCAGATGATATCCTGGTTTCCACCGTGATCAGCCCGTACTTCAAATCGTTTGTACCATCCTGGCTCGAGAGCTCGAGCACCTTAAAATCTACGGTCACCATTCCACACGTTACTGGGATTATGTCTCCCTTACTGATAGGTACGAGCGGCTTTTCAAAGTACGGTTTTATAAAGGTGTCAAAAATAGCCTTATCCGAAAAATTTTTCTTGGTATCTGAAATAGGCTTTATCAAGGCATGGTTTACCCTGGTCAGCGACGAACAGGGGTACAGTTTAACGACATCTTGAATCCTCACCCGCAAGTTGTTACGCGCATGCTTGCTGAGATAGATCGTCTTTTCCACCTTCGAGTTAAAAACACGCACAGTAAAGATGCACTCCCGTCTTCGCTTTCCCCTGACGATGATGTGGCCCTTGTCTCGCACCCTGTGACAGTTCGCCATTTCTTTTGACATACCTAGCTCGTTTATTTCCAGCGTTGTGTCGTGTGGTGGGTCAAGCACGAGACAGCTATTGCCTGTGACATTCTCCAGTATGGCTGAAATGTAATCCCCGTCTTTTTTCTTTTCTGACATTTCCTAGGGTTAATTTATTTTCGAGATTATAAATTTATTTGAAACAAATGAATGATCACTGAGCAAATGATTTGTGGAAGGAAAATTAATTAGGCTTAGCAAAACAGAGCAGTGTGTTAGGTAATGGCTGTATTGTAGGTTGGCTTACGTGTAATTGTTGTATTATACGAACTGCGTGCCTACATTTCGTGTAATTAATTTGTATTTTTATGTCATGGCAATAAAAGCAATGTATTAGAACGTAGTAATACAGAGAATTTGAAAAAAAGCACGTAGGATCGTTATATAAAGGCTATTTTAGTGTTTATGTTTAAAAATAAGTTTACAATGATAATTTGATTGGCTCGGTAAACTGCAATAGGCTGCTCTACGAACAAATCTCATAAAAACCATCTGCCGTGTTAATCATCAAAACGCGTCAATTTTGCACGATCCTGTGCACAAAGCTTCTGGCTCTCATTCACATGAACATATTAATCAGAACATGAATGTCGGTAGCATATGGGGATTAATTAGCATTAATGGCGAGACGGATAATCTTACGCCAAACAACTCTCGATTGTACAGGGCGAAGAACGTGTTAAGTGTGTAATCTACATCAATTTATCCAATATGAGTGCCACTTCCTCATAGAACTACACTTATGCGTGTAACCGTGTGTTAGTGTACTGGGAGTGACTCTGAGTGACATGGGTCGTGTGGCAGATGTGAAGCGAAAATACCTGAAAACTTTGAACTGCCCTGCAACATAAATTAGGTAAAAATTTATTTGGTATGAATCCGCTGGATGATAGCATAGCATGAAAATGGCACTGAACATGCTACCACAAAAGCAACTTTGGCATAGGATAAAGAAATTTTGCATTTCACATACGTAAATTGATTCGTGCTGACAGCCAGCACGGTCAATGACAGAACAAGAACAGCAAGACATGGCATATTTAGAGGGTCAGCAGCGTCAAATACCTTTACTCATTCAATATGTTTCCTTTGTTGTCGTTGAATACACAATTCTTGACATGTGGTATGAATGTGCGTTGAGTTGTAGAACAAATCGAGTTTTTGCCGTTTGCAGCGTATATCCTGCGTGAGTACATTGCAAAACAAAGAATGGTAACCACTCACTCCCACCATACGATACATTACAATCTACAATTATCGATGAAACACAATGATGAGTGCCAATGAACTGATTCTGTGTCACAGGAATAAAACATAAATCTACCGTTTCTTAATTATATGAAATTAAGCAATATTTACGGCGGTAATAACGAATACTTTATTTATACTTTAGTTGCGATCTCTTTTAGGTACATTTCTCGGTTTGCGTGTTGAAATTGGTTTGCTACACTTCGGAAATAAAAAATTCACAAACGAGCAGAACGCTAAACCGCATAGTACCAGCATTAACACAATCATTGAAAACCATAAAATTAGAAGAGTGACGAAGCAGCCCGACCCTAACGTACTGATCTCCATATTCTGAAAGCTTCTCTGGATAATTCTCAGAGCTTGAGACGGGCTTAAACCATGCAAAGAATGAAATGGGTCTGAGGTGTTTTGCCGGACACGGTGTTGATTTCTAGACCAGTCTGCGCGTGGAACTGTGGATGTACCGTTAACTGACTCAATGGTTGTTCCTTCGCTTAGTGTTGCCGATTGATCTACCAATGGCGTACCATCATCTGCAAGTTCTACTATTCTTACCATACGGCGTCCTGGGCCTCAAAAAGACTTTTTATACACCCGCATACTTTTTTCATCCAATTTACCATAAATAAACCAATACACCGCCAAAAATTTGCAGGCAGAAGTGGACAATCACAAATAAAAGGTTTGCTGAGCCATAAGAGGTATCAATGTGCAGGTAAAGTTCTAATTAAAATGTTTTTAAGTAACAACGCAGCATTCGTAGAAACATGCTTTTGAAAAAGTGTGAACAATCGTTTTGAAATAAAACATTTCCATTTTAGTACAGTTTTTCGGATTTGAGCATGCATTGTAATCTGATTTAGTCGTGGTGAAGTGTTTGCCGGCAAGTGAATGAATGCCCAAACTATGCTTGTGCTTAGCGTATCAACAGACATAGACCAATTATTTTATGCCGTATACCATCAATTAATTTACCACTATTTGTTATTGTCACTCATGATGACTTGTTGAACGTTTTATTCACGGTGTGCACAATTAACTCACACATTCTTTATTTTCAGTACCGATAGAGTTAAACAGAACGGCACGTTGAAAACCACATCAAGTAAGGGATGCGCTACAATTCTGCACGACAAATGGTCTGTTCTAAACTGCAAGACTAAACATAGCACTGTACGTAGAATAATACGTAATCTAAATTGTACATTCAAACTCACCCTATATCTCTAATACGTGATCTAAAAGTACCTTTCTGCTTCATCCATATCTTTAATACGTGCTATAGCTAAATTTTACATTCAAATTCATTCATTTGCATATTTTTCTATCTTTTTCTCTGCAAATTTATAGTTCATGCTGTTACGGACTGGTAGTTGCTTGTTGTCGGCTAGAAGTAGCTGTTGTAGCTCCTCAGCCTTTGTTCTGTATAAAAAATGCACATTATCTGTAAGCCATTCCATCAACTCTTTTCCTTCACACAACCACTCTGCCCATAACATTATTACTATAGCAGAGCTACACACTGTATAGGAGGTCTAATTGCGCTCACCTGCTGCTCTTAACCTCCAAGAATAAGATTTTTCTTATCTCGCAGATTTAACATTCATTTTAACGAAGCGCATCCGTTGATGCATTGGAGGCACTGTCAACAACGTGATCACAAGATCACAGCAGCCCTATAACTTCAGCCATCCTACGATTACAGCCATCTACCAATCAGCAATAAACTCGCTTGTGGTATTTCAACCGTTTTTCTGATCCTCACAGTATGTTCTTCCACCAATACAGCTGATCAACCAAACGCACTTTTTTCTTCCATTTTGGATGGCGAACACTGAGCAAGCAGCTCGTTCCGGTTAAATTGCCTCGTATCGAGTGTTTATGACACTTAAACACGAATAACACCTGTTCTTGCTGCCCTCCACTCGTTGCAAGTGATCGCTCACGATCATCAAAAACACTGTTATTGGTTCGGATAGTCTGCGTGGAGCATACTGCTCCTACAGTTCTGACAAGTTTGGAGGTATCAGCTTACTTTAGCCGAATTACTTCCGTTTGACTACCAGCTGGCAGCACGGCACAGGTCACTAGGCGTTATCACCTGCTGCAAGTTTCCATTCCTGGCGCTAAGGGAGAAGCACGGCATCGCGTCTCTTTACACGTAAAAGCTTTCGTTTGGCCATTCTTTTGTTATTTTGGCAAATCGAGCAGTTAGCACCATTTTAGCACATTACTGCACTCTTCTGCAATTGGCAAAGGACCGGGATGGCAGAGAGCGTTATAATCAGGCAGAAGCACGCCAGTAGATGAGCAGAGTCATTCATACAAAAAAGATGTTTGATATTTCATTAAAATATTCGTTTATTCGATCTGTTTATAACATTTTTTTGTGGTATAACCGCTACACGTAAGTTATAAATTTTTTATGTTATCTGAAGTTGACAGGACTTGCCCCTTTAGAACCTGCCGGTCCCAAAGAGTTGTACCCTAACAAAGCCGTAAAGCGTTTGGTCTCGGTAGTGTATATTTGTCTCGAAGATCAAGGTGCGCCGACAGTTGGGTGTCTTTGGAGAGTCTTGTCATATGCTATCTTGTGATGTCAAGAGAACCGCACTCTCTAAGAATATCATCGCTCCTTATCCACAACCTCTGAGTTAACACTTCTCGCCCTTTAACATGCCTTTTGCTAGCGCATCTCTTTGATGTTGTGACCTGAGGCCCTACCTGTAGTCATTTCCACAAATATATCTGCCAAGGGTGATCTGAACCCGGAGTGGTCCGCATCCCTGCCCGGCTGCAAAAACGCATTTAAAAATATGGAACAGCCATTCCCACCCCTAATGTTGTTCAAATACAAAATAATCTTCAAAGATGAACCATATGATTTGCACGTACCAACAATCATCAGAAAGTTCGGCGGTACGTTTTTAATGTCCAAAATTGATGTGAGAATCAAGGATGGACACTTAATTATCGAGGGGCAAGACAAATATGTATGGAGAGCACACGCTGGGCTATTCCTCTATCGTGGTGTTCATTTCTTATTGGTGCGTTGATGCATTGTATGATGTCTCTCTAATAACTTACTAGCAATGCCGTGTACCGGTCCTTGTTCATACGACAAAAAAGAAGAATCGGTTTGTTACAGACAGAAAATGGTCTTGTTATGTATCATAGTTCAAAATATTATATTTGTACTAGCTGCGCTATTTCTGCTTGTAAAACAGAGCAAAGTTTGATTGCTCATTAAATCACGTTTCTATCCTTTGATATGTTATGTTTTTACTTGTTGTGAGTACGGTAGGGGTCAAAGAATTATTTTAGATTCGGCAATCATAACCTTTTGATGTTGTTCATAAAGAATAGATGGGCATGTCTTTAGAAAGAACGAGTTGAATAATAGTGCTCAACTCGTTGTTGCGTAGAAATGAGGAAATAAATTTACCTTGTTCATAAAGGGCCGAATAATATTCCCTTACCAACCGATCAATCAGCTTTCGAGTTCTTTTTATATTTTAAAATAGATGGCCTTCAATAATGAGAATCAGTGATTTTCCATATAGACATATCGTCATAGATAATTTTCTCACCGAAGAGGAGTTTGTCACGATTGAAAAGGTGTATAGGAACATAAAGTTTTATGAAAAACACACAGACCTCTACCATTTTTTTCAGAGCAATGAACTCGTTGAACTTGAAAGCTTGAAGTTCTTCAAAAGCAAAATTTATGAAGCAATGAGGCCGCTGGAAGAATCCGATGGATCAAAAACTGATGTAAACTATGAAACCGTTGCGAATGAAAATGCTTTGAACGTGGTATCTAACGAAAATAAACATTGGTTCAACGTTTTCGCTTCTTATTACGACGTAGGACACTATCTGCTGTGCCATGATGATCTGATCGAACATAGGAAGTACGCTTTTTCGTATTATTTGAACGATTTTTTGTCAGGAGAACTGATACTTTTCAATGAAGATGCTAATGTGGAAGTTGAAAGAATAGAGGTCAAACGAAATCGGATAGTTATCTTTGAAGTGTCCGAAAAATCCTTTCATGAGGTTAATTTGTGTGCACAGCCAGGTAGAAAAGCATTTACAGGCTGGTATAATACCGATATAAAAACTGAACGAAGAAGTAAAAAATTTGAAACGAAGAAAAATACGGCTGTACTTGAATACGTCGATATATGTGATGAGATAGCTGGTGACTGCATGTTGATGGAGGTAGGCGAATACGATTTTGAATGGAAGAGCAAGGAATTAATAGGCCCGTTTACCGAACAACGAGTCTATTTGCTTGATGTGCAAGAGATTTTAGTGCCAGTCATTTCAAATTTGAAGTTTGTAGAGTGCGATTTCTATGAATTCGAGGCCAATAATTACATCTTAATGAAGGAGAGGGAGCAGGGCGAATACTACGACATGTTTATCATGAGATGCATCGACGAAGAAATTCAAGGTAAGAATTTCATCACGTACATTGACACAAATGGTGCCATAGCATTCTCTCTAAAATTTGAGAATGAATCGCTTTATCTGGTCAAAAGAAACGGACTTAGCTTCTTTGTACCACGTACGGATTGTTCCTTTTATTTGGCGCATTTCGTTTTCATCATACATTGAGAACTAATTAAATGATTATTAATTATTGTATGAACTGATCAAAAATTGAGATTCATCTTTGTGCCATCAAATTATACGTTACGTATAACCGAGTGTCAAAGAACGTAACATATTCAAATTCCGATTTAATCCAAACAATTTCATTTACTATCAATTCTGAATAAGAAAGATATACCATGACATTTTGTTTCTCCGTTCAGCATCCTGCTGCAATGTATTGCTAGAACTTGTATCCAAACAACTTCTCGTAGTAAGCTCTTAGCTCCTTGCTTATCTCACCATTAGTGTTCTTTATGTCTGAAATCTTTAGATAGTCCAGGTCTGTCAGCTCTATTTCATCCAAATCACTTTTTTTGGTCATTCGGGGCAAAAACGACGCGATAAGTGTTTAAACGCAATTAATCAAAAAATTCATTCAGACATCAAAAATATTTTAAAAAGAGTTCGCCACTACAAATCATACCCGATGGCACATTCCTTGTTATCCGCACACTAAGCAGTAACACATTATAACTTTAAGCATGTGTAACATAGTTCAAATTGTATTTTGTACTTCTTTTTTTATTCCAAACATGTATCGCTACTCGTTGAACATACTTAGATGCTCCGCACATCTTCAAATGATCACCTGGTTAAAGCATTGCAGGTTCTTACTTCAGGAGCTTTAGCCCCAAACTTTCGAGCATCTCTAAGCACTCTTTCTTTTCCTTCTTCATTTTTTGTGCACTCCATGACATTCTCTTTACAAATATATCCATTACTTTGTCAAGAGCCTTTTCACATGCTTTCACATCCAAAAATCCTAATCGAGTTCTTCTCGTCAATACATCGGCCGGCTTGCACGCCATTTCATGATCTATAGCATAGTATACTTCTTCCTCTGTGTACATGTAGTCGTTGTGCAGTCTTTTTAGCGGCTCCCTCCTGTTTTTGTAGTTCTGAAAAATCATTGACCGGTCTCCGTAGCGCGTTACGAAGTGCATGGCCTCATCTTCACTAAGGTCGAGTTCACGCTGAATATCAGCTGAAAGCTGCTTTGTGTAGTTGTGTGAGCCCAACATTTTGATGTAATTAGTTACGCATGGTCTTGCTGGGTTTAAATAGAACTTTTTTACCGCGAGATCGATTGCATCTTCTGCCATTTTTCTGTGTGTAGTCCATTTTCCGCCTGCCAATACGAGCAAATTCTCCTCAGTAAGGTATGCTATATGGTTGCGTGCCAGACTCTTCGTGTCCTTACGTGATGGATCCTTAACAAGCGGTCGTATTCCACACCATACCGATGAAATATCCTTCTTCTTCAACATCTTATCCTCTTTTAAGAACCTATTGGCCTCATTTAGAATGTACGATATTTCCTCATCTCTTGGTTTGGGTTCTTTCTCAACTTTGCACGGATTGTCTGTGCAGCCTATGATGGTTTTGTTGAGCCATGGAATGAAGAAAAGGACGCGATTATCGCTTGTATTTGGATTGATAAGGCCCATATCGTTAGCACCGTACTCCTTCGGTACAACTATGTGGACGCCAGAACTGGGAACAACCAGGCTTGGTGATTTAGGATTTGCCAACTTCTTAATCTGGTCAGTGAATGGACCGGCTGTGCTGATGACACATTTTGCACGTATTTTAAACTCCTCGCCACCGATTCTGTCCTTGCATACCGCACCGACCACAACACCATCGTTCTTGATAAGCTGCTTTACGGGTGAGTAGTTGAGTATATCTGCGTTGTAATATGCTGCAGTCAGCGCTATCACTACGTTTGAACGACTATCATCGTGTATTCCATCATAGTACACTATACTGCCTTTCAGCCCATCAAGTTTTATATTTGGAAAGTGTTGCAGTGTCTCTTTGGTGCTTATGTGGTAGCTACCGCCCAGCGATTTATTCCAGGAGAAGTAGTCGTACATTTTCAGGCCCATCAAAAAATAAGGCACCAGTATTTTGCTATACACAGGCAACATTAGTGCAATTGGCTTTGCCATATACGGTATGGCATCTATCACATACTTCCTTTCCTTCAATGCCTCTAATACGAGCTGTAAATTACTTAGATCGAAAGATTTTACTGCCTTGTCCAGATAGCGCACGCCACCATGCAACAGTTTTGTACTTTTTGAGCTCGTTTCACTTCCAAAGTCACCGGACTCGACCATCGCAACTTTCAATCCCCTGGTAGCTGCATCCAGCGCACATCCTGAACCGGAAGCACCCCCACCAATGACCAGGACATCGTAGTACTTTGTTTTCATGTTGTGTATTGTGGTATGTCGGCTTGAAGGCTTCCAGGATAAAGGTGGGTGTGCATTAAGCTCCTCGATCATTTTTCTTTTTCGTTTGTTGTCGTAGTGGTTGTACACGACGTAGCTCAGTACTATTGTGCCTGTCAGAAGTGCTATTTTACCTGTTTTGCCCATTTCCAGCACTCAGCCTCCTACTTTTATTGTTTACGAACATATCAGTGGTGTTTTAGATAGGAACACCTGATTCGTTCCATAGGGATGATAAGTACAAAGATATGCCTGTTCAGCCACATTACGTGATTGTCATGACTGGTAATGGTGCGGCGAATAAATTTGTTACCGGTTACGACCGGTCATTCTCCGAGTTTACGGTGTTCCTCAAATATTTACAAGATGTGAGCCGAGACACGCCATCTGCGACCACCAAACGAAGAGTTTAACTGTGCAATCGGTGATTTTGGGCGTGAAACTGTGTAATAAAAGATAAAGCGCGTAACAATCGTCATTACTATGCCATAATGCTGTGTAACCGAGCAGTTGTGAACACCTTACAGCAAATCGTTGTTTCTATTGAGAATCTTGCAATCATCTTACGATAGCACAAACGAATAGAATTTTTACAGAAGATGATCTTTTTACTGTCAACATAAAGGAATCACCTTTTGAGAATAGGAAGTGATAGTACCTTAGTGAATCGCAGGTAGCAAATGATACGTCCAGCCAAATCTTGATAGCAATCGGTAATCACTCTTTCTCTCACAACTTCCGATAAATCATCAAAAAGTAATACTAACGCGTATTACGATGCGTATTACGCCATGATCTGTGCGGTAAATAAATTTAGTTCTCATTCTTGAATTAAATCCTGATGGATACTTCGGTAACACACGGCTTAGATGGACACTTTCAATTCAAATGTTACACCAAATTGTTGTTTCACATTGCTTGAAGCGACCTGAAAAATAGTCGAAGGAAATTATTTGAAACGAATGCCCTGCTCTCAAGCAGATCGTAGCGTTGAGAATGAGTGAGGAGTAGGAGACGATGCCCTGCAGTATTTTTCTGTGTTTACTTCATGTATTTATCTGAGCTTTCAATACCCGTTCAGTTCATCCATGATTGTGTTGATGCTGAGAAACTCAGCAATTATATTTTCATCCACATTTCGTGTGCGCATAGACATAGCGATTTAACAGTTCATATGAAGGTAAATACACGCTGTCCATGAACCGCTCATTCCATGCATTTTGATGTGCAACCTTCAATCTCGTTCTTTAATCGTGTTGAAGTTCAAGCTTGTAAAAAATACTTCTTTTTTGAAGGTCTGGGATAGGAACAGGTGGAGCAAATATTCACGCAATCTCCCATCAAGTACGTGTTTTAATTCATATTTACCGCACACACCTGCAGAGACACTTTTTAATGGTATATAACGGATCGTAGAAAAATCTTTTTGTGTACTTTCCATATTCATCACATGGGAAAGCAGCGGGTGAGAAGTATATATCACGCTCTAAACAACACGTTGCTCACCTCATACCTCTCTTCATAGGTGCGTACATCGCAATACTAAAATATCTTCACCACGTACCCTTTTATGTCAAAAAATCGATCATGGAAAGATTTCTTAGCACTTCGGTCCGTAATGAGCCGGTACGAAAGTAAAAAAGCGCCTGGCACGCCTGATAAATCACAGGATGATCTGAGCGTGATTAAAGTGGACGTTGAGAGAACATATTTTGATTATGGAGACATGGACGTGGCCCTGCTCAGGAAAGAGCTGTTTAACCTGCTAATACGGATGCCGTTCGAGTACGTACAAGGAATGAACGATGTAGCAGCTGTCTTGGTGTACTTTTACGCCGAGAGCGAGAGTGTTGACGACGTGACACTCAACAGCATTGATGTGGATGACATAGCGAGTGATGATTCGGATAAGGATCGTGGTGAAATCTCTCGGTGTAAGAATGGCCAAATCGCTGGGAGCAGTACCACATGCAAGCATAACAGCGGCGGTAAGAGCGCGGCAGACGAGAGCATTTTCGAGGAGCTCGAGAAGTACGCCGACGTAACAAATTTGATGAGCAATGCGACACGGAACAGGATGCTTACGGCTGTATACCACATCATCAAGGACAAGTACCTCTGTCTTGTGCAACACGAGTTTAAAACGTACCTAGCGAAGAACAAGGTGATGCTTAACCTGCTGAACAGGGAGCAAAAAAATGTAAGTGTGAACGAAAGCATAAAATTTATGAATTACACGTTGACATGGTTCAGCAGAATATTGAGGAGGAAGGATGACATTTATTTTATCTTTAAGATCATACTTGAGGAAGATGTTGGCATGCTGTTCGTTCTTATGCTCAAGTTTTATAACGAGAAGAACATAGGGAACCGCAAAATGTTCATGCTTGATCTCAAAAACCTGAACTACGAGTTCAAAGAGGAAGAGAACGAAATCAGGAAAAAAAAATTTAAATTTTGGAAGAACAATTTGGGATTTTTTGTGATTGCCGTACTGATTGGTATTAATTTGGAAATGCTGTTCTTCAGTTGTTGCGTTGGCACCTGTAAGGGTAATTAAAGGTGATTATTGTTCAATTTACTGTTCATGCCTGCCATCGATGGTGAATTTACATTAAGTTTGTGCATTTTTTGCTGATAGCTCGTTCATTTACCTCCTACAACACCGAAATGACTTTCCTGTCTGCTGGGACCGACCCACGCCACCGAAATTCGCCAAACACAAAAAATATAAAATCGCCCATTTTCACACCCCTCAGAATGCAAGCGCTCAACATCCAAGACGAGATAAAATCGCCACGTGTAAAGTCTGTGTGCTTTCATCGCAGCCGACCGGTTGTTCTGCTGGCCCAGCACAACGGAGAAATTCGTGCATACGACTACACGCTCTCATCCTTCATCCACAAGTTTCTTGACCATGATGGACCTGTGCGATCGATTCAGTTCCACCAGCACAACGATATTTTTGTGAGCGGGGGAGATGACCAGTACGTGCGCATTTGGGATTACACGAACAGGACGAGCGTTAAACTGAAGGGACATTCCGATTACATACGGTGTGTGCGTTTTCATCAGAGTGAACCTTTCGTGCTGAGCGCGAGCGATGACAGGACGGTAAAGGTTTGGAACTTTCAGAGCAAGAAGAAGATTAGGACACTGGCAGGGCACACGAACTACGTGATGTGTGCTGAGTTCCTGCACGACAAGCGTGTTGTGAGTGTGTCACTTGATCAGACCATCCGCGTATGGAACATCGATGATGGCACCTCTGAGATTGTGGAGGCGCACGATAAGGGCATCAACACGCTCTCAGTGCTTTTTAACAACGGCAACTTTGCGATTTTCACAGGCTCGGATGACAAGTGCATCAAGGTGTTCAACTCTGACCTGGTCAGCACGGAGTCGTTCAACTACCACAACAAGCCGGTCACCGCGCTGCTTTCGTTCAATAAAGTTGTCGTAAGCTGTGGAGAGGATGGCATGCTGTTCGTCAATGAGAACAAAAAGACGAGGCGCATTGAGAAGGAGGGCCGTTTTTGGTGCCTGGCGCGCAACAGCGAAAATGTGATTGTGGCCGGTCATGACGAGTGCTTCATCATCTTCAAGCTCAAAAACGATCTCGTGTTCGACACGAATTACGTGGTCAGAGACAACCGGGTGGTGAACTACAAAAATGAGCGCATCGCTGATCTGAAGAAAGAAGCGAAAGACATCTGCTCGTACAGAGACATGCTTATTGTGAACTATGCGCACCGCTTTGAGGTCTATAGAGTGCGCGATCAGAAGCTGAGCTGGTCTGAAACAGGCAATGCTGCGTTCTTCAACGATCTCATCATTTGCAGCAACAAAGGCGAATTTCACGCGTATCAGCTGAACGGGCAGGTCAAGGACGAGTGCATTTTCTTTTTGGTTGGGCGGGTCGTCGGTTTTAGGACGGTGTTCTTCGTGCTCAACGAGAAGAAGATTCTGATGGTAAACGCAAGCTACGAGAGGAAGAGCACGAGTGTTCCGTTTGTGGTTACGAACGTGTATTACAGCGAAGAGAATGAGCCGATGTGTGTTGTAATTGGTAAGAACGACCTCATGGTTCTTGACAGCAACCTTGATGTGGTACGGCACGTGAACGATATGACCAGGATCCTTTCTGCCGTGATATCGGACGGTATGGTGTTCTACAGCACGGAGAAGCAGCTCAGGTATGTCTTTAAGCATTCGGAGGGTGTGATCTGTTCGGTAAGCGGCGTGAACCTCGTCAGAATGTACAAGAAGGATGGGAGGGATGTTTGTCTGCTCGTGAGCGACACGCAAATCATTGAGCGAGAAGTGAACTTGGACGAGATAAAGTTCAAGCTTGCGGTACTGAACAATGACAGCGAGGCAATCGCATCACACATCGGAAATCTGCCGGGTATGGCGGTCGTTAATTTCCTGAGACACAACGGGCGTGGTGACATTGCCCTGCCTTTCATACATGAGCGTGCGCAGAAGTTCAAATTGTACCTATCGATGGGGGACATTGCAAGTGCCTACGAAATTGCGAATGATCGGAACGAATACACGCAGATTTACCAGATGGGAATGAAGAACGTTGAATTGATCGACAAGAACTACGACGTGCTGGAGGGCTGCCTGAGGAAGATGGACGACGAGCGCAAGCTGTTCATGTTTTACCTTGTGACGAAGAATGATGAGAGGATACAGGCTATGGTTGTGGATGATTTGAACATCAGGCTGCTGCGCTGCGTGTACTTGGGCGATAAGAATGGGGTAATGGAAATTTTGCGAGACAGCGAGAATATTGTGGGTAATCAGCAGATGATTGGAGAGGGTTTAGTGGAGGAGAACGATGCCGATGAGGACAGGTATTATGATTATGATGGAGAGGGCAAGTTGTATCATGTTGAAAGGCTCAGTGAAAGGATGAATTTCGTTGTAGAGGGGTTAAATGCTGAGGAGGAATTCTGCAAAGCGATGAGCTACATCGATGCAGGAAAGGCAAAAGATACTCTCAAAGTGCTGTACACTGTTTTGTACTCGCTAGCAGACTCGTTGGATGAAGAGAAGCGGTTCCTGATTGGCCGGTACGTGGCCGGTTTAGAGAGCGAGCGTAAGAGAAAGAAAGAAACAGATGTGAAGCGTGCACTTGAGCGTGCGCACTTTTTCTATCACCTTGATCTGCTGCCACAGCACCGCAAAATACAGACGGAGAATTACGTCGCCGTATCGTACAAGAATGGAAACTACGCGAGTGCGAAGCTCGCGGCCGAACATTCAGACGATGAGTTCTGCATGAAAGTGCGCAAGAGCAAACATGAAGGTGATGCGATTGAGGTGGGTAAGGGCGTGTTCTGTGTTGACGAGGGTGGTTACCGCGAGAAGGGGCGGCAATGCGTTTTTTGCGGATGTTACAACGTGAATGATGAGTGTGGAGGGTGTTACATTGGTGTAGTAAACGATGAAATGTAAAATTAAAGTGATTTGTTGAAGTGCGGTCAGTTTTTTCAATACTCGCAAATTTTGGATAAATTCCTGAAGGCACCGTAATACTTTACCATTCTTGTTTTATTACAAGAAAACGAACGCCTTCGCTCCAAGTACTTTATAATGTGCTCACTCATCCCTTTGAACCGGTAGATGCCTTTTACATCGCACAGTACTTAGATGAGCTTAATTACGCCTTATACTCCAAATATTTGTAAAATAATTATTTTATTGGCACTGCAACAATCGTAAGCTTCAGCCACTCGTCAATAAACCGGTCATTACTTATTTTTTTGATGAAGGCATGTCTAATTAAATTACATTTATCACGCTCATCTCCAGCACCAAGTTGATCATGATATTTTGTGCTGGGTGCTGCGGTACAATATTCCGCTTGCATGCGGTTTTCCGGTCGTCATAATCGTACGATACGATTAATGATTTATTAAAAAATGATAAAACAAAACGATGAGTAAGATTGCAAACAAAGTGAGTAATGAGAATGATAAATTCGTGTGTCAATGAAAGTAGCACGATAATACGCGGTGAATGAAACTTCTATTTCGAGATGAACATACCTAGATCACGTGTTCATAGCTTTAATAAGGATCATAGTGCCACTGCAAAGTATAACTGGGCATTTATTCGAGCTGGCAACACATGACGTAGCTGAGGTACGTCTTGCACGATAAAACGGTTCGATAGTGATATCCATGTCAGAATTGAGCAGTAACTTCATTTGCACTTCAGTACTCGATCATAATTGATGCGTTTGGTTCGAAGATAAATTAAGTAGAAAAAACAACAAAATGAATGCTGACTCGTATTAGTGAGCGCTCAGAATGAGTGAAACGTAATAACAACTTATCATTGAAGGAAAGTTATCAATTTGTTGTTCCTATCGCATCGTTTCCGTATTCCGGTAAAAAAACGCGTAATTATAGCCGTTTCAGCTCGGAACGAAATGGTGCAAACCAAACAAACCTATGGTTTACAGGCATCGTATCGACACAGCACATCCATCGGTACTCGGTAGATTAAAGTGATGTTATGCTGATGTTATTACACTTTTATGATTGGCACCAAATTTATCACCACGTTAATTTATCAGCTTAAAAGTATAAATAGAGAAAAAACACACCACACCATGTTGTTCACTCTTTTAATACCTCACATAAGTGCTGAAGCGGCCCCATATGTAAGGACGATATCTGATGCCATACTTGTTGAGCCTGTGCCGAACCAATCATTCGATATGGATCTTCATGGCAACCCGGACAGATCATACTATGGAACGATGAAATGTGACGATGTGATGATGCCAATTAGTGGTAGCATGGGTGATGGATATGGGTCTTATGCACCTGCAGCGGCATCGTATGCAGCACCTGCAGCGGCATCGTATGCAGCGCCTGCAATGGCATCGTATGCAGCACCTGCAATGGCATCATATGCACCGACAGGTGGAAGTCACTACGCAGCAGAAAGTATGCCCGTAGCACAGCCTTTTTTCATAGCTGATCAGGGAATGAGTGGTGCTATCATGCAAGGGCAGGGACAAGGACAGGCTGGCGCTGCAACAGGAGGAGCGGGAGGAGCTGCGGCCGGAACTGGCAAGTCAGAAGGTGGCGCGGGCAAATCATCCGGATTGAAGGACGAAAAATCCGGTGATAAGAAAGGAAACAGCAAGTCTAGCACAAAGAAGAGCAGCAAATCGAGCTCAAAAACTAAATCCAGCAATGGAGCTGCCTCAATCAGCATAATGTCTGCCTTATTGGGTGTTGCCTTGTGCGTAATTCTCGTATAAAGGTTACATTAAAGAACAAACATCATGTAAGCTTTTTTACTCGCATTTTTTATTACAAAATGACCGTGTCTGCTGCCAATTATCGTTAAATTTGGTATTTGGAGCAGTTATTTCCTCTGGTTACTTCTTTGGCATAAGCGTCATGAGGTTGGTTTTAGATTCGGTTGTGGCCAGCAAAAATACAAAGTTTGTATTTTCAGCGTTTTTGAAGAAGTTTTAGCTTCATTTAACAGGAATTGTCGTTTTGGGATTCGGAAAAAACTTTGGTCAATGGTCATTTGATCTAATAACCAAAAAGATTTAGTTCTTGGAACAAATGACCATGGCAACAATACCTCATGGATAAGCAAAAGATTAATTTTTGAAGACTGTTTGACAGTGTGAAATTTATTTGCAAGCAGTCAACGTGTTTGTTGCTCACAATAAATTTTTTTTCATTTATCTCTTCATATTTGAACAAAATGCAGTAAGCAGTTTCTAATATGCGGCGTGAGAGTCTGAGGTTAATTATGAAATAGCAAAAGAGTATGTACGGATAAAAGCGTGATAAGCAATCTTGACACGTGAGTTTAATTAGTTTACCTCTGCCATCTTGAAAAGTAGTTGTTACTACTTCGGCAATTAATGAACTGCATTAATTAACATGTGTATCAATGTTCATGTATGCCTATCGCCTGGTTCGACACTGTGTAGTCACTCCAACGTAAAGAGACAATATCCATTCTGCTGAAATAATAGGAAGAAAACCGCGTGGCATCTCCTTCGGAATTACAAATGATTGCCCAAATATCGAACATAATTTTTCGGCTGAACGTTTACTTGACAAGAACCATATCTGTCTGTAAATTCAGAGAAAAAGAGTTTCACAAGGTTCTTCTGCGAAGATGTTATGTAAATCATAATTTGCGCGTTAAAGTTACTATTGAGGTTGCAGAAGACATTTATGTTGTGATGAAAGTGTGTGAAATGTTGTGCGGGTTGGCGCACCAATTTCTTTCATGACCAGAGGTTAGTGGCCATGATTGGTCCCAACGACCATACAAGTGTGTTTATTTGAGTGTTGTGATATATGAAGGTAAGAAAACGTACTTTTAGCAAATAAATCGTGTCATTTATAATGCTGGTAGAGATAATTAAGCTAGTCTAAAAAATAAATTGGATAAGTCTAACTTAAAATTTCATTTGTAGCGTAAAGTAAAATTTGTTCGATTTTTCAAAATGATTAATTATTTAACTTTAACAAATTAAATAATTAACTCTCATAATTTTTAAATATATTTTTTAGTGCTAATTTACCGTTTTTAAATTTGATAATGAGAAAACGGTCCTACAATCCGTTTCATTCAATCACCATTCCATTACAAACACAATGGCATAGACCAACCTTCATCTGATAAAAGAGTCAGAGCGCCAACTGTAAGTATTCTATTGTAATCAATTACTGTATTATATTTGTTTGTTGTGCAATCAAATAGAGCCAATCCACGCTCATATTGCTTCTACAATTCGGCACAACACAAAAACTTGTTATTCGCCCATTTGATTAATTGAGAATATTGGGTTACCATTAAAACTAATGAGCAATAAGTAAATTTAGTTTAATTCAATTTAATATTAGAATTAATTAATTCTTTTCTTAATAAGACTAATGTTCAAAGCATAAAAGTTTAATTCAATTTAATATTACAATTAATTAATTCTTTTCTTAATAAGACTAATGTTCAAAGCATAAAAGGACGAGACAGATTCCAATCCATGTTGTTTAATTTGTACGGCTATGTTGAGGCAAGTCTCAAATACATACTGGTCTTCAAAAATGAACAAGATAAAGATTTTTTGATCTTCGAAAACCCGGCAGATATAGGAATGTCTGGCCTGTTGAATGCACATGAAAGAGATAAAATGATGCAATCATTACCGCATGAGATCAGAAGCACATGTTTTCTTGGTAGAGATACGGTCAATAAAAGCTTTGACTACGATGATAGTACCTATCATAGTCACATTGCTGGTATCAAGAGGATCAGCTATGGGACATACCATGATGTGATTAAAGAAAACCCAGACATCAAATTTGTAGTTATTAATGTACCAATATCCATTTTATTGTATCAAAAAATCATGAAATTGTCGCAAAATAGTAGTTTTGACAAAGATGTACCTACCTTTGATACAGATGAAATTTGTGCACTCGTGAAGTATTTATCATTATTTGATGAATACGGGAGAGGAGCGATTGCGTGTGCAGTGTGCATGCATTTGTTGAATAATCCCGAGCTGCTCCAGGAAATGAAAAACTACAATCACGATCCTAATAACGGCCAGTATAACGAGTCAACTATGCTTCTCTCCAAATATATATTTGGATCAAGCGACATTGCGACACAACTTAGAAAATCGATCAAGTCATATGTTATACTTGCCTTGAAGGATAAAGATAAAAATCGGGCAAGCATAAGTGGAAAATCGAAATTTTATGGTTACCATTATCGAACCGTTAATTCACACAAGTTTACATTAGCCTTCTTGTTTTATAAGCTAGACATGAATTACAAATGGTTGCTGAATAACAAGGAGATTTTAGATAGTGAATTTAATGTTAGTAATAGTGATTCGCCATATACTGTAAGTATATACGGCTTAAAATCACATGGAGATCTCGAAAATGAGACACTTAAGCGTACTCTAGAGGCAGTTACAACCAGCAAATTTCTTACAGGAACAAATGTGGATAGCTTAACTTTGGAATTTAACAGTATCCACACTAATGTTGATTTATCATGTCTTAATAACATAAAAGCTCCAATAACTGTAGTATGCAATCGTTGTTCGCTCAATTTTATACAATCAATACCAGAACATGTTAAAGTTGCTGTTTATACCGAAGAAAACATACCGAATGATGCATTCAATAACATTTTTAAAAATGTTGTGAAATTTGAATTTCTATCATTGGAGATCCGTGAAAATATAGTGTTTCCTGATCACGTAGAAAGTATTGAAATTGATAACTGTAATGTTAATAAAGACGTGACACTGATGATTAACGGAAAATGTGAGTATGTTGAAATATATAACACCCCAGTTAAGATTGTACTACCATGTGTTATGGGATCAGGTATAATGTTGAGACACTTATGCTTTGAATACAATGTGGATAAAGAACAAAAATCACTAAAGTTACAGGTAGCCGACATTAATAGTACAGTAACAATCGATGCAACCATAGATGCTGTAAGATTTGAAGATGTAAACGTGTCTGCAGGATCATGTGTTATATTTAGTGAAGAGAACAAGAATTTGAAAATATTACATTCAACTGGTATGTTTAATCTGAAACAGTTTATAGGGATTGAACAGTGTTTTAATAAGGGAATGCGAATGGAAGTAGCTCCTATAATCCATTCTACACATAACCTATCAAAAATAGCGTTATATGATTTTCGGTTTGTGAAAAGAGTAGAACTACCGAATAAATACGAAGAGATTGAATTAGACCATGTACTTACGGATGAGAACGTAGAGATAGTGCTGAACAAAGCTTGCAGAAAACTCGTAATTCGTGGATGTAGAGTTGTGATCAATGCACAAAATGTTGATGAGCTTGATAGCTTATGCATACAATTTTCTGCACTTGAAAAAGATAACATTGTGTTTGTTGGCCTGAAACGAGTCAACCACATTTCTCTTATTGATATCTGTCACAGTATGGATGTAATCACAACCATTCTAGCTGGTCTTGAAGGAGTAAAGCACCTGGAATTCGAAAGTAAATACCCTAAGAAGATGAGTAAAGTATTTGAAGAATACAACAAAGAATCGTTAATGAACATCGTATCGACCGAGAATTACATAAATGATCTGAATTTTGAACTTAGATATTCAGCAATCAAGGACAAAGAACCGGTCTTATTCCTCTTCGAGATGTCGAATATCGTGGTAAATCTTATTCTCAAAGCAGTGTTGAGCGAAAAAGTGATGAATACTGTTTCGAAGCTAGAGTTCACGTCTGTTGTTATCGATGCTGATAATTGCAAATCACTTGGAAAGTTGTCAAACCTCGAAATTCTTCGAATATGCCCCGAAATCATCACCAACGAATTTTTTTATAACCTGCCGATGAATCTCAAGCTACTGAACATTACTGACTTGGATACGATGGATAGAAGTCTGATGACTGAACACGAAATCAATCCGTTGAATCTTGCTCGACCGAATATAAGTCTGAAAGTTTTGGTGATTGATGCACAGTTCCTATATGATTTTAACAGCATTTTATTATTGATACCATCTCTCGAAGTACTCAAAATACGGTATTCAGAACCGATCAAGATCAATTCGCAAGCACAGAGAGATAAGATACGATTACATGAACTATTCATTGAGTGCAGTTATTCTCAAATTAACGAATATAAAACATCGAGTACTAAATCCGAAATCCATTGTTTTATACAAAGCCTTGCACTTTACATTGATTTTACATTGCTTGAACGTCTTGGGCTTGTTTCAATCAGTCGACCGGTGTTCATCAACGCTGCGACTCTTATGGTTATTGAATAAAACTTTTGGTGCTTATTGGATTTTAGTTATATCATTTGACTGTGTCAATACCGTTTAATCAATTTTAATGCTCATATTCTTTGCAATAATGTAGCTGTTATCTTGTAGGAATCTAGATCAGTGAGCTTGATATGGAATGTGATTGAAAGCAATTATTTGATAGACAATATTGGCAGTTACATGTCTTAGTTGTAACATATACATTGTTATATTTCAGCAAATGTCATGATGAAATCTATGATTGCACTGTGATGCTAAATAATAACACATTTAGAAAGTGTATTGAAAATATTAATCCGAAATATTAATTGATAGCGGTGATATAGACAATGATATTTGGTAAAAAACATGAACAAAGGACAAATGGGCATGGTTGATGACAATAAAACGCATGAGAACATTTGTTTAAGTGATTTTACATTTGAATTATGAAGAAACGACTTTTAGTGAACAAATTTTGTGTAATGTAAAAACAATTTTTTGAAAGAAAAACACTTCAACATTTTACCGATCCTCTTAGCACTATCTATTGTAATTGATGGTGCTATTCTCCTCATGTTCTATATGCGGAGATTTTTTTGTCGTGTTGTGAGCGATTCAGTGCTTTGTAAATAGCTGCACTAAGTATTTGTCCTATAAACTCAAGTATTAGATACAAAGCTATTATTGACAAAAGTAGAAACAAACACAATAATACGATTATAAACGTCCAAAAGTTCATAGCACAGAAATTTACCTCAATCTTATATTTTGAACTATTGCCAATCCTTAACTATGATTTTCTTCCATATACTCTCATAAACAATATTTCATGTCAAATGTCACAAGCTAAAATTTTGGTAACCAAGGATTGATAAACATTTTATTTGTAGAGTTTAAGTTTCTGAAAGGGTTTTGTAACATGTCAAAGTTCACTTGAAATCATTTTGAACATTCTGCAAATGCTAAATACACCATAACTAGTGCTATCAAATACGCAGCACATCGAAAATTGCTGAAATTGGCCATAAAAACGTTCTAGTTAAGTTGATCACCAGATAATGATCACGTTATAGAACAATCATATCAATTATAGTGTCTTCAATAACAAACACTTTATTTACATCTAGAGAACTATGACAGCAAAGTACATCCATAAAAGGTATTGCCTTTCAAAAATGCGGTAATACTAAAAGATAGAAAACCAATTCATACCTTAGTTCCATATTGTGTAGTAACCATTATGTTGTAAAAATGTATTTTCTTCTGTACGAACCCTGTGAACAGCTAAGGTCATAGTTTTTAATCTCCTAATACCTATTAACGTAAAACGAACATTTGTATCGCTATGAACATAAAAATACATTAAATACATTCTAAAGAATACGAGCACATTCAGACCTCGTAATCTACCGTATAGTACAAAGAATATCAGGTATAAGCTGTAATGATTGTGAGTATTTTATTTTATCACAAATAAATCATTGAAGTGTAAGTATTCATATTATATTTGTACTAGCTGCGCTATTTCTGCTTGTAAAACAGAGCAAAGTTTGATTGCTCATTAAATCACGTTTCTATCCTTTGATATGTTATGTTTTTACTTGTTGTGAGTACGGTAAGGGTCAAAGAATTATTTTAGATTCGGCAATCATAACCTTTTGATGTTGTTCATAAAGAATAGATGGGCATGTCTTTAGAAAGAACGAGTTGAATAATAGTGCTCAACTCGTTGTTGCGTAGAAATGAGGAAATAAATTTACCTTGTTCATAAAGGGCCATTAAACTATCAAATTGTCTTTTTATTTATAAGGAGTGCAAAAGAAAGCAATGCACAGATTGCAATATTATGACTTAAGAAAGCGAGAGATAGAAATGAACCGAATAATCTTTTATTTATATTCTAAAGTCATGGTTTTGAAATGTTTAAGTGCATTTGGTCGTTCCAATACTGCTCGTAACCGTGATTTTTTTCGTTACAGGAGAATAAATATTATTGTGCCGCATTACTGCATCTCGCGAATTGGGAGCCTAGCAAGCCACGATAGATATTGACCCGTATGAAAATAATATTTGAAAGGCTGTAACACCCTCCACAACAGATAATTGAAAAACCTTTAACCAAACCTTAAAAGTTACTATGAAGGAAGTTTACAAGTCTTTACAAAACGGATTTCTTGACCAAAGGATGTTACAGTGTACAAAGCACCAGTTGTACATGAAATACTTGCACCAAGAATGTTTGACTTCAGCACAGAGAACGCGAATATACCACAGAGATGAAAAGCGAGGAGTGCAGTATTCCGTTAGATACACATACACATGTGTAAAAGTATCACTTGTCCATGATTATGAGATGCTCAGTTTGTAACCGTGATGTTTTCTTATTTTGTTCACTAGAGGTACGTTTATTTATTATTTCCATCTACAGATTATCTGATGAAGCACCTTTTCTTCGTAGCCATGGTAAATACGAAAGCGCTGCAAATCGTTTGTCATGGCATGGACGGCACATTTCAATATTGTGCTGAACGCAGACCGTACCATACCGATTTACTGAACCGTTTAATGGCACCAATTTTACTCACGCTCCACTAACGAAACTGATTTTAATTCAATCACATCAAATGAAAATGCTTGCTGCAATCTTCTTGACACTATCCTCGCCCTTATATGTTTTGTTAAACACAAATCCTAAATGCAGGTACGACCCGTCTTTTCTCATCTTCAGCGCATCGATGAGCTGCAGTTTCACCTCCGTGAACCCTTCAACTACGAAATACAGGGGGATTTCCACAAAACTGATCAGCTGGTCCGTTTCGATTCTATTCCAGTCGATTATGTCAAATCTGAGCACATCCGTCATTATGTTAACCTTGCAGAAGAAATTTTCATTGAAGGACGGGTTCACCGTGTTCTGAATGGTCTTCGTCTTGTACACCTTTGTGTTGTTGAGGTACGCCTTGACGTACGGATCAGACATGCTGTTCTTCTCAACGCCGCGTACCTTCGTCGCGCCAAGAATGCGTATCTCGAGATAACCCACCTTGAAGTAATCCTTCCACTTGAAGCATGCCTGCTGTGCACATACTGTCATCAAAACGTGCACGTCACCGCCCAGCGAGACCTTCTCTTCCATGCATTTCTTAGGAATTACGCACTCTCCGACCACTTTGGTCTTCCCAAACGCTGCTGTACGCAGCTTAGCGCGCACCACGCTTTCGCCGCACAGCAGCGTGAACACCTCGCAATTGCTGTTTAGGTGGCAGTGCTCATACATGCCAAGCACACCCTGGGTGTCACTGTCTGCCGTACCCGCTCGGACTTTGATCAGCCCGCTTTTCTTTATCACCTCGTCATCGCACACAAACTCAATGAAGAAATTTTCGTTCACGCCCTCAAAGTGCCGAAAGGCTACCTGCACTACGTGGTACATGCTGGCGGAGGTGTCAGCCTTGGTTTTCACCACATCTCTCCTCAGATACGTGCTTGATGCCTCGCTTTCATGTGGATTAATTTCGCTCAGATGGTCTCTGTGCACCGCGCATGCCTTCTCGCTTATTTCGTCGTTAGGCTCTGCGATCGGTTTCCCAGGCGCTGGCGGCTCTTCCATGTCCAGAACATTTTCATCTGTGATCTGCGCATCAGCAGTCGGTGCAATCACATCGTCTCGTGCCTTGTTGTTGGGAAGTTCATCACCAATGCCGCTTTCACGCGTACATCGCACACAACCAACACCGTTCAGCTCTTCAACCTCAACATTCACCGTTACGGTGCCCTCCAATTCCCCACGTTCAACGATTTCAACCTCCTGCGCACCTCCCACGACATCAACCATCCCTTCGCCGATAAAATCACTCTCATTGAAATTCTCTCTGAAAAGGAACATCCTCAGCCGGTCATCTCTCTCTGCTGGCACGATTATCTCGCGGTTGATGGGCAAGTCACCGTAGCAGAAGTTGTCAATGAAAAAGCTCTCGCGCTTGTTCTTGATTATGGCGTAGAATATGCCCTCGTCATACGTGGTAACGAGCTTTTCGAGGCGTACGCGCACTGCGTGCACGTATCGCTTAAACGGCGATATGAATGGCGTGATGTAGTGCACAGCAAAAGACAGCTTAACACGGCCTTGCTGCGCACCTTTGATCCTGTATAACTCCTCTGTACCATCATATACGTCACGTAACGGTATGTCTACCGTGCCTATCACCTCGTTTTCACTTTCCTGCTGGTCAATCACTGTCAGGTACAGCACGTCCTTCTGGATGTTACGGCTGAACACCTCGAACTTCTCGTCAAAGAAAGGTGAACGTGTTTCCATCACGCGATGCGTGCGCCCGACGAACATCGTGCTATGTGATGCTCCCTGCAGTACTTCAGTGTCCTCTTCTGTGTCCCCCGTGCTCGTGAGCGTGTTAAACCCGCTTTTCAAATTTTTGGTCAGCACGCCTGCAATGTTCTTGGACAGCGACCCTGCACTTTTGAGTGCTCCAGTGAAAAAATCGCTGATACTTTCGTCCTTTCGCTGCAACTTGCCCGAAAGTGCCTCACACACCATCACCTGGCAGAACGCGTTGTACAACCGGTTGCGTGGTTTTCGCTGCCCCTGGAGGTTCTCAATCTGCTGCACTGTGATGATAAGAACGGCTTGTGCAGCCATGTGCTGATTTGGCACCACGGGACCGTGCAGAACCGGGTAGTACTTGATGTCTGTCTCCAGTACGGCGCGTATTGCACCTTTCCTCCATATCTTTATGTCCTGCAGCACGTTACCGATGCTGCGCAACTTCTTCAGACACACGCCTGCCGTGCCGTACTTGTGGCTCACATTCACTGCCATGCTGGTAAAATTCACGTTGATCGTATCATCCCGGTTGTGCACCACCACGTAGAAGTACTCGTTGTACACGATACGTGTGCCCTCACGTTTCTCCGTCTTGTACAGTCTGCGGCCATCTACGTCAATGTCTGCACGACACGACATGTCGCTCGTGTTGTCGAGCGAGTATATGTGCAGCAGCACGACGCCTTGCGGTGCGATCTCCTCCTTGCCCTTCTTCCTGAGATCGACTGTGATCGAATTCGGGTCTACGAGCATTTTCTGTAGGTTGGAGTTTATCAGGGTGTGGATGAAGGTGCTCAGACCGGGCATGTTCATGAGATCGATTGATTTGAGAGGGCATAGATCAAAGTCGATCTGTGGAGCTGTCAGGAAGCACACCTCAACAGAAACAAGCGGTGTGACCAGTGACTTGGCAAGCGTGAGGATGATGCGTGCACGACCTGAAAACGAAAGGTTACGCACCATGATGGGGATGTCCAGGCCCTTTCCCTTCACATTCAGACCAAGCCGAGCCGTGAGAACGATTCGTGAGTTCCAGTTCATGCTGTCACTCAGGCACATCATAGCAGCACCACGGCCGGTCTCAAGCGGCACAAAGAATACCTCGGCATCGAATGAGATGACGTTCTGTGCGGCCCGCGGGTCAAACGAAATGCCCTTAAGGGTGGGTGGCAGCGAGCCAAGCGTAAACTCAGAAAGCACCAGCTGAGAGAGAAACGATGGGCATTTCTCGGCAAGGATCGGATTAACAACCCGAAACACCTCTTTGCTCACCTCAGCCTCAATAATTTTCCACACCCGCTCGATCGCAAAGTTCATCCACTCAACCGACTCAAGCTCACACACCTTCCTGCGCCTTTCATCCCTGAAAACGAGTGCTGCCATACTTTTCTTAAACTTTGCCACGTTCCTCGAGAACAGAAAGTACATGCCGTACAGCACAAGCACAAGAAACGAGAAGTTAAGGCGGAGGCGGCCGATCAGATACGAAAGGAGGGCACATGCGAAAAGCACACCCGGAACCTGCAAAAAAATGGTTTTTGGTACGTCCATGTTCAGCGAGTTCACAAATTCAACACGGCTGCGCTCGTACATCTCGTTTATTTTGTTTTCTTCCTCCTCCTTGCTCCTGTTGATTTCTTCTAGCCTTTTTGTTGTTTCTTTGTCCATGTCGGCCACGCTCTTCTTGTTGTGTGCGCCCATGGCGCTCTCTTCTTTGTTTTTTAGGTTGCGTATTTTTACGGCTTCCTCCATTTTTAAGGGGAGACCGCCGCCCACTTTTAAAGACGGAGTGCGCGGCCAAATCAATCGGATGATACTGATTGATGGATAAGCATGGCCAAGCCTGATTGGTAGAACATGAAGCACAGCGTATTAACGCTGTGGTCACTGGCAAGTTATGTGATCGGTACCTGCTAGAGGTATTAAAACCTGTACCACCCAACTACTGCAAACACAGAGCAAATGCCCAGTACAATGCTTAGATTTGCATTCCACAGCTCATATTTGATGACGAACCGTATATTTATTCGTGGAACGGTGTGTTTCAGGTCTAAATTTGTTCGAGCACAGGTTAAAGAAGCATCAAAAAGTTAAGCAGTAGCACAATTTTTGTGCCTTAATACCGTATCATATTTATTATTCTGCCACAGACGAACGAGTAATATGCTAAAGGACACGGTAGTTGTTTATCAGCGGCTGGATATGTCTCTGGCAACACTTAAAAATTTTAGCACCAGCCGAACAGTTGTCCGGCAAAAAGGTAATAAAATGGATGAAACGCGGGTAGTTGAAAATGCGCTATGATACGGATGGTAGAAAGCAAGTTTTGTGGACAGTTTGTTATTTCTCCAGAATCATAGTTTTTAATGGTTAATTGTACAAGAACTTGTTGTAAAAGTATTAAATCAGCAAAATAGCGTATTGACAATCCTTGGCAAAATTTTCATGTCAAGCAAACATGCTACGAAAAATACAATTGGTAACAAATGAAAACATAGCAGACCATGTTTTGTGTTACAGGCCATGCGAACCGATAATCTACTTGCTAGTCTGGTTGCCGTATTAGTAAAATATTTGTAGCACTTATTAGAGCATTATTATGTCATTAATTAACCATTTTGAGTAACTTGTTTGACGGGCTGTATAACCAGACCTATATTGTATAACAACTTAGTGTAGCGCAGTTTAAAGGAACACATTTTCATTTTCTTGACATAAGGCATATTTTATCAAGCCATGATTGCCTATTCACTACTCATTTTCGTATTTTTGGCGTACATGGAAGTATTATATCATCAATATTGATAAGAGCGTACTTGAAAGCTGAGTGAGAGACCGATCGAGATAATTTGTCTTGCTCCATTAGAAAATAAAAGAATTGGTGTTCACATCTTAGAGTTAAATATGGTAATTTAATTCACTTTGCACGAGACGCGTGAATTATCAAAATACATAAAAACACGATCATCAAAAAAATTGAGTTTTCTGCTCTTGCACAAAAGTGCAATTCGTTCATTAAAAGCTGTCTATGCATGAACTGCTTCCTACGTGCTAAAAGGTGCCAAACAAAGAAAGAGACCAAAAATATTGCCATTAAAAACAGTAAATTAAAAAAAACTAACCATTGTTCTATCGAACAACGGAGGTAACACATCTGTGTTAAACAAAGTACGTTCGGTAATCAAAATGCGCATGGCACTTTTATTGCATCATGCACGAGCGTGTTCCTCTCAAAGCATCGTAGCAGTGCATATTATTTTAACTGATGTTGTTCTTACCGATCAGCACCTTGGTCAGGAAAATAAAAAATGAGTAAAAACGCAAAAAGGTATTCGCACGACATTAAGGCGGTGGCATGTGTAAAGCATATTTAATCATCATTCTTCCATAATTTGTATACATTGATATTAGTACGTTTAAAACTACGGGTGTATAATATTTCAGCACGGGATATTGTCAAATTGTATGTAGGGCGCTATCAGACCAAGTTTAGAAAGTATCACGGATAATGTATTTTAAACACGATCGGGTGGTGCATTTATTGATTAAAACTGGTTGTGAGGTATTTGACACACCAAAAAGTGTGCAAGGTGGTGTGGAAATGAACAAGAGGATTTTTTAAAAAAGTGTTCATAAAAAGATTGAGATGTTTTATGACAACATGCTGGTCATTGTGTAATACCACCAATGTTAGCATACGTTTCACTCATTACAACCACGCATTACGTGTGCCTGCCATTGCAGAGCAATACCCCGTAATATGGCGGTTTGAAACTACCCTTGGTAAAAAATGCCGCTGAATTCATACACCGATCCCAACCGCAAATCACAAAAGGACTACGAGTCAATCAAGCAGCACCCACGCATAACACGCTTATCACCTACAACCATTCGAATAGCACATGAAGATCACACATTAATGAATGTTATTCAGTACTTTTTGATGCAGCATCCTTTTGTCGTTGCTGGTTATGTCATACCACATTTATCGGAGGATGTTGTTGAGCTGAGTATTGTAGGGAAGAATGACATGATAGGTGATATTTTTGAGTGGCTTTGTACCGCTTTGGATGAGCTAGAAGCTATGGGCAACGAAATGATGGAAAGTATGATAGAAGCAGAGAATGAAGGTGTATAGTGGTGTAAAAGGATTATAACGAAGGATACTTGGTGATGGATAGGTGGAATGAATGATAATAAGCTATTGTTGGTGAATTAAATCGATATAAATTAAGTATTTGTGTACAATTATATACCGGGCTAGGATCTTTACGTGTGATATAGGGTTAGAGGGTTAGTAGATCAATTAGAAGTGCTTAACGTGATGTTAAACCGTTTTTGATTTGGAGAACTTCTCAACGGTGTGGAAATGATATGCCAGTAAAAATAGTACTATACTCACGGATGTATGGCTTTTTCAGCGGTAAATATCGAGCAGGATCATGAGATGCAACCTGGATACGGCTGTAAAAGACAATATTTTACAGTACAGTGCCAATACTTGGCATAGTTAACTGCAGTGGTGAGCGGTGGCAAAGCTAAAGATGTTAACTTGCGCTGCTTGAGTGCACTGTTTCGTTAATATCTCTCATGAGCGGGTCTTCATCTTAATTTGCACAAAAGTTATGGTGAAGACATCAAGTCTGCACGTAAACGCTATGAAAACGGCTCTACTAAGTTGTATTGGAGATAAAAATCCTAATAAATGCTATTTACCATCTTTTAGCACTGAGGCCCTGCTATAATGTAAGTGTTCTATAAAGCACGGTGGTCATAAACGAGGATGCAATTTATGGTCTATGGAGCCAATAAATAGAGGGATGCACCACGTAAAGATAAAGCAATACCGATAATCTTTAAATCCTTCCATCAATAAAGTACTGTGCTTGTTTACTCTATAGAAAAGTAATCTTTGTGTTTACCATGCTCTACCCGTGGCACTATCGGTATTCTATAAGAATCAAGTCTTGATAAAATGTTCTTTGCTTAGAATTCGGTGTGCACGTTCAAAAATCAAACGTACCATCATATTCTCGTAGCTCAAGTTCTTTATTCAGAACGCAAATGCATCACCTAAAACGTTTTAATTCCACAATATAAAACAGGAATAACAAGTTATGCGGATCCGGCTCGCATTTCTAGAGCACTCGTCTGTTTACCTCTTCGCATATCAACAGCGTAACCGCCCAACACAAACCCGCACAATACAATTTATTACCTCGACCCCTTCATGGCAAAAATTCACAAACCGAAACCAAAATTATCTAAAGCTGCTCTTACAACTCTGCAAAAACAACTGTCTACTCTTTTGGAGAGGCAGAAACAACTCATGAAAAGAAAAAATGAGTTGGAAAATGAGATATATAAGTATGAAACGGAGTATCTGGAAAGTGGACAGGGCTATCCTTTAACGAATACTTTGGATTTCTACCTGGGACAAAGACATGAAAAGAAAAAGTACGTGGTGCAAGCCAAAGACAGGATTTTTAGCACTTTATTGCCACGTATCTACAGGTAGCTTGTGCTTCGTGAGCCTCGTGGTAAATGGTGATATCGCTAAAATTAGTGTTAGGTGCTATGAAAATTAAAAGAGTAAAACGTGCAATTGGATTGTTGTTTGACAAGAATGCGTTCTTTAATTTTGGTACGAGGAAGTGCTATTTGCAATAAAAAATGTTTGCTAGTTTGATTGTCCTAAACGTAGTCCAATTTTGAATACGTAGTGTGCACTTTTCTCATTTATCGGTGAGCAAAGTGAGTTTAAGTTGATGAACTTAATCGGTTCAGCACCTATTCGTTTTTGTAATGATAAGTGGTGGTTTTAGTTAACAGCATTTTAAGTAGACCTTCTTCAATCTAAGACAGCATATTCATTTTTGGCGTGTGCAAGAAACCGGAAACGTAAGAAAGCGGGAGGATGTATGGAAAATATGATTTATGGAATTGTCACGTCGCATTTTGCAAATTACCAATCTAAAATGGTTAGGACCGATCAAAAATGTTTGTAGATACGGTGGCTGGGATTGTTAAAGGGCGAATAAGCACAATTTATGTTGAAATCTTGATTTGATAACCAATGGCTTACACAACATGTTTATTTTTCGCTCGTGTATCATACATTACCATGTTAATCTACATTCTCTGTGTCTCGTCATCAATTGGTCTTAAACCATCCAGTAAAACAGCCATTATCGTCCTCAATTCTTTCCACATAATCATCGACATAGATCACATTAACGAATTCCTCAAAAACCAAGCTGTTATCTATAGCGGTGATCTCCTCTGTCTCAATAATATTGAACTCAATCCTTCTGTTGTCCTTTATGTTGGTGCACGACAGTAGATCAATAGAATACACTTCACCGTCCTTAGACAACTCATTTATACTTACGTTTATTGGCACTTCAACGCCCTCTTCTACTATTTTTACGAGCTGATTCATATCTTCCTTGGGAAGCACTTGCATACTACGTGCAACAATTCTTGTTATAAAGAGTGAGTAATCAATGGTGTTTTAGGTGATGATACACCCCATTGGTTAAGTTAGTGTGGTGTTTTGTCTCCAATCATGTACATTAACATGGCAGGATCCTTTATTTCTGGGAGTATGAGTTGCCAGGGTTGGGTTTATTCTGCTTGTTGATAGGCACGCGGTCATTTCAAAGGTGAAGCACGGGCCCCTTAAGTTGATTATCATGTTCGGCACAATCAGCTGCCTGTTAGAGAACTGACAAATGACATTTTGAAACTGTTTCGCACGTTTTATGTGTTTTGCAGTTTGAAATGACCTTCGTATCGTTTGATTTACTGTTTTGGCAGCTTCTTAATTGTAAACTAACCAAGTTTTCGGCGGGTTACATGCCACGTAAAACTCGGCATTTCCTGATGTTTATAAAAACCCAAGCTTAAGTTGAACACCTCACAAATTTTGTAGTGTTTATTTTTGTACAAAATCGGCATCATAACCTTATTTCAATGATCGAGTCTAAGCTTTGTTGTAGTTTTAAAGAGGTTCACACGTACATATCCACAAAATTGAGTACGTATTGACAGTCTAGTTGTGAAAAAATTCTAAAAGATTAAGGTACGGACCAATGAGTGTTTATTCACCGCTACAATACGCGTTGATATCTTTGATGGATCGTTATGCTGTCCTTTTTGGGTTAAACAGTGACATAGTGACACATTTTGACGGTAGGATTTGAAATGAGATTCAACAGCAGGATGAACCACACAGCTCAATAACATATAAAATATGCTGGTAAATAAAAACTACCAGTGCTTATAAGCTGTGAACTCTCAATCAGATAGAGAATGCTACGTGCATTTCTTTCTCTTGGTACACATTGAAGTGATATTAATGGCAAATCACTATGTTCTTGTTCGGTATTCCAGGGTTAGGTCACATAAGAAGTAAATATTTGGGCCAATAGATTTTGTGAAAAGCATGTTTCCGTACTTTTGTGCGAATAAAGAGCAATGGAAGGCTGGTGCCTGATCTGAGGTGTGTGCACTTCTGTGGTTCATTGTGTTGAGCAATGATATGGTAGATTCAACGAGTAGAAAGAATTGGACCGATGTATGATTTGGATGACATAATGAGATAAATAGATTATTTATTGAGCAGACAATGTTGTGGTGAAGTAGCTTCTGATGTATATACTCAATAGAAAAGGCCTGGTAGACAGTTTAGTAGTCTTAACAAGGATTGGCAGAGCATGCGAGTGGAAGACTGCGTATCAATGAAAATAAACTCAAGCAATACCGGCTGTAGCGAAGTGTGCTAGTGAAGAGAAAAATACAATCGTTCAAAATCAAACGAATAAATGTTAAGCATGAGAGCAAGAATGTGTCTGTGTAATACGTTTATTCATTTTTTGGTCCATCAATTGTCATTTGGAAGTAAATTTGTTCGAATGAGCGTTCAATCTGCAAATACACGCCTTTATGTTTGAAAGGCAAGTACATCATAGCCATGTGCAAAGAGTAAGGGCAACACACATTTTTACCTCATTTCTGAGACATTTAAGTTCAGACAGTTCGTACTGACAAGATTTTTGGAAGAACACACGGACTATGATACGCGTCACAATATTTATGGAACAATTGGTGGTGCAGCACAAAATAAAAATGCATTCCTGGTTGAATGAAGAGCTTTAAAGTATGACTTACAGCAAAAGTGTAATCATAATGATGGATGTTATCGAACAAATAATCAAGTTCAAAGCATTTGACAAATTGGTAGTTTCCGGAATTGTGTGCTCACTTTCGAAAAGTGTGACAAAAAAGTAAAATTAAGCAATACATCAATTTTTGCCGCGCTGGATTGAACTATCACTTCAGTTTCTTCTCATAACACTAATTTTTCTTACACATACGCGCAACATCACGTAGCCTTCGATACCTGATAAGCTGTGCAGAGTTGAATATAATCATTCCATGCTAAGTGGCAAATAAATTACTGACATGTTATCATGATTGCACTGGCTAAATCTTAATTATACGGAACATTTGGCACTGACGTTTGGTACTTCCTTCTTTTAGTGAGTTGTCAAATTTACCAAATATATCACTTCCACTCCAAATCTATGATGAAGGAACATTAGGCACTGGCGTTTGGTACTTCCTTCTTTTAGTGAGTTGACAAATTTACCAAATATATCAATTCCACTCCAAATCTATGATGAAGTAAAATTTATACGCACATTTCTCCGTCCAAATGCGTAACAAAGGGACAGCATGCCAAATGCAGTTCAGCTGTTGAACCTTGTCTATCTCAATAGACACTTATTTTGTTGTAAAGGAACGGAGTGGGTGTATCGGCACAGCAAAAAAATATGTGCAAATAATTGGGTAATTCATACGCTAGAATTGCTCAGACATGAAGAGAACAAATAAGGCAGGTGTTATGAGTGCTTTGAATGCTTAATTTTTCGTTGTCAAAGTGCACAGAGATAACAAATGATGAGATGGACGCGAGAAGGAAGTAATTGCTAATTCGTATCTGAATATGGAAGTGCTTCAAAGAGTTAGGCAATAACATACAGCAAAACTGCCCGTTGGGTTCAGATACAAAAAAATGTTTAAGTATGTATATGGTTAATTAATATGTGAGTAAAAGTATTTAAGCAAACTTTATAGAATTTTTAGGAGTTTATTATGGCCACTTCAAATCCATCAACCAACATTGTTCAGTCCCACGCTATGGATTATCCCAGTTGTTTACTCGCTGAAGGCATCGACTCTAATGAAAGAAATGTGCAGGTCCAAGCTGCTTGCACTAAAATGGTTGAGGAACTATGCTGTATTTCACGAAAAAATACAGATAATTCGCTAGTTGACTCGATGAGCTGTACGGCCGTCCATGTAGGAGCATCATTGTTGGGAATTCTGTGTGCTCTAGTCATAATCGCTGCTTTAGTATACTTTTTGATGAAATTGAGAAATAAGAGACGGGAAAGTAGTGCGGCTGCTAATCCGAGCGAACGCCGAATATTCAGACTGAGAAATTTGATTGGAGAAAAGTAAAATTATTTGGAGGTACTAACTTTTTTGCATGCAGTTTATTATTCACAGATTGTCCGATGAAAAGCAATTTGTGTTTCAATTTTTCACGATCAATGATGCTCTCCAGCTAAAAACATCGATAATGAGATAAATTACGTTTGATTAAGTATTTCTTAGTCAGAACTTCATATCAGCTTCTAAATCAGAGTACCATATTTTGTTCGAGTTGAATTTTCTCTCTATCAGTTTCAATTAGAAATGCTATTTTCCAGATATTGAGGTAGAATGCTGTTTTTCTATCAATTTAATGAAAACGATTTTTCCCTATGTTATCATCTTAATCTGTTTTGTGTTACTTTATCATGCTGTGCATTTCCAGTAAGCAACTGTGATATCGCCGTGCGAGATGTTAGATGAACGACTCTCAGTGTAAAAAGTTAGCAAAGCCGTTTTTTACATCAAATCGTGTTATCACGTGTTGCTTTGAAAAATAGCCGAGCAGGCCTCAAATAAAATAAATTAAGTAACAGTACAAATTTTTCGCTTTATGACAGATACAAAATAATTTATTTTTGCAGAAAATTAAATAATAATCTTAAATAATTGCTGATCAGCTCTCCGGTCGTCTTTTCACTCGTATTAGTGATGGCAGGTGGTATTGACAAATAATCGATGACTATATTTGAAGGATCAAATCAGCCCTTGGATGCTATAATAAACATAATAAATTTATGATGTTTTGTAATAGGACCAGTGCTACTACTATGCATGTGTTATTGATGCAATACTATTCTTACTTTTTTGTACTAGAGAGATTATTTAATAATTTATGCTGTCGTTTAGTTTTGTCTGTCCGATTTGACTCATGTGAGTGTCCAATCAAACCGCTTACGAGAAGAAAGGATAATGATGGATTATTAGGAATAGAACAAACGAGAACAGATAAATGTATTTTTATGTGGTAGTAAGTGTGGTATGGCAATTATCCTTTGGCTAAGAAAAAAAGGACGAAACAGAATCACGACAAAGACGGAAACGAACGAAAGCAGAAAGTAATAAAAAGGGAAAAATGCAAAAATTTAAAGAAAAAAATTGTGAGCAGAACAATACATGAAGACATGTACGGACTGATGCAGTATGTCATGTTTCCACAATGCAAAAGATACTATTTGTACAGCTTTTTTGATCAAAAATATATTAACTAGGCAATTGAAACTTTGCGTATACAAAACACCGAATTTGTGTTAAACACATTATTCGGTATAATTGTTATCTTTCTGTAGCATTCACTGATAAATGACAAGAGTTAAATACGTGAATTGTATATGTGTTAGTTTTCAACACATTAATTTGCTGCTCGTACTGCCAAATAGTTACAAAATTACGAGTAATATTACACACTTAAACAGTTGATCCGTTGATGTTGTACAAGAGAAGTTTTTAGGTTAATTTAGTTGGCAAAGACGTGAAGTCATCATGTAAATAAAAATTATAAGCTTATAAGAGACATATAAATGGTTATTAAACGTAAATTGTGATGTCCAATATGATCATATTTTAATCGGGTAGATCAAAATGTAACATAAATAGAAAGATTTTTTACTACTCAAGAATTAAAATGCTGAATTATTTCATAGCAGTGTGTGCTTGGTTGTTGTTTACTTTGGTAGATGGTTACATCGTGGAAAATCCATGCACATATTGCATCGGTGATATGCAGAGTGATACGGAAACATTATCTGCTGAGCTAACCGAAGCATCCGAAACAGTTTCTAATGCTGATAGCAATGGAACATCGAATGGGGAGCTTCTGGTTTATACAATAGATTATCCGAATCTGCAAAAAGTACAATCCTGCTTTACAGCAAGAAACGGTCTTGCTCTGCGGGATATAAAACGAGTGTTCTGTTTAGATCTGGGCCTTGGAAACGAATTTGAAAATGCGGTTCTTTCTCGGCTCGACTCGTTTTTCAGAAATGTTGATACCCATTTCGCACTCTTTCTTCTAAACTGCTGCATCAGATTTCATGGACAAGACGCTGATTTATCTAAAGATTTTGAACTGTTCATGGGTAGCGAGCAAAGTTATCTTGGTCACGATAAAAATGTGCGAGTTATCTTCAGAAACGAGGGTGCTATCGATATAAATAGCAGATCAAGAATTCAAATGGTTGCCAATGGTATATTCAGAAAAAAAAACTTGGCTTCAGATACGAAAAACATAGAATTTGAGCAATTCCAGGTAGAGATTACGAAGGTTGAGCATCCACATATTATAAGGAATTGTCAAAACAGAATGTATGAGTTTATATTTCACTGCTATCCGGATACATTCTTATCCGTAGATTATGAACAATATTTAGACATCCAGGGAAAATGCTTCAATGCTATGCTAGGTAATCAAATACCTGAGGACGTCAAAAGTAATGATATAAAAAGGAACCCCATCATTGACGTGCATTTAGACAATGATTTAAGTAGGTTAATTTTATACAACATAGTTGATAGCTGTATTTATGAGGATTATTGCGATTTTAGAACCAGAATATTTTCAGAGTCACCAGATCAAGATACTGAGCAAGCTGATAATGCGTCTGAATTTGCCAGTTACAACTATTAGATCAGAGAATGCGCTGGTTGCATGCCTGGGAAAATAATAAACAGAACTTTCTCAAGTCATTTTATACATTTACTTTCAATATCGAAGCTCAGTTAAACCTACTAATACATGATCGCACACTTCTTTGGACTGCAACTTGGTCGCGAGCCTGATTTATATAAAACATCAAATAATCATTTTTTCTAACTGGTTAGACATGCGAAATCGATTGCATTCACGTTCTCAATACCGAAGATGAAAATTCTTAATTTGGAGTAAATGCTATTTCAAGGATAATTGACAGAAAGTATCTCTCAGAATAGAAGTGTCATAATCTTCGAGAAATCTAAACATGTTATTACCTAACCATGAAGATTTCTGAAAATCGTTGGCACTATTTCTATTAAATCGAACTTCCGTGGTAAAAAAGCATGCGAGCACAATTTCGGTTTATTAAATCATCAAACTTGCTATTTCAAGAAACATGAGTCTATATACGAGATTTGCTCGTATAATTTCATCTATAATTACTATCATGTTCTTTTAATGGAAAGTATGTACCAATCCCAGCAAATTATTTGATAAATTCAAGTAATTATATAAATGGTTTTGCTCACTAGGATTTGCATGCTACCTTTCATAAATTTTATCATGCACAACAGCACGTCAGCTGTTCCACGGTTGATTAGCAACGGTGCTAATGTGATAAAAGAACTTGCAAGTGGTAAAACACTCCTTGATGGAGGTGGAAACGTAAGCACAAACGCTTCCAACGAGATTATCAATACGGATGTTTGTTCCTTTTTCTTGAATTTGCCTGGTTTGGGCCCAAAGATTAAAATGTCCAAATATTACGATACTGACAAGAGCGAGTGTATACTTTCAGGTGTATTTTTTGGTGTATTCGTGATTATTATGTTTATTAGCATCGTATTAATGGTTCACTCTATCACTCAGCAAAAGAAAAGAAATGGCAAAGTTTTAAATCTTCCAAATCCTTATTTCAGATGCTAAGCAGATTACCTTACTGTTTTGTGATTTACTTAAACCTATTCCCGAGCTTTCTTTTTTATTTTTACTCGCTTACAACACATACATGATTTAATCACTCTTTTATTCACCGTGAACATATTTACATAAATTTGGATCCTCCTTTTTTATCTTTGATTTACAACCAGGTTAAGTGGACAGGTGTAAGTAATGGAAAACTGCCTGCCAGATCAAGTTTCTCTTAATGCTTCAGAAAATTTATTCTAATCGAGGATATGAATCGGCAAATGAACATTCTCTACTAAAAAACAATGGAATTAATAATTGAAATTTACTCTCTGCAACTCACTTTAGAAGAAACATTCATCAAGACTTCAATCGCTTTAGCCAGAAAAATAATACACGACCTAATTAATTGGTAATGATCAATCAAAACGTTGTTTCGTAACCTTTCTTTGTTTTGGACACTGCTCCGAAATGGACCAAAGACATCAATTCCTTGTTCACTGCCAGATCTCGACCATTTCCACCCGATAACTCTCTGATTATTTTTGTGCTTTTATTTCCCTCATTTATGTACAGATCGGGTCTAATCAACGACGTGATCGCACAATCAAAGATCCGCGGCTCAAATGTCTGCATCTTGTCGGAATACACATATTCATCTTTGTAGGATGGTACAGTATTGTACTTTCTGGGCACAAACACAAGATCACGGAATTCTCGGAATACAAATTCGAAATTCTCTACGTTGCGGGCATACACAACAATCTCCTTTACCTTGGGCGACAGCAACAATTTCTTAAAGAACGGAAGAGTTATTCGCCCTGTTATGAAGTGTAATAGATAATGAGTTTGTGTAACTAGCTTGGGATGAGATGATGATGTATCTTTTATGTGTTTGTGCGTGAGGTTTGGTTTTTTGAGTGTTAGGAAAAGGTTGGGTATCATTGTGAGGGTTAAAGACAAAAAGTTTTCGATATTGGGCCGGAATACGATGAAAATGAGGTATCAAATATTTTCCGCTTGGCTACCAAAACGAAACTAAAATTGATGTTGGCGTATGAACAAAATGCTATATTATACCTTTGAGTAGCGGCATAAGTTGACTTAGAATAATCGTAATTTATTCGTGATTTAAAGGTAAAAATTAAACTAAGAGATAATTCGTCATGACAATGTCCGTTTTACACTTCCGTACAGCGCTAATCGCACAAATTAGTGCTAAGTGTTGTTTGTGGGTGCTTGCTTCATGGCACGGAGTAGGAACCGTTCTGCTTATTACCACTCTGCAGATGAAGAGATAGGTGCGCATATTATTATAGCAATGCTGCCGCACCTTCTTCAGTAATTTAGCAAAATTACAAAGACAGTCAATTTAGGAAAAGAAGATGTAAAAACATTTATGTCCTTTACGGTGAATTTTGGCCGATTGACGGGCAAAATATAATCAACAATGAGACAAGGTTCAAGAAACATGGCACTGCGCCATAACCAAAGCACATTTCCAATCCAGGCTCAGGTATTTAGAGAACATATACTGCGCACTACCCAATCAATTAACCTCAACAATCCAATACGACCCTGTGATGTACCATAGAACAAAAAGTCAAAAAAATGTTTTATCCTTAGAAAATACACTGCTCGATTTTTTGCCGTAGCATCTCCTCTCAAAGTCTAATCATACTCTGCTGCCATCAATCTTTTCTTTTCAACCATTTCTTGCACGTACAGCACCTTATTATTCAGTTTGATATGCTTAACAGCACTCCCTCTCAGAATGCATTCACTAAAATCTTTTTCACCGTCTCCGTTCACCAGCCTCACATTCCTCAATCTCAAGTTCATCAGCAAATCACAAGCAACCAATGTTCCTCTGTATGTATCGTTGTTCTTCAGTTCAACATCGATTGTACTTCCTTTCGATATTCTGACGAGTGTCACGGGATACATGGGTTAAGTGGGATAACGGAATAAGACGAGAATAAAAAATGGAATAAACACAAAGAGACGTTTTCTTCTTTTAATTTTCAATCGCCTATTGAACACCAAGATACCACAGAAATACCGCTATATACCAATTATCTCAAGAAATAACACAGGCCTGACAATATAGAGCATTGGTTTCATCTTCCGATCTCAGAACAACCCTAGCGATATACATTGATACTTGAGATTCTTCATTTACAGTTTGGTTTGTCTCAGCTTAGATCTTGTGGAAGCCTTCCGTATTAAAAATTGAGAAATCCATAATTCGTTCCATCTCATCTTCCGTGTCGTAGCACCCGATAAACAGCATCTTGACACAGGACGACGCTCTAAAAAGCGCATTTTTAACATCGATCTGTTCGATATAGATTTTGAAAAGGTCCAACTTGTTGGACTGGAGCGGAATATTTTCTGAACCGGTAACAAATTTTAGGAATTTCCTGTAGTACGCTTCATTTTTTCTTTTAAAAATATTCAGCAAGAAAACGATCTCCCTGCTTCCCTCTGAGCACTTAATGTATTGGAATGCTGATTTCAGAAAATTGAATGTTATCTCCTCTTTTCCATTCAACACGTAGTAAATGTCCTGAGTAGCGTAGATCTCTTGGAACTCCTTGGGCATGAGTGAGTAGAAGAAAAAGCGTATAATATCGTACGCTCGTTTTTTCGAAAGAAACAGCGATTCATACACAGTTTTTTCTACGAACAGCCCCTTATCCGTGTGTATCAGATCATCGTCAAATGTGTTCAGAAAATCCTCGCTCAACTCTTCACGGAGCACATACAGCAGGTTTCTTTGCATTTGGGTATCCTGTACATGTCTTAGCGTGAACTTACGGCCCATCAGGTTCTCCCAAAACGCCAGACTAAACTTCACAGATATCATCTCGTGGTTGAGAAAACACAGCGCAATAAAAGTGCCCAGATATGCATAAAACTCATCGTTTGACAGGAGATTTGTGTTAATGTTTTCTTCGACATAGAAGGACGGGTCCGTATCTTCAATAAACTTCTTGTTTCTTGCCTCAGGCGACTGCCAAAACTTCAATGTTGCTGTAGGATCCATTTGCGATTGCCTGCTAAAGCTTAACTTCGCCAGCATCTGCTCTTTCATCTTCTTCATTTCCTTCGTGTTCACTTCTCTTGACGACAGATCGTATGGATGTGTTTGGTCGGCTGCCGTCTTGGTATGCTCTCTTTTCATAGATAGATTAACGTTTTTAACGTGGTTGTCGTCCTGTGTTTCGTTTGAGTCGATCTCTTCAGCCGGATCATTGTCATAAATATTCCGATTAACGTCCAGGAAATTGCCTGTAAAAACCATGCGCTTGTCATTAGCAATCTCCAGCCCCACTTCATTGAAGAACTCGTTCTTTATTCCGCCTTCATCCTCACCTATTTCGTCTTTAATCTTGATGTGCAAGTTTCTTCTTAACATGTTCTCCTCCGATCTCAAGAAATACGATGCCGTAGACTGCACAAAGAACCCCCTGATCGTAAAAAGAGCAAACTTAGTAAATATGAGATACTTGAACGTCTCAAATCGTTGCAAAGCATTATAAAACGCGTGTGTCTTCCTTTCAATCTCACTTTCAACAATTATCGGAGTCCTACCCGGGAGGTACACTAGCTGATAGCTGTGATTAACCCACAAAATAATCTGCTTTCGTGTTCTTATCTGTTCCCAGCCTTTACTTGATGAAACCTGATCAATCGTCGTATTCTGCCAATTCGTGCAGAAGTTCGTCTTGTCCACCTTGTACACTCTGTCATCGTGCGACATCCGGTGCTCCGTAACGCTGTATACTTCAATTACCTTTGATATTTGCTCGATCACCGACAGCCCGCTTTTTTTCCGTTCTTTATTCTCCAGATAGGTGAAAATATCACAGTTCAAAAGCTGCAACTCCAAGGTAATTTTCAACCCGCCATCAGCATACGCCAATCGGTTGCTCGTCTTTTCGACGTTCATGCAATGTACAGATCGCCCGTTTTTCAGTATGCCGATCGTGAGCTTGTTGTCCTCATCAAAAAAATGGAAATAGTTCAATGGGCCGTTCTTGCATTTCAGAGAAAGCGTGCGCATGGTGCTTTCTCCCTTGTTGTTTGTCTCCGTGATCGCCAGCGCTATCTTTTCTGTGGTGAAAAACGATTTCCACGAAGTGCTCTTTATGTACGCATTTGTGATGTGGAGTATCATGGGGCAAGAAAGGTGAGTAAATTTTAATTTATGTTTTTATTACTCCTTTATACAGAACAAAATGTGAACCGTCAAAAAATGCCTGTATGAGTGCACGGCAATGCGCTTGTTCTGTTCCGATTACGAGGCCAGTAGACATAAGCTTGGATGAAGTAATGGAACATGTAATGCAGACATACGAAACATCCCTCGCAAGATGTTTGTAGCCTGTTGTTTTTTAGTGCATCGTATTTTATTGGTACCCTTTATGTTCATTTCCATTATTGGCCAGCCATGCATTTACTGTTGCCATTTTCTTTATTTCTCTTCATTGCACATTTCATACGCTTAACAGGCACTCCACTAATTACGTGGTACTATACCAGGAGATCCGGCCTGTGTCCATCAATCAAATCATTGACGTTTCGAAATGCATTATTTAATTTATGTCCGGTAAATTAATACAAACTGCTGTATACGCGATAAACACGGCACAAAACGTGTAATGCAACGTAAATTGTTATTTACTGTGCGTTTTTAGTTCCTGTGATTTATTCGGTTGCTGTTTTATCTGATTAACACAAACAGACCAATTAACATTTTTTTAAGATTGAAGAACGTATTTCCAAATATACACCTGGTACGAAGACATAATGCGAGTGTTAAATAACTGTTTATTACCCAAGTGCAGGTATGTAATCAGAACGGTATTCATAAGCAGAGTGCGATGCAGTTTTTGGTTCTATTTAGACATTTTGGTTTTCGCTGCAAAATAAACGAAACGGTGCACACTGCCAAGTATTTAAGATACGTTTATGGAATATACTGCTACAACGTTTGATAAATTACTCACTTTTGGCTTTATTTCGTAGCAAATTCGGTTAACTATCGGGTATTGCACGAACTATCTTCGTAAATCCACATTAGAGACCAGTTAAGGTGTGCTCAGCTTACGCTCCAATCAGGAGGGTAGTACCAATTTTAACGTATATTTACGACTGTTTGTAAGCAAAACAGAACCAAAACGGACATGTCTTTACTATAGTACGGCCTTTAAAACGATTATTTGCTTTTAGAATCTGTTCATGAATCTTAAATTTTATCTTGCATTATTTTGTTCCATGCAATTTCCATATATTTGGCATGCATTTGCTCTGTCTACTACTTCATTTCCTCACGGCACTTGTTCACTCGATCAACCTCTTTAATATTTGATTGATATTTCTCTGCTTTGAACTTTCCCCGTTTCAACAGTTCTCTCCTTCCAAAATATTTATTTTTGCGCAGATTTACTACGGCATACGTGTATATCAGTTGATATTGATCGAAGGGCATTCATTACATTCTCAAGGATTGATTTGTGATGTGCTATTGTATTTTTCACCAGCCGGAAATAATTTGTATTTGTTTTATCGTTTTACAGGTTATAGATTTCCACCGTGTTCTTAAGAATTGTCTCACCTGATACCCTGTCAATCCATAATTCCCTATTTCAACTGCGTAATATTCTTATTTACATAATATACTTTTACTTTTCATTCATATATTCAGCATCATTTGAATAAACGGCTAGCTGAGATGCTATTCCACTGCGTCAACGGTTGATTCTTACAAATCATGAAGTTTTTCGATGTTTGTCTTTATATGCTGGCCCCTCGTCAATAGCGGAGGTATCATTTGAACATGTATAAATTGCACTATTCAAAAGGCTGTCGTGTAGTATTTCCGTCCATAATAAGATCCAATTTACTTACTCATCCAATTGTATTTCATGCTACTGTATCAAATCTATGTTTTTGTCAAACGCACTCAAATAGATTTTTTCTCTTCTCCCATTCCGTGTATTCTGTCTTACCAAACCATTTTTGACCGTTAAACGACACCAAAACCAAAAAATAAATGTCACAGGCTGTAAAACGAATGTAATCAAAAGGGCTGTACTCACCAAAATGATTTCCCGCCTTTTCTCCAAAATTATCACTTTTTAATTATTTACCCCTCCTAATGAAGGACTCCCTGTTCAATGAACGAGTACCTGTTCAGTGCTCAAGCGATGCCGTGTCATCAATCCTTACATGCGATATAACCCTTGAAAACGATACTCTTCAAATTAAGCTTATCGACACCAACGATATATTTAAGTTCTATCAGTGCACGATTACGGGCACATCATACGTGCATCTGAAGAATGAGCAGGAACTGCGTGTAAATTTTGAAAATTTTGTCAGAAAGGTGATTGAGCTGTTCTACCAGTCAAAAAACGGCAGGATGAAGGCTTTATTTGACAAAGATAGTGATCGGTTTATATTCGTAGAGCAGAATGAATTTAGAAACATTGTAAGGTTAGAGTTACGGTTTAAGGTGCCGGACGAGAACGACTACAAGAGATATCTGGCCGATATGATAAGTAGAATGGAGGTTACAGGTGTGAAACTGCGAAAGGAGAATGTGCAGCTAAAGGAGAGTTTGCGTAATTTGGAAAATGAAATGGGCACGAGGGTAGCAGACCTGACAGGCAGGAATAGGGTGCTAGACGAGCACTTGTGTAGAATTAAGAGTAAGATGGAAAGCATGGAGAAAGAGAATGACAGCTTGGTTGGAGAAAGAGAAGAATTGAAGAAGCGGATGGTGGAGATTGAGAAGGAGAACAGCACGTATAAGTTTGAAATTGAGAAGAAGAAAATAGAGGAGTACAAAAAGGAGCAAGAGTTTTTGAGATTAAAGGAAGTGGAGGAGTGCAAAAATGGCCTGGAAAAAGAAATAAAAGTGGCTAACGATATCATAAGGAAGCTTAGAGATGATCTAAAGAGGCAGAACGAGGGCAAAGAGAATATGAGCGAAACTATCGAAAAACTCAAGGATGAGAACGAGAAGCTGGTGAAAAGCAATGAAGATACCAAGAAGAATGCCAAGGAGAAGGAAGACAAAATACGCGGACTGAAAGAGAACCTGAAGAGAAAGGATGAGAGGATAAAGAATCTGGAGATGGATAAAAAGCAGCTCATTAAAAAAATGGAAGAAGCAAAATTCGTGTACAACCATTTCTATAAGAAGAGAGAAGGGGAGATCAGTAGTGTCTCAGAAAGTCAGAATAGCACGTTTAGTGTTCATCCCGAGTCACCGCCTCGTTAATGTCCAGGAAAGAATGCGATGCGATCAGCTGTGATTTGGTGAGTGGGGTTTACTGTGAAACTGCGTCACAAGTGATAAGAAATACTTTGCCGAAGCGTGCTACGCCTATAAACACATCCATGAAGCATTGCTTAAAGCACCTTTCCACTGCTGATTAACTTGGTTGCTTGCTGTGCACAAAGTAACGCTTTGTTCTTCATTAAAATTGTCATTTATAGCCGATTCTTAGTGTTTAATCGCAGGAGATGTCCGCTGGGCAGTGATAGAATGGCGTTATATCCACAGTAGCTGCTTTTTTGGTAGAGCCTTCAAATATCTCGGTCATTCGCTGGACTGGCAAAGTTTTTTGTGCATATCTCGGTCATAAAACGCAACAATTCTATCATATTAGCTGAAATGAATGGTTGCACTCCTGTGACAGAAGAACTAAATAAAGCGCAGCTGCGCTATAAAATACCACATTTTTTGTATTTCTGGCACGGCACAACTTTTGCTGATTGTATTGCAGTGTGGTTGTGCCCATATCGCATTCCCAAACAAACAGGTTTAACGGTCAGTAGCGTTCTCCAACAGCAGCTTATTCCCACATGTTTTAGTTCAATGCTGCATCTGGCGCATGAGGCGCAGCTTGTGTCACAGCAATGTCCGCTTTGTTCATCAACGACATACAAAACATTTTTGAAGCCCCTATGGACCTTTCATCTGAAATAATCTCATCGTTCCAAAAATCTATAACGGTTACTGCACCGGCCATAAAAGATCTTTCTTTTGTCCACACGGGCACAGCCCTGGGCTATGCACAGGGAGATGCACTAAAAATACACTGTCCGCTCACCAACACGCCACTAAACATGATACACATCCCTGATCTGAAGAAACTGGTCTTTCTTTTCGACAACACCATCCTGCACACCACGCCAACGCACGTTAAGTATCTCTCGATCTACGATAACACGTACATACGCACGTACAACTGTGAGGGAGTGAACGACATACAATCAAAGATCGATGACGACGTGTTTATGTGCGTAAACGACAGGAAAATAGAATTTTATGACTTGAGAAGCGTGCATCCTGTGAGCTTTCTAACCGTTAGGAATTGTGTGGCTGCGCTTAACAATTTCTGCTTTGCTGTCCTCATCAACAAGACGTTGCTGAAGGTGTTTGAGGTAGGCGCTTCATCGCCAAGACTCACCAAGGAGGTGTTTAATGTGGACAAGGTAAAATTGACAAACGATAACAAGTACGTGCTGCTTGGCACCTCTAAATCAGTAATTGTGCTAGACATTAATACTGGAAACGAGGAACAGAAGATATACATCGATAATTTGGTGGATTTTGATGTATCAGAATCATCTGAGTACCTGTTCATGTTGCACGATGGGAAAGTGTCCGTTAATAAGATAAAGAAGAGAGAATTGATCATGAGCATGCAGGTAGGCGAGCAGAAAATGATTAGGATGAACCCGAGTTATGCACAGTTCGTCAGTGCAATGCCAAACCTAACATTTTACGCGGCAGAGTAATTCTGATTAGTTGTTTGTACGTGTGGAGGAGTGCAGACCTGGTCTGGGAATGGCTCTTAAATTAAAAGCAATTCTTCTACGATACCTTTGCTTGGCAGAGCGCAGAGGCAACCGTTCAAGCCATTCTCAGTCTTTGTCACCTTCATAATCGAGATCTACGCACTGTGAGCAGAAGATGGTGAATGGGGTGATGCATTCAGCAGGTATGTTGTGCGAACTCATCAGCCGAACCGTAAATAACGCATTTATGTTCGATGTAATGCTTTTTCAATGGGTACAGCAGTAAGCGGTTTTGAATCTTTGAGTGCCGCCGAATAAACCCGGTATTCATCCGTAACAGCACATAATTCGTAATAAACAATCTTTATGGCTTGTTATGGGCAGATGAGCGGAAAACAATTACACGGTATTGCTACGAATTACTCAGAAGAAATGCAATCACAGTGTTTTTGGCCCGTTTTAACTACCTTTATTAAAAATATTCTCGCATGCTGGGCAATCACTTGCATTCAATAAATCTTCTGATCTGTTAACAAATCGCTGGAGTGCACACACGGCCGGTAAAGCCGGGCCGTAAAACGTCGGATGAAAATAATCGAATGTAGGATGTGATTACTTATAAAAATAATTAAAATTAATTTTAATATAAAACTGTGAATGTTTGTGCGTAGTGCAAGACCAATTCCTACTTACTGTACAGCCTCATCGTATCTCCTCACATTTCCTTTCTTAGGCCTGCCTGGTCCTCGCCTGAGCAGCATCTGCACATTTTGCTGTTTCAAATTCTCGTTAATAACGGGCACTACCTCGCCGTAGATCTCCTTCTTGAAAAGAAAAACCGTGCTCACAAAATTGTACGGGTCAAGTCCTAGATGACGTATCAGTATCAGTGCATGGGTACAAGGACAGGCGTACTCCTGAAATATACCACATGTACAGAACATATCATTAAGGCTTACATTGTACGTCTCCTTTCCAAGCACTACATTGTAGGTATCATTCATCGACTCATCCACGGTGTATTTATCTTCGATCTTTCGTTCTATCTTGTTTTTGATGTTCTCACCGAACGCTGCTTCTTTTTTCCTACGTATTGCGTTGTGCTCGCTGATCAGCTTCGTTATCGCGTTTGAAATATCGATCAAGTCACCAGACAGGTTGTAGTAAAGCAGATCAAGATCGGGATCGGAGAGGTTCTGCAGGCCGTACAGTATTTGATCGCCCTTCTGGTAATTTTCTAGCTTGATAACTCCCACTATTCGACGGGCATCAACTTTCTTTCTGCTTTTAGTCTTCACGCTTTGCACATTTTCTTTATTCTTGCATCCTGTGTTCTCGTTCTCTTTGTTTTTTTCCTCCTCGCCGCTACTTTTATCATCGCATAACCTCATCTTTCTGTCTTCGTCCGCCTCCTCGACGTGATCCTTGCTGTTGAACTCGTCAATCACTTCCTTCAGCACGTCTATCTGGCGCATCTCCTCATTGCTGTTGCAGAAATTCCACACTTTGATAATTACGTTTCTGTCCTTGCACTTCTTGTACACCTCTCTGCAGATGCTCCTCACCTTTATAAAAAACATCTCCTTCTCAAAGAGATAGGCATCTCTCACCTCGCAAAGAAATATCGTGCTGTATATGTCCATGTACTTTCCCAGACTAACCATTAACATATCCTTGGATGCTGCAAGCGATCGGTCATTTGTAACCATGAATGCCAGAATTTGCACGCAATCGTGCGGATCGTAAATCAACGCGTAGAGCATGTATCCGTTCTCCTTTCTTTTCACTATTTTTATCTCCACTATCTTTCGTGCATACTCTAAAACCGGGAAGAACACAAAAATGTAGTTTGGGCCACTCATTGCCCTACACTGCGAATTAAGCATCACAAACTCCTTCACAAATGCAGCCTGCGCACCATCGCCATCCTTCTCCTCATTTATAGCCCTCCACACACTGCTGTACCCTATCTTCATATTTTTCTTGTTCATAGCCTGCACTATCTCGCCAATCCGCATATCCTCTCCACATTTTCGTATTTCATTTCTTATGAATTCAACGCTGCTTACATTCTTCAAGTCCGGTGGACACTTATGATTCAGCTTTATCTTCTTAATGACAAAAGCGTCCTCCTTTTTCTTGTAAAGGGAGTGCACAACCGCGTCGCAATTAAACTCCTTTTTACCAATACAGTTAAAAGTTATCGATTTTGGGGTGAACTGGATCTGATCATATGTAAAGTTCTTGTGGTTGAGGAACTCCTTTATGGCAGTCACCGCCTCTTTTTTTGTTGGAAATTTGTCGTTAACTTTCATAGGGGTACAAAAAATAAAAATGATAATAACAAAAATACCAGAGGATCACTGTAAAGTAATTTGGATCGGTTCGGAATGACTTAATGACGGTTTACTGAGACAAAGTACGGTTTACTGGCAAATAACAAAATAATGGAGAGTGTGTCAATGAACACCACTGATATGGTGAGTTAGCGAATGAAACGGTACTATTGGTACAAAGGCACGTAAAGAATAGAATAGGTAGATAAAATTTGATAGTATTGCTGGAAAATAGTATTTATAAGACGTTGTGAATGGTGTATGATATTTTAAACCATCACTTATTGCTCATCAAATAAATAAACAGGGCTATATTGTGCTTGAACTGGAGTGATAAATTTTTACGTGTTGAAAGATCATAGAGCTAAAATTACAGTGCTATGATAGTATTTATAGGTACTAGCAGTGGTATTTAATCCTTAAAGCCTAATATATTATTGTTATAGGAGGTACATTCATAACAATAGGGCTTTACAACGGATTTTGTGAAATTACTAATCAACTGAATTAACTAGTTTTATAGTGATTGTATAATGAAATTTTACGTGCATATATCAGATATTAGACCACAATCACATTCTATACCAAGTTTATTCGGCATACATACAAAATGCGTTCTATATCACTGTAGGGCAGTCATTTCTTGTTTGTATAGTCTCAACCGTTGTAGAACGAAACAGTTTTATGATTAAGTGTAAAATTATGATGATGAACAGCTCAACATATGTACTATCAAGTAAAGATAACCAAAGCATTTGTTTCACCTGCTTTTTGCATGTTCGCATGCAAATTATCTGCATTTGATGTAGATAATTAAAAATTAATTAAATGATTTTCTTATTCAGGCTAATACTCCAAGTACAAAAGAATGTACCGTATTAAGGTCCATGTGGACAAATTTATATAACTATGTTGAAGTCAGTCTCAGATACATTTTGGTTTTCCAAAATCAGAATAACCAGTTTTTGATATTTGATGATTTGACAGATACACGAATGCCTGGACTATGGAATGGATATGGATCGGTAATATCAGCATCCCCTTCATCACGTAACAACGATTATTGTGATTCGATCAATGAGAAAGCGGAGAGAAGAGAATTGAGCTCTGATAAAAGGACACTTTCACAACCATGTTTCGGACATAAAAAGAAACGCATATGAATCCTATTACAGTCTAATACAAGAAAACAAAAACATTCAATTCGAAGTTATTCATATTTCATTTCCGATATCACTGTACAGAAAAATTATGAATATATCGCGACATAAGGAAAATACGTTTGATGTATGTGACATTTGCTATATATTGCCTCATCTATCAATGTTTGGTGAACTTAGAAAGGGAATACTTGCATTTTATATATGTATGCATCTGCAGAATAACAACACTCTGCTCCAGGATATGATAAACTATAAAAATAATTCTGCAGAACATGCATGTGCTCATCCTACAAAGCTGTTTTCTTCATTATTATTGAGCAATAACGAAAATGCAACTTACTTTAGAGAAATTGCTAATTCATACATCGTATTCAACCTGATTGATCAAAATGGAAATTCTGCGAAAACACGCGGCAATTCACTGAAAATGTAAATCAGCAAGATTTTTCATTAGCATTTTTGTTCGATAATTTTACCATAGATTATGTGTGGCTGAGCAAAAATCAGTACACTTTGCACGAAAAAATTATCAATCTCGAGGACGGTTCGCCGTATACTGTCTTTATATGTGACGAAGAGCTACGATTTGATGACACCACAATAGTTGATATAGTGATCAGTAATTTAGCCTTGATTTAAACTTGTATTTTACTTGCCAGTAAAAACATCGGTGAAATAATTTTTAACTTTCAGGATGTTGGCATTCAGATCAATTTTCCAGATCTTAGTTGGATACAAGCTCCGATAATAGCAATATGTATGCGATTTTCCCTCGCTTTTGTAAAATCAGTACCGTAAAACGTCAAAATTGAAGTAAGTTTTGTCGAGAATTTAACCGCAGAATCATTCAGCGATATTCCGAACAACGTGGTCAAGGCAGAATTCACAAAACTGAAGCTTAGTGGACGTATTGTACTCCCTGATCACATCGAAGTTGTTCAAGTAAAATGGTGTGAGTTAGATGAAAATTCAATTTTGATATTCGACAAAAAACACGGGGATGTTACGATAGAAAACACACCGGTCAGAGTTACGCTACCAGGCTTTCACACGATTCAGACTGGAAAAGAGTTTAATTCGTGTTTAGAATTCATAAAAAATAAGAACACTGGTCAAAAGCAACTGATATTAAAAGATATCAAAGTCGAAGAAACTGTAAATGTTGATCCAATCATAGAGGAAATAACATTTAGTTCCGTTGAAGTATTTCCAGGATCATGTGTGATATTCAGCAGGGCAAGTAAACATTTGAATGTATCACGATCGGTGGGCTTATTTGATTTAGGGCCGTACATGGGAATAAGACAGTACTTTGGTAGTGGTATAAAAGTAGAAATATCATCCATTTATAATTCAGCACATAGTCTGTCAAAAATATGATTGTTCGGTTTTCGATTTGGTGAGTCAGCGAGACTCTCAGACATTTACGAAAAGTTTGTGCTGCAAAATGTATCAACGAGTGAAAACGTAGAAATAGTGCTGAAGCGAAAATGCAGAGAGCTCGTAGTTTACGATAGTAACGTCGTGATCAATTCTCAAAAAATAGAAAAACTTGATAGTTTAACTCTACAGTTTTCTATATCAAGGAGAAATGTCACTAAGTATACTGGATTGAAGTGTATAAAGCGTATATGTTTTATGAACATTTGTCAGAGATCAGATTCGATTGTGTATTGCTGTTGGATTTTGAAGAAATAAATCACCTTCAGTTGAAAGTAATTACAGTTCTGAAAATGATGAAAGAATTCTGGAGTATTGCAACGAATCAATAGCATTTTTCCTATCAGAAACTGGTTGTTGGATCGATCCTCGCATACAATCTAAATTTTTGGCAATAAAAGACGAGGAGCCATCCACATTAATCTATGAAATATCTGATATTATAGTTAATTCTCTTTTAGAAAATATTTTGAAAGAACAGGTAATGAACACCGTTTCGAAATTGGAATTCACATGTGTTGCTGTTGATATGGTTAACTGCAAATCACTTGAAGGATTAGAAAACCTGGAAGTTCTACAAGTGCGTGCGAAAAACATCACTGGTAAATTTCTCTATAACCTGCCTATAAATCTAAAGCTGTTGAACATTACTGCGCCTTCCGAGAAGTATAGGAAGTGGACGACCGAGTACACGTTAAAGCCATCGATTGTTATGCGCCAACAAAAAAGTTTGAAGGTCATGGTGGTAGATGTACAATTTCTTTGTATTTTATACCCAATTTCTGTGCTGATGCCGTCCCTCAAAATGCTTAAAAAACGTTATTCAGAGCCATATGAGAAGCATGAAGGAGCAAGAACAATGAAGATAAAAGTAAACGAGTTAATGATTGAGCGTAGCAATAGGCTGATATGCAAGTGTATGGATACAGCAGATGGCGTTCAAATAAATCCTTTTATTAATTTTCTTGGTGTATGCATTGATTTCAATTATCTTAAATATTTTGTTCTAGTTTCACCCACACGGTCAATAAGCTTCGATTCTATAACAAGAGAAGCCAGGGAGTAAAAGGTTTGAACAAATATTAAAAATTATTCGTGTTAATCGGTGTTGCTCAATTAGATGTAACAAGCATTATTTGCACTATCATGGCACTTGCAACACAGAAATGTACAATTATTTATAAAAAAATTATAAGAAACACTTGTCATTTGCTCCATAAATCTATACGAGAGGTAGTTAGGTTCTATCCTTCTACTCTATGAGATTACCAGGCAAAAGCACAGGGTATATACCGCAACAAGCTTATTCCGCATTTCAAGTTATAGGTTTATGAATGGCAGTGGCATGGGAACAGCCGGCATGGATAAGAACGCCTTCCTTGGCTTATTAGAAACAGCATAGTGTAAAGTCTTCTGCGCAAAAGTGGCCCAAGATACTCCCAGAAGAAGGGTGTCTAACAGTTATCAGACATGCAGATAAAGTCAATATTACGCACAAAAATGTTATTTTTATGTTTTGCCAACCTTTTACATGGATAATGAAAGTGACACCTATCTGGTCACATTGGTAATTTGTTCAGGAGAGAAAGACCAATCCAATGGCCACAATACAACCCTCAGCGGGTCATTAAACGAAGTAATATTTTCATGGTATCAATAAAGAGAGAGGAATGCTTAGCTACATGAGTACACTGCGATTAAGCGTTAGGCAAATAACAATTCTTTGATTGAATGTTTTCACCTAGAAAGAGACGGCTGTACCTTTTTCATACAAATCCGTAAAAAATAGCTGAAGAGCCTTGAACCATTGGCACTAATGGCTTAAGTATACGGTTCAGTGTTTGAATTGCAGAACAGTCTACAAACTCTTCTGAGAGAGCTGATATTGCATTTACTATCAACTTTTTTCTGAGTCTTCTCACAACAAATTCTAAGTTCAACATTTTTACTCTATGTCACCGTTTAATACTTGCCACTATGAATTGGTACATCTCAATCTTCAAGCGTCCGCTCGATCCTGCACGACATGAGGAGGCAATATAATCATCAAATTTACCTCAACTAAACACTTACAGTACAAAACACACAGCATTCATACGAACAATCGAGAGTATATGTTGTCTGTCCTTGCCATTTGTCTTTGCACACTGTTCACTTCTCTACCAAGCATGTATATATCAAATTTTTTTACACTGTAAGATTCAAGCCTTGAACACCGGAGCTGCTGCATGTTAGCCGTCCCACTTGGTCACTCGAGCCCATATTTTAAGTCTTAGCTATCGAACCTGATCAATTCTCCTAACATAATGCAGAACAGAACCAGAATACATCAACAAGCTAACTCGTGATAACTGTTGAAAAGCACCACGTTACAGTCTTAATGATACAAGTACGATTACAGTCAGTATGCATCGCGTTATCGCACACAACAACACTAATATGGTATATTTCTGCAGGTTCCGCTGCACTGTAAGTTCAAGCAACGCGGTAATAATAAACCGGTAATCTGTAATTTTCTTGAAGAAGGCCCATAGACTGTAAATCACAACAGCGTTATAATATTTCGAAAAGTTATCAAAGAATTTAATCTGTCAAAAAATGAATTAGGTTAATGTACGTTTAGCACATCAATCAGTTTATAAAATGCAGTTTTCAATTTTAGTTTAGCTACTCTACATGTATAGCACGTATGTGTTGCGTATAACTGTTCGTTCCTTATCGCATTTCAAACACATCGACAGGTTTATTAATTTTGCCAGTTAAATAAAGAATTTGAATTATTGCAGTATGATTGTCACGGTCACCAAAAAAGATCCTTTTTACAGAAAAATAATGCTGGTGCTAGCTGTTTTGATCGGCGGTTTGGTTCTCTTCTCCGCTTTCTACATGATTTGGCGGATTGAGAGCAAACGTAAAAAAAATAATATTTATGACAAGAATAATACCGGAAAAACAGCAAATAACGCCCAAAGGACCACAGATAATGGAAAGAATGCTACGTATAAACCATCCAGTGGCATTTATATGAAGCGTAGCGTGCACATGAGTAAGGAAAAAAATGATAATGGCATGTTAGGTGACACGAATAAACTATCAAGGAGCACCTCTAACGGGACAGAAAAAGTTAATGATGATGAAAAAGAGATGAGTGAACATTCCGAAGATGTTCTAACCTGCAAAAAAGGAACAACCAGAGATCCTAAAAAAGAGAATGAAACCTGTGAAAGGATCTTACCAAATACTGGCGATGAAACAGAAACACAGGACAAAATTCCTAACATTTTAGCTTGTAAGGAAAATAAAGGAGCGGTGAAGCAAAGAGATAAATCGCATGTTAACACACACAGGAAAATGAGAATGTATAATGGGATAATTATGAATGGTAGTAACTTCGAGGAAACGCCAAATCAAGACGAGGAGAATGGAAGATATTGCCATGCACCTGCTGAACTAAGAATAATAAACAATGATATGAATAATGGAAGTACGCCCGAAACATGCGGTGATTCCATTTCATCACGCGTGTTTTATGGCGTGGCTCAAACGGATGTGAATTGTAACGGTGAGGAAGCACAGCAAGGTGTTGGTACCTGTGATGCTGGTTCAAAACCGCATGACAATTTCCATCTTGTGCTTCCTCATAAAAAATGTCAAGAGCAAGCGTGCTTTCCGATTGACATGCGAAACGATTCATTCAATGATAATTGCAGTTCAAATGAGTTGCAGATCACTTCTTGCGATCAATCATGTTCAAAGTGTCCTGAAACGGGCCAGAATGGATATTTTAACGGTTATACACGTTATGGAGTTGTCCTAAATACCAACCCAAGTTTTGCTGAACATAAAAGATGTGCTCATCCCAACGCTATAGCAGATGTTGGTAATCGGAGTGGAAAACAGGGTGAAAAGAGCAACGTAGAGGACACGGGGTTTAGGTTGCCAGAACCAACACCTTCGTTCTCTGAAATAAGTTTAAAAGATCGTATGAAACAAGATGTTCAGACAGTGAATGTTAAAGCATCCTGCCTTGAACAATTCAACCCACAGCAGTGTCTGCCAAACCTGCAAAAAGAATGTGAGAGCCGCAATTGTATTGCGGAACAAGCCTAGGCACCATATATTTCACCACAAGCTGCTAATTACTATGGTACACGGCATGACAATCCTAAGTTACCGATCCAACAAAAACTTTATAAGAAAGATGAAACTACCGAAAAGAAGAGAGCAACATCGAACGCGAAAAAAATTCTATCAAAATTTAAAAAGTCCTGCGGTGAAGTCAGGGAGAAAATCTCCAAACACTTGACCAGGAGGTTGTCGATGAGAAAGAACAAGACGGCGTATGAATCACCAAATCCATCCATAAGCGTTGATGATAACTATGTGATACTAAGAAATGGGTTAAAGACATTACAAGAGCAGAAGAAACGCAACCGCATGAGTGTAAGCACTTCTCAACTCTACAATTTAGATCAATCAAACGATTCTTTCCAAGAATGGCCCATAGTTTATGAAGAAGCATCAATTCCAGATACGCAGACATACCGCCAGTAAAATCGTTTATAAAATTTCTTCTTATGTCAACATTAAATAAAGTATTTCTTTAATAGCGGTTATACTGCGGTGTTCTATTCTTTCTTGCTATACACAGAGACATGGGCCAATAGCAGAATAATTGCTAGTAACCCGGTTATATGTTAATAATGTAGTGTGTTTGGTTACCTTTGATTGGTATGTCAGAAGTACAATTCAAAAAGTGTTACATATGACAAATTCATCGATAATATACCTCTCCTATCTTATGTTTCGCACGATCTCACATTCTAAGCTTGCAAAATAGTATCTTTTGCATTTCGTAAATCTTCAGGTTACCGATATCCTGGAATATAGCAGTCATGCTCCCACTATTGTTCCAACTCAGCTTTTTCATCCAATAAAACGGAATGTTCACGTTCATAGATCATTTATTAGCACATCATCGGTCTTTGTGTCTAACACATCTGTCAATCATGGTATGCTCACATTTCCGAGTTATTAAAACTATCAAATAATGATTTATTTAATTAACGCAAGTGTATTAAGAATTACAAGCTCTTACGATAAAGCATAACATGGGAGTTATTCCGTTCTTCTGTAAAAGATACCCGAAAATTACAATAACAATTAGTGGCATTGCCATTATCTTTGTTTGTGCTGCTGCATATGAGATTTGTAAACGTCAGAAAGGCCGTTTCAACAAAGGTTCAAAGAAAAGCGCAGCGGATCAACCGTTACCGTCTCATGATTGGACCGATAACAGAAGCACAGAACTTCATGAGACCGCTGGTGTTGGGGATAGCACCGAAGAGAAAATTTTGGTACGTGCTACTGATTACAACACTGTAAGTGATCATTTACCAGTGTCTAGCATAGTGGAAAAATTAACAGGCTCGGAAAATCTATGGTTGAAACGATCCAATACACCGGTTCAGCACGTTAATATGAAAATACGTTTTTGTGTACATGTGGATGAAATACCTAAATTGAAATACGAGAAGACTCACGCACCTAGTTATGAAAATAATGACAATGTTAAACAACAGGAAATCAAAAGCAATCCCAGAATATTCTTCGATTGATGGTATGATAATAAATTAAACCGTGAATGTTGGTTAAACTGTGATCTTGACATGTTAAAAGACTACGATTTGTTTTATACAGATGTAAAATGTACCATGAAATGACTGGTAAGCTATAAAAAAGAAAATAATGTGATCGGGGATTATATCACATGATGTGATGAATAAATGTTGTGTCCTCTTCAATAGCATCTATGGTTATTGTTGTTTTGAATAGCAGCAAAGTGCATTCTGACAACTTATGAGAGTATTCCTGTCGACGAAAATCATTTTTCAAACGAACTTACGTCCTTAGGATTGACAACACGAAACAATAATTCAAAAAGATTGTAAAACGGTAATAAATTGGCTTAAACCGCTTTTAGAAAACATAACAAACAGATTTAATCACACTTCTTTTGTTAATTAGCCGGCTTGATGCTGAGTGGCAAATAACCATTTAGATTAATTCTTGGCGTTACACTCAGCAATCAGCTTTTCAAAATAATCTATCAGCTCTCTGACACGCACCCTGTACTCTCTCAGCTCGTCTAGTGTCAAAATAACATACTCATCCCTAGAAACGGGTGAAGCACGCTCATCTTTTGTGTTAGGCTCGAAATTCTCCTCTTTGGATGGTTCCGCTCTGGTAACACGCCTATTACGACTCCTTTTAACATCTCCCAATGAATTTCCTTCATCTACTTCCACAGATGAAACTTTATGAACAACGTCTTCTGAAGTTTCTGCTCCAACATACGCTTTTACTTCAGAGATATTCGTATTGGCAGATGCGATATCCGCTTTCTCCTTCGCGGGCACAGCCACTGGCTTATCCTTCGCCAGTGCAACATCCTTGTTATCTAAAACGCCATCTGTCGTCTTTCTATTCGTTTTGTTATCCTTTTCTGCATCATTTACGTCTGCAACACCGCTAGGCGCTGCATTTCTACCAGACGATTCTCTTGCACCAGGCTGAGGTTTTGCTGGCTTAAATGTCAGCGTATCTTTTATCTGCTCTACCATCATCTGGTACATATTTTTCTTTTTCTCTTCGTTCTTGACGGGGCGGCTTGCAGACGAAATATCCGTGGTTCTGACATTCACGGTCGCCCTTTCGACAGAATCCTTAGTTTCACCAGCAGAATCCTTGGAATTACCGCTGCCAGTCGTGGCTATCTTCTCTATATGTGCCTCTAAATGCTTGTCACCGTGGTTTTCAATCCGCCCCTTGGTTACAACCTTCCTATTCTTTGCATCATTCTTCTTACTCGAAAAGAAATTCATCTGTTCTCTCCTGATAATTTCTTCTTTTACGTCAATTTCACGCTCAATCTGAGATAATTGGCTCGATTTATCTTTTTCTGTTTCATCTCTGAACAGATCGTTGGCCTTCAATAGATTTGGAGTGATTAAATTTATCACTTTGTGTGATTTGACGACAGCAGGAAACAAATTACTATCCGTTGGTTCTGCCATGGGATTAGTTCCGGATATCTCCTGTCTTCTGTGAATAATGTCATGTGGACTCTTGTCATTAATAGCATCCTGTTTATTGGATTTAGCCTTTATATCTCTGATGACTCGTAGTGCATTTCTGATATCCCCTAATTTACCACTTACCTGCCTTTCTTCAGGTTCGTTATAGCTTTGTTTGACATTCGATATACCACTTCCTCGCCTATCATCCTCGCGGTCGTAAATGGCCCGCAACTCATTAAGCCGCTTTTTGGTTATCGTTTCACCGATCTCGGTATTCGTCTTTTCGTCCGGAATATCCCCACAATTTCTTATCTTTACCAGATTTACCTTTGCCTGTACATCCCTATCACAATCCAATTTTGCGACCTTAAATGAAACACCAATTACCCGTGGAGCACCACTCTTTTGATTGGTTCCCATCACACATGCTGTGCTTTCTCGCACCTTATCATTTCCAGAACTGCTTATTCCTCCTAACATGGCACTGTGTCCCACAGGCACAATCCCATCCAATTCATTTCTGCTTCCAGACACACTTCCAATTTTTTTTGTTTCAATATTCCTCTCCTTCATATCCTTGTGCGGCACCTCCCTCATCCTCCCGATTATCTCTCCAGCAGTATCCTTGCTATCTTTTACCTTCAACACATCTTTCTTGCCACCACTCAAGCTCTCAACTTTTTCTGTTTCTACTTCTCTAACCTTACCATCTCTTTCCATATTCGCTACTTTGCTTTTGATCACTTTCAGAACACCAACGGGAGCGATTACTGGGCTCCCAACACCACTAAAAGCAGCCTTTCCGTCGGCCAGCACCTTTCTTAATCGCATGTTAGAGCCTTGACGAGCGTTAAATGTCTTATTTTCTTTCATAATCTCATTTGTTATGGCATCAAATCCCAGTAAAACGCCTTTTTTCTCTTTCAACTTTGGTTTATATACAAAATAGCCTTCGTCCCTGTCGTTCCTGATCACCTTAACTTTAAAATGAGCAGGTCCTGTCATCGCACTCCGATTTAAACCCACTTTTTTTTCGTTGTGAGAACTAGTTTCATCAGCTTTTGGTGTTGAACCATCTTTTTTCCGTATCATCTCGTCTACTTTCAATGCCTTATCCACCAGTTTCTCACTTTTCAATAAATTTTTACGCTTTTCCGCTGTATCTCCTGCTATACTCACTATTTTTAACGCGTTAAGCATGTTCATGGGACCATCCTTATCGATTATACCTGTTACTGCTCCCTTTTCTGTTCCAACTGCGCCACTCCTTAAAGAGGTCTTCCTGTGCAGTTTTCTGTCATTCAAATTCATTGATATGCTATCCACGGAACACTTTTGGGAAACATCTCCTGCTACTCCTTCTCTTGTTTCCTGTGGGCACTCTTCGTCCTGATGTCCTCGCTCATTTTTTGCCATTTTCTCATCTAAACACTTTTCTCTATTTGTATTTCCACCAATTTTTATCATTTGTCCCTGATCTTTGCCCACAATGATCTTTTTGTTATTTCCATTCTCTTTCACTCTATTCTCTCCAATCTCATCACCAACCATATTTTCATTCCTTTTTCCCTTCTTACTCTCTCCAATCTCATCACTAACCATATTTTCATTTCTAAGATGTCTCTCCACAACTATATACCGCTCCATACACTCATTGCACAGGTAAAATCCCTCTTTCACCTCACAGCTCACATTTCTTCTCTTATACTTAACAATCATGTTACGAGCCACATCCCTAAACAAATCCTCCATGTAATGACCGTCCCGCATCACCTCATCCGTTTCTTTACCACCGTCTTCATTGTTATTTCCATATTTGTACATTGCGATCAATTCCATTACTTCTTTTAAATCGTTGTAAAGACTAATCACATTGCCGTATCTGTTTCCAGCGCCATCTCCACACATTTCTATTCGTTCTTCCTTGTTTATTACATTCGTGTGCTCATCATTTCCAATGTGATCGTGTGATGGTATATCAGTGCTGCTTGCGCGACCAATTACCTTGCTAACTCCGAGGAATGTGTTTGTTGAGCTCAGCACCTCCGGTAGGGCACTGTCCCCGCCACTCTTTTTACCGCTGATACCAGGTTCGTTCTTCCTGTTCAGAGTGCACGCGCTGTCACGCGCACGTAACGATGTAGAAGTGTTGCGCTTTATACGCTTGTTAGGCATTGCATGCATGTATCGCACTCTTTTATTCGTCTTGTACACCAATCACAAATCGATACGTGAGACAGTTCACGTTCCTGCCCTTGGATGGTTTTAAAACGGATCAGGTACGGCCGCAGTTATTCGTTGAGGAGCAGTTTGAGTGTTTTAGTTTTACTGCAATGCGTTTAAACGCGTTCCGAGGTGCTACTCGTGTACCGGATGATACATGCGCACTAACGCTTTCATACAACCGAATGAACCGGTAAAACGGGCCAGCAACCGCTAATGATCTAATTAAACAGGGCAGTAGGTAAATTGCGTATTTACATGATTGACCACGGATTTGATGAAAAACGAATTAGCTTATGAAAGGCCAAGCGTACCGTTGATGCGCTAAATGATGATTAGTTCGTGATATGAATGGTACATTCTAAATGCCGGTGGCAAACCATTGCAACCGGTCTTGACTCGCACCATGGACATCGAGCAGGTGTAAAAGGTGTTTTAGAACGGTTGAGGAGTACCGTAGCATCAAAAGCGTGAGAGATGTAAATTGGTGAGCTGATTCGGTAGCAAGGCATTTCAACTCTTCGGAACCGCGATAATGTTCAGTTCTTGCACGGTGATCTGACTGGAGCTCTTTCCCACCAACAATCGTTTGCGCACCACCTCATACGCCGTAACACCCGAACAACCGTACATCCCTGGTCCGGTCTGGTAGGTGTGCCCGATTCTTCCTGAGCAGGCGTAGCCCTTTTGATGCGCTTTCCTGTGCATCAATCAATGCCATTTTTATCGTTTTGTTGGTGGCAACACTCTTATCCCAAAATACGGCGTGTCTTTCACATTTTTATCTCGTACGGATACACCGCACAACCAAGCACTTCAAACGCATTTAATTGTTCTGCTCACGTTGTTCGTTATTTCTAGAACAGGGCGTACTACGCATCTACTCATGTTCACGTGCCAGCCAAAACATCATGCCCGTGATACGACCATTAAAGTTACCGTGTTCCTCCCCATTCTACTGTACTACCGGTCTGACACGCTCTACTTGCCCGGTTTTGTGTGATGAACCACTTTGTGCGTTAAATGTCCCTTTAGAGCGCATGTCTTTATGATCGTGCAGTTTTATCTGCTGTTAGTGTTGCACACCGCTCTTTAATTCCTATAGCACACTAACATGTGCTGTCCATCCCATTCTCACATGAACTTGTGCTGCATTTCGGTTCCTTTCCATCTACCGCTCGTACCTGTTCCTGAGGTAAGGCTCTGTTCAATTGCGCCCACTTATTCATCCTCGGTGCACTGATACGCATCTCTCTTTCATCTATCTGTTCACCGCAGCATGTCCAAATGCACTTGCACCACATCACTACGTCCATTTGAATGCACGATCTCCCATTTTTTATCCGCCACACGAGGCCTAGAAATCTTGTCTTCCATTTCCTACCTGCCACTGCAACTCCACCACTTAAAATGGCTCGGACTGCACCCCTCAATGCCCCTACCACCCCACATAGCAAAGCTCATCAAACTGCAGCAAATTCTGCAGCCAACCGCACGAATAGAGCTGCCACAAATAATAGTAATTGGTCCGCAGAGCAGTGGCAAGAGCAGCGTGTTAGAACGTATCATAGGACACGATTTGTTGCCCAAGGGGGATGACCTGGTCACGCGGTGTCCTGTTGTTATCAATCTGAGGAATGTTGGCGAGGATTACTGGGGATGTGATAATAAGGAGAACGTGGAGAGTGGGAATGAATGTGGTGATATGAGCAGAGGAGAGTGCGGAATGGTTCGTGGGGGGAGTGTGAATGGAGAGAACGAGCCTGGTACGAGCAATGCGGATAATACGGCTGATACGTACAGCTCCGCGGACTGTCCTAAAAAGGGGCGCAGCAGTAAAATTACGAGGGAGTACGCCATGTTCTCGGATGGCAACGATGTTTATGACCTGTCCGTTGTAAAGGAGGAGATAAGACGTAAGATGGCATTGCTGTGCGGTAGTCGGAAAGAGATATCGTCACAACAAATTATTTTAACGTTGTATCTGCGCAAAACGGTGCATATAACACTGGTAGACCTGCCCGGTCTTACCAAGGTACCGGTTGGTGCACAGCCCAATGAGATAGAGCAGATAGTTGATGACCTGAACATGGGCTACTGCCGAAACACCAATTCAATCATACTGGCCGTGATTAACGGGTGCGTAGATCTGGTCAACTCCGAGTCCTTGAAAATTGCACGGCTGTGCGATCCAGGATACACACGAACAATGGGTGTGGTCACCAAGCTTGATCTGGTGGATGACAGGCAGTCAATACGCACCATACTGGAGAACACGAAGATAAAACTAGGACTGGGCTATGTGGGCGTAATAAACAGGAACACGAAGGCGTTGCACAGCGTGAGCATGGAGGAACATGCAAAGCGAGAAAAGGGATTCTTCAGGACAAGGTTCAACGCTTTTTATCCGCGTATAGGCACGCTGTACCTGATAGAACGGGTGTATGACACGTTCAAGGAGAAGACGCGGGCATTTCTCGGTGAGCTACGCGATACGCTGGAAATGGAGAACAGCAGGCTGAGAGAGATGGAAAGGAACGATATAACGTACTTCTATCGAATGGTTGATGAATATGTTCACCATGTATGCCTCAAGCTGAAGAATGAGCACAGTGCCGGTCAGCTGCTCAGTGATGAGATCAATTTGAAGGCGTACGCCAAGCTGGCGGATCTGCACGTAACTATCGAAATGAAGAACGTTTTTCTGAACGAAGCACAGTTCATGCACTACATAAGGAGAAAGACAGACCATCTGCACGTGCAGATCGTAGGCAGGGTTGGCAAAGTGTGCGATGCGGTGAAGATGTACGTGGAAAGTGTACGGAACGGTGAAAGTGTGCATGAGCATGGTGAAGATGTGCGGGTGGACAGAAAAGGCTTTTTCAGTTTGTTTTCACCCATACGGTTCCTTGCCGAGAAGGGGCGGGTGTGCGATGATCCGAAGCCTTCGCCCGTGCATTTCCTTGCCGAGAGGGGGGGGATAAGCGATAACACGGGTGAAACAACCGACCCGTTCCTCAGTGCCCTTGACAACGATCTGAGGGCAAAAGTCATTCTCAAGCTTAACGAGGCAGCAGCAGCAATGCTCAGCACACAAAGAACAAAATTCATACAAAACATCGACCAATACTTCCGGATACAGCAGTCATACGTAGACGTAGACCACCCTGACTTTAACACACCAACAGTGAGCCACAGCATATTCGAACGCAAGAAGGATATGCTGGGCATGTCCCTTGATCTCATGACCACGTATGTAAATGCGTATTACGGCATTGTTAAGAAAGAAATTGAGCATTACTTCGTTAAGAGCATGTTTTTTTACTTCGTAGATTTTTTCAGGACGGAGTTTAGGATGGCGATGCTGAGACGATCTGAGGAGTTCAAGTTTGTGTGTGAGAGCGGGGAAGCAGGGGACAGAGTAAAGGAGAATGAACGATTGCTGAGGATAATTAGGAAGGGCTAGTGTTGGTGCACGCTACGGGTGTCGTTGTGGAGGACATGCACTTACGTATGAGGGGAGGAGACCACATATAAACAGCTGATTGTAGGGTGTGATTGATTTGAATGAAAGAGATGGCACGCCGTACGTATAGAGGTATGCTATGGCAAGTGAAAGCGTCTTTTTTTACTTTTTAGAGCGGATCTACCACGTAATCGTTAATTCGTGTTGATAATAAATTTATTTAAACTTAGTTTTGTACTGCAGTGCATCACTGAAGATTATTTCGTTCGTTTGAGTACCTTTAACCACCAACCGTGGGCACCACCTCCAAATTACGCCTTTTCTCTGGCACGTTCTGGTTTGAGAGCAGAGCTGAAATTAACAAGCAGAATGAATCTGTCGTGTATGCAATTATTGTGATCAGGAAACATTACAATTACGCTCTTCAATTCAGGGCACTTCTCCTCGCCACAGTACCACATGCCATCTGTTCCATCAAAAGGTCCTCACAACTCTCCAATTTCCTTTGCCACTGCAACAGCATTCTCCAAGTCATTGCTCATCATCCCATAAAACTTTACAATCTCCTTGCTCACCTCGTCCTGCTCATTCCTTATCTCACCTACTATCCGATCCATTTGTATCTTTGCTCGTTGCAGTGCCTGCTCGCTCAGCAGAATCGAATTGTTTGATTCAATCGTGAGGTTCATCAGCTCATTATCAAGCTTGTCCATCTCTTTTCTGCCCCTGTGTTCATCAAGGTCACTCATCTCCTTCTTCTCTAGGTACAACTTGCCTATGCTGAGCAGCCTGCCGTTCAGGTGCTTGATATTCTCCTCAAGATACGATGCGTGGTTGGCCAGTTCGTTTCTTTTCTCCTCAAGTGAAAGTTTCTTCTCCTCCAGCACAACTATACGCTCGTTCAGCACATTTATCGCATCCTCTAACGTATCATTCACATCATGTGATGCGCTCAATCCGCTCACACATTTAAAATCGTGCACGTACTTCTCCATCTCCTCCCTCAACACGCTCAATTCCTTCTCCTTTTCGCTGAGCATCACAAAACACTTCTCCTTCTCCGGTTTTATCCTTTCAAGCTGCTTGAGTAGCTCATTCTTCCGCCCATTCATCTCTTTGTAACTGTCCACGTTTATCCTCTGCTTACCTATGCACTCCTTCAGCTTATTCCGTTCACTCTGAAGCGCATCCATACCATCGTTCAGATCTTTAATCTCCTCTGCATACTTTTCAGTTATTTTCTGGTACTTTTCCTTTTTTACCTCAAGTTGCTTAAAACCATCCATTATCGATTTCCTATCGTCCTCAAGCTCCTCAATTTTTCTCTTAAGCGCTGCATTCTCTCCGTTCATCTCCCACTCTCCCAGCTTATCATCTAGATCCCTCTTTCTATCCATCCTATCCTCATATTCCCTTATCTTCATCTCATGTTTCTTCCTGAACTGCTCGCTCAACCTGTCCTCAAAATGATTGTCAACACCCTCCATGAATCGCAGATACCCATCAAAACAGCACTCCAAGAACATGTCGGTCTCCTCAGCCTCACACACTCCAACAAATCGTACCATGTCTACCATCCAGCTGATAAATGACAGAACAACCGGCCATGAATGTGGAGATGTGGTCACCAAATGACTCTTGTTAATCTCGTTTACGTACGGATACTTGATCTGTTTGATAAGCAGCATTGCATCGTCTTCAAAGCGCTTACACTCCCAGTTTTTGTAGAAAAATGAAATTACGAATTTGAAAAGGTTCTGGAATTCTTTGAGTGTGGGGTTGCGTACGCTTTTATGCGATGTGTTTTCGTAGTTGTGCTCTTCGAGAAATGACTGCACGTTTGTGATGCATTGTTCTTGATACGAGGAGCTGCGCACGTTTCTTTTTTCGGGTACGGGACTTGAAGGGTATGCTAGGGATAAGCGGCCACGAGCTGGCGTCAAAGTATTGCGGCGCATTTTGAAGGGTTCTTTATTTTTTGGATTAAGGGAATACAAGGGAATAAGGGAATACAAGGGAATACAAGGGAATACAAGGAAATACAAGGAAATACAAGGGAATAAGGGAATACAAGGGAATAAGGGAATAGAGTTATTTGTGAGAGAAGAATAAAGGTGTGCGAAAAGGATGAAATGGGAGGAGCAAAGGATAGAAAGCTCAACCAAAAGATGAAGTACTAGAATAAATAATGGTACAAAAAATAATAGTTTAAAGAATGTATGAAAATGCTTTTAATTATTAACAGAAAAATTGCGGTATCTGCATGTGATAACGGAAAAAGAGTTGTAATCTATACAAGTAACCGCTATTTATTTTGGGAACACAGCTTGGTTAGCATTGATATGAAAGGTTCTTCACAACAATAACTAAGATTTTACCATTTTTACGCTCCGTACCGGCATAAATAGAAAAGCTCTCCTTAAATACTTCAAATACAGAATGAAGGAACCGCTCATCTATAAAATATGTTTTATTCCTAGGTCCATGCGTAAAAGAGTCTAGCATAGACTATGAATACGCAATGCTTCGTGGAAGGTGCTTTATAGCATTAATGTTATGAGAAGTACAGCAGGATGGTTACGTTGATGGTATCATCATTGTGATCACCTCATATTGCAAAAAATGCAGTTCTAAACGCAAATATTGCTTACGAGAATGTGTCGTGGAAAGGCACCCATTCAATAAACTAATATTTCTCAATGCTGCCGCCATTTGATACCGATCACCAGCTCTATACCATGGTGAATGGGTGAAGTAACAGCTATGGTGCAAAACTGATGCTGCACAGTGCCACATTAAAATAATGAGGGGTTACTACCAAATTAATTGCTCTGTTGATAAACTCTTAATTAATTAACATGTCCATCATTTAAACAGACCATCTTTCCAAATTAATTGCCTCACCGCTCTCATACGTTTAAATACCCGATTAAGCATCAGTGCAAATTACAACTTCTACCCCTCGGTACGCTATACGTGCTAAACACCTAAACTGAATGTTCTACCGCATATTTTCCCTTTTATTGTTACATACGCTTCTTTTCACGATACATCGGTACGTGCACTCTGCTTAATCTTACCATTCTCCCTCACAAGATTCACCCTCTGTGTTAACGGCACGTAAGTTATTCCCAAATCGTTAACCGTCTTATTCAGGAAGCATAGGAAGAACGTTTTCTTTTCTAGGAATGCTTCGTAATCCTGCCAATTGTCATCGTACTGCATGTAAATCCTGATAAATAATTTGTTCGAATCTTCAATATGATCGTAGTTTAACATGAAAAACTCGGTGTAGTAATTCCTATTGAGGTGCAGGAATGCTTTTATGTTGTATTTAAGCAGCTCTATTTTATGTATTGGCGTATCACTGCTCACCTGTATTACATGTGCCTCCGACATGATGCTACTCCTACGTACATTGGTGATGGCCTTGTTGGCAAGCACAATGTTAGGTATTACCACGTATATGCCATCAAACCTGCAGAAAGTGGTCGAGAGCACGTTCAGTTCTGTTACCACCAGATTTTCTAACTCGTTGTCTATGAAAATGAATACACGGTCACCAATATCGTACGGCTTAACACAGAATACGAACACCGTACTGCTTATCGCTTCTTTTATCGTAGAGTTGAGGATAAAACCTGTACCAAACAATGCAGAGATAATATCGATGGTGGCATCCGTTTTGTTCAGGAAAATGCCCAAAAAGATACTGAGGGCTACAAAAGCGATCACCACAGACAGCGTATACCCCACTCTATTCAGTGCAGCATTGTTCTGTTCAAAGCTTCTGCTGAGAAAATAGTGCTCTGTGTCTCTACGCTCCAACAGGGCGTAGATCATCCTTTCGTTGTACACATCTCTGGGCTTGATCTTCAGCAGCTTACAGAAACGCTCAAACAGCTCTCGGTTTGCAAACAGGCCAGCAAAGTCGTTAATTGTACTGAACGTGTTAATTGCGGTGGAGGCCGAGTATATCTTTTTTGAACGCTTGAGCCAAAATTTCTTGAGAATCTGATCCCTCTTAAACGGATCTAACTGCCGGGCGTATAATTTGCTGAACTCGGAGAGGAGCACTTTTTCAATGTCCTTTCCCTTGATATCATTGACAAAAAATTTATCGAACACTTGAATGGCCTTCTCCTGAGACATACTCTTGCCGGACGGTAGGAAATTCTTCCAGTAAGAATCATTCTTCGAGCCCTCGATCGAATCCAAGTCTTTTAACCCCTTTAGAAAACTCTTGAAGTACTCGTCCAGTAGAACCAATCTAATCCTGTTCAGATAATTGCTGAAATTAAAGGTAAAGCTGACTTTTTTCAGTATAAAGGTCTTTAAAGTAAGAAGGAAATTGGCAAACAGGAGCGTGCTCAAGACATGGCTGATGTCGAGATTGGTACCTTTGGCAAACTGCAAATTGGTCATTCGTTTGTATGTGAAGGTAACCAACAGCGTAACCAAAGCAATCATCATGGCAAGATGGCAGTTAAGAGATGCAAATGTTGCAAACCAGCCGTCCTGCTCACCAAGATACTTCAGCAAGATCTGTGCTACGTGGTAGATGAACGAGGCAATGCATCCGATGACAAACAAAATGCCTGCAATGCACAAAAATACCATGCGCAATTTAAATACGTGCTCTTTGAACGTATCGCTGCCCTCTTCCTTCTGAAAGCACGTGTATAAATAGCCGCTTGGTATGCACAGCGCAACTATCAGGATGAGAACGCTGCCCAAGAAAAAGTAAAAGAAATCAACTTCAAGCACTCTGTCGAAAAAAACAAACATCCTTGTAAAAAAGCGTGATATCCTCGACTGAGACTCCTTCTCAAGGGCATTATAGTCGCTATCCTTTGTTAACGTACTGTCACTATCATGCAGGCTTCTTCTTTCACGCGCATCGTACGAATGGTACGTGCTTGTGTCGTTCTCCAGATTAATTACGTTGTTCCTCTCGTAGTACTCATTTCCTTCGTCCTCTTCGTTCTCGTCTCTGTTTATGATACTGTAGTCCCTATTACTTAGTCTGTTCCTACTTGGCCTGTCCTCATCGTTACTCGTGCTATCGTGTTCCCTTGCATCGTCGCTTTGGTCAGAATAGCGAATGTTGACGGAAATAGCACTGTGATTGCTCTCAGATTCATCGTCATCACCGTTTCGTTTTTCGGCTTCTTTGTCTTTGTAGCTCGGCATTTTGTCCCCTTTTTAAAGGGATAAAAAAATGGTAAAGATATGCTGACGAATGAATGAATTGCAGTTATGCATACACGATCTGCTTATATACTTCTAGTATTTTATTTGTTTATGCGAACACAAAACATTTCCAACACGCATAAATCCGTTTTGTCCATTATATTAACGTAAGCCATCACTAAATCAGCGATGATCACACATACAAGTGTATGATTGTTGTTACAATTCAAGTTAGCAGGTCGTTTTAGTGCGAATGTATGTTACAACGGTTCATAGCGGCTTGTTATTTATCGTTATGTGAACATTTAGCACAGTTATGGTACAAATCTAGGAATGTTTCTTTATTGAGAGCTGATTGTACGTAAACACACTTTTTTGATTTTTTATCGTTTTGTTTACGTTATATGCCAAGTGCTCGCATTACCACTCTATTTTCCGTAAGTATAACGTGTTTAATACGCGGATGAAAACCTTAGGCATAGAACTATGCTAAATAAATTTAATAGCGTAAAAATGTACTTAATCGTGTTGTACGCTGTAACGACGTAGCAATGCTTGATCAAACAGTGCCTCCAAAAAAGTGCAATTGAAAGGAGATACCATTCAATGTTGCATGAGGACAGTCGTAAAAAGTGATGTATTTGATGTTGAGCACGGTGACCTTGATAAGAGCTGCCAAAATCACTGATCGAGTAGTTTCAAAGGTAATTATCATCATTTTTAAGGATCACCACTCCATGCAGACATGAGATAACATTTAACGCAGCCGCTATTACCAAGGAGTATGGCTGTTATCTTTTCCGTAAGGGCCACAGAACACGAACCAATTCGTCCCTGCAACAAACATTAAAACAAGCAAAAAATTTACCAAACGAATGAGGGAACACCGACAATTTACTCGGTTGCAAGGTCACAGATATCCAACATCCCCAGCAACTCCCTAATTCCTATCTCATCACACTCTACGCTGCCGAACGCATCGTTCTGCTCTCTCAGCTCTTCGATGTCGTTCCTGTTGATTTTTCTCACCACTACCAGGCTATCAAAGCTTTCTCTAAGACTCAGCTCCTCGATTATCTCAAGAGACGAGCACGTAGCGATCACAAAGCATTTACCGTTGCTTTCCATCCTTACGAATGTCTTAATGGTCTGCAGAACCGCGTTGCTGAAACGGGGACCTAGCGGCACGTAATCTATTAGAGACTCGATATCATCAATGATTATAAGGCACTGCTTGCATTTGTAGCCGTTGATAAATATTTCTTTGATGAATTGTATTTTCTCTACTTCGCTGTAGCCTATCACCTCCCGTGGGCTGATCAGCTTGACGTACGGTATCTTCATGCCGAGTGCCGCCCTCACCGAGAGTGTTGTTTTTCCCACACCGCTCTCGCCACACAGTAGGATATTGCTAGTGTTGTAGAACGTGGTTTTTAGCAAATATGAAATCTTTTCCTTGATCTGCTGCATGGTATCGGTGTGGTGCTTGAGCGAGTAATAGTTTTTCTTGAAAATGGTAAATTCTTGTTCGTTAAGACCAAATGCTGGCTTTACCTCGTCTATGGCCTTCAGAAAGTCTTCCATCGTAACTTTGATGTTGTCACTTACCCTGATACTTTGGCGTGGATCATCTTTCTGTGTGCCTTCCGCACGGGCACCGCCACATGTACCATGCTTAGCGTCTCCGCTTCCATGTTCGAGGTCGCTTGATGCCTCATCGATGCCGCTGTCCGCATCATCATCAAATTCTTCATTTTTTCTCTTCAATCCACGTTCTAGCGCATAGCTAACCGCACTTTTGACCACTGCCGTGAGTTCAGCACCGGTGTAATTATTCGTTTGCTTTGCAACCTCTTCCAAACTGACATTCTCCAGCACGTTATTGTTCTTGAGAGCTGCTGTATGAATCTCCAGTATTTCTTTTCTGTCGCCAAGATTCGGCAACCCGATTTCGATATGTATTTCAAATCTTCCTGGTCTAAGAAGCGCTGGATCAATAAGGTCCATCCTGTTGGTCATTCCGATCACAAGGATGTTGTTCAAGCTCTCCACGCCGTCCATCTTCGAAAGAAGCTGATTTACCACCTGGTCGGTAATTGAGGAATTCTCACTTCTTTTCTTGCATACTGCGTCAATTTCATCAAATATTATGATATGCAGATGTGAAGCGCTCCCCTTTTTCTTCCATTCCTTTTCAGCATCCTTGAAAAGCTCTCGTATGTTTTCTTCACTCTGACCGACGTACTTGTTGAGCACCTCTGGACCGTTCACTATTTTTGGTTCTCGTGCGTTCAACAGTCTGCCGATTTGCCGGGCTATTAGAGTCTTTCCTGTGCCAGGAGGACCGTATAGCATGATACCTTTCACATGGTCTATGCGTAGCCGATCCATCAAGTCCTTCTTGTACACTCTGCTCAGGAAGGCTCTCCTGAACATCGTTGCAAACTCCTCCTTTAAACCGCCTATTCCTAGGCTAAAAAAGTTGAAATTTGTTTTGAGCAGCACGTTCTCATCGCTGGGCTGATCGATCGTTAAATGCATGCTTGCCGTAAATAAATGGACATTAGTCTTGAAACTCACCATACCACACATATCCACCGCATCTCCTGTCTTGTCTTCAAGCATAATCTCACACACCTCAGCTTTGATAGGATCATCCTCAGACTTCAGATAGAAGAGCTGACCAAGACTCAGCGGATAGTTGTTGTATATGCTCACGAATTTCTCCGTCATTTCCTTCCTGCTGATCGTCTTGTCGCCTGCGTGCACAGGCAATAGCTTAATCTTAACCAGTGCTATATCCATCAACTTGCCTGTAAACTCTTTTACCGTTACCTCGCTGTCTATCGCCACGCCATGGTTCTCCCGCTGTGCACTGTTCATCTCCACAACACGGTTGTTTGTTGGCAGTGCACCATAGGCGTAGATGATGTTGTTGATCGATATTAGGGAGGTGGGCGGGAAGATGGCAGGCATGGCTATTGTTGGAGAATACAGCGAGGCGGGCATGAGCGGTTTTTTTACTTTTAGCTTTATCTGGTCGTTCATAGTGGGGGTAAAGGTGAGAGCTATTTTTATTCGGAGGTGTGGAGCTGAAACGAAATGTTTAACCCCGGAAACGGGGGTACTTGAATACCACCACGGTGCGACACTCAGAATGAACATGGTAGTACAAAGCAAAGGTTTTCTAAGCACATGTGACAGAGAAAACGGGGTCTTTGATTTGATGAAAAATTGTGACCCGCGGAAAAAATGATTAAGAGGGTTGATAGTGCGCATCTCGATATTTGTGATGTTGTCGGCAAATTTGGCAGAAGGTTTTTGATTTGGTGGATAAGCTCCTGAGCATGTGGAGGCATTCGTATGCGGTACCTTGTGTCATTTAGAGAATCAGGAATCGTAAGGTTTAATTTCCATGGGCCTTTAACGAACAAACGAATTACGCGTCTACGTCTACATACTGTGGTAATTGGCACGGTGAACATTATTAATAGGAGCATGCATCGAGTGCTGAGTTAATCAAGCGCTCTTTGGTACTAGCTGTTGCCTGGTGCTGTGCATGAGGTAATAAATAAACGATTTCCTGAAAGAGAATCGGTTGATACCACATCTGCAAAACAAGCACTTTCTCAATTTATCTGTGGAAAAGGTCCGCGTAGTGGTGTATGTGTGTGGTAAGAGAGCAGTATTTAATCACTGGTATGTAATCCGCTGACATGTTCACAAAGCGTTTGTTAAACAGGTTTTAGGAAGACTACGAGTGTTTTGTTAAGAATTATTTTATGTACGTGGTTAATGTGTTGAAATACCTGAAAGATGCGGTTTCTACCATAAAACGAGCTATTACTTTGCCAATCCGCCTTAGTGATTAGGAACTAAAAAGGTCTTTGGTACAAGACAGTTCAAGCACACCAATATGATTTATCATAACCACGTATTAAATAAAAAGATAAATTGTTATCTATCACTCTAATTACTGCCAACGAGATGCGCAAAGAACCTCTTGCAGTACTAAAATCCTTGTGATATGTTCCAAATGTTCTTGCTGCGCAATTAAGTACGCTTTGATCCTCGTGCATTCGATCGTTTTGATTTGTTGTTTTTGGTAACCAATTAGGCTTCTTTTAAAATGTCTGAATATAGAATGGTTTGTAGAAGAAGATTGATAAACTGAAACACGAGATTTCATATAAAACCTCTCTCCTGTGTACCCCCTATGGACGATGATTACGAAGTCTTCGAGGCAAAACATTTCTTAGACAAACTAAGGAAAGAGAAAATAGATGACGAGGCGAGGGAGAAGAAGAAATTAGATGACAAGAACAATTTGGTGATCAACCGGGGCATTGTAAGCGTGATGGACTATTTTAAGAAGTATTATTTCTAAGATGGGTACAGAATATGAATATTTTTGTGAGTGGAGATAAAAATTTGGACATATCCCAGCAAATTCGTGGAACTATGATCAAATGCACGATTATACTTGCAATTTGGTCGCAAGCAGTGAAAGTTAGTTGTTTTGATCTCTGTAGATTTGTTCAACGTGAGTGTGAATATATCGGGTGCTCATTTTATGTTGCGTATGAATTAAACAATCGATTTACAGCGGACGTATCCTTTGAATATTTTTCTGTCTAGCAGCGAAGTATTTGAGTGGGAACAGCAATCTAAAGCGTAAACAGCACCAGGCAATGCTACTCCTGGTGATGACTTCTTCAGGGAGCATCATACACGATTTCCAAAAAAATTGTGTTCACTTGAGCAGATGCAGGTTGATGATTTCTACAATAAGTGTAGCATGTAGCGCGTGTATTGGTAATAGCGAGCGCAAAACATGAATGGCCCATCAACACTGCTCGCATATCATTGTTACAAATGTACCTCCGTTTTGACAGGTTTCACTCAACACATTTCTTGCAATCTTTTTACATTGTAATAGGCTAAGCCAATGCACAAGAGGATGTCAAAATGAGCATAAATTTAGAAATTTTTAGTAAAAAATTTACTAATCAAGAAATGAAGCAAGCGATGAAATTGTATAAAGTTCGTTGATTTGATGATTAGCTTTAACTTGTATTTTATATTGATTTTACAGAGCGTATCACATTTTGATAAATTTTTCTTTATCAAACCTTCAGAAACATGACATGCCCAATTTGCCATAAAACGGTTTTTTGTGTCCTTTAATATCTTTGATCACACATAGCAACTGTTTTCATTTGGTATAAATGTACTATATGGTATTATTATTTGCTTCTCCAAAGTTATACCTTATATGCACGAACAATCGACTCTATTTATGTACGAACCAATAACGTGCCATTATTGTACCATATTTACATGTTTGAGGCACTAATGTTGCTAATGAACACACTCACGATATTTCGGATTCATGGTAGCTCCAAAATTGTATCATGTCAAAAATATCAAAATTATTACATGGTTTAAATATACGTAAAATTGTGCTGTCCATGGTATTTTACTGCAAAATACGTGTTCTTTCATTTTATTATGTTATATTACTTGTTTGCAGCGTAGTACACGTGCTCAACAATCCTGATATTGACGAGGAGTTTATTGAGCTGTATGATCTGCAGATTTTGAGGGAAACAATCTCTTCTTGTGTTTCAAAGCTAAACATTCTGGAGGAACGAGTACACCAAAGCAGTGTATTGAACCAGTTGCATGGCTCATTAAATTATCTACGAGCTTGTCTTAACACAGCAACCGAATTGATCACATCCTATGAGAGAACCAATGATCATAGCTATGTTAATGAGCTAATAGATCTTTTCTTTACTTCGTACCAGAGTGACAACAACTTCCTTTTCAAAAATACCAGTGACTTAGACATCATTACCAGCAGAGATTTGATCAATAAAATTGAGGCAACTGAAACAATGAACAGCGTGGTAATTAAGATGGTGCAGAGGGGCAGAGGGATGTACAATGGATTCTTATCAGAGATGTTTTTTATATCTTCTACTGTAATCCATATGATTAAGAGCGAGTTGAACATTTTAGCACGTGTTTTATACAAGCTGACATTTTCAGATGCGAATATAAACATCGATGAAGCTGTGAAAACTAGATTATATCTTCGTGAAGAGTGTGTTATCAAACTCTTATTGAAGTTTCATGGTGAAAATGTGTATAACGCACCAAATAACACTTGCCATATGTGCCATGCTACCGATGAAAATGAATTTATATATTTGAAGAGCGATTGCAATGCAATCCTGTGCCACTTATGTTTTATAAAGATGGCATACATTGGTAGAGAAGTAGAACGGTAGCTTTACCGCTTTCGTATTAAAATATTAGTCGTAATATAACAATCTTGGTTCGCTTTGTAACACTTCCACGAACGTATTTTCTGTGTTAAAATTGGTGTTACACGCAGTAATTGAGTTAACACCTATTTTCAGTTGATTTTAGACTTATAATCATCTCTTCTTGTGCTCAAGTTAATTTCTACAACTTGTAATTCTGAATCTTTTGCACCCCGGATGTTCAAGGAGAAGAAGCCATATTTCACCGCTAAACAATCTTTTAAGTCAAAGATGCGAGTGGAACGGAAGGATCGTACAAAACTGGAAATGATTGAGAAAATACGGTACAACAGGTTAGAGGATGAAAGGATCAAATTTGAGATAGTGAATAGGGATCTGTTGGATGGAAATGAATTGGAGAGAATTGATGAGGATGATAGGGAATTTGAAATAGGTAAAATTAATAACTAGCCATATTTGTGAAGGATGCTCTGTGTTCAGAATCTTTCTTTACCTTTTTAGATCAATAAATGTTCATGGATTGATACTGTGTCAATATAAAACGAATTGCTCTCATACTACGGCTATGTAGCGATGTTAGCGAAAAACTTTGGTGTAAATTTTGATATAGCGGTTTTGTACCAGCTTGCATTTTGGTTGGATCAATTTCCAAGTTACCTCATTCTTTGGAGCCACAAAAATAATATGTAAGTCATTGATATGTTGTTACAGCGATTCTGTGCTTGTTCTAAGCTGTCTCTGAACATAATTTGCAAAACAACATTATTACCTTTCTCATTTTCTACAGTAACTCACCATAGTTCGTATTTATGTTCCAATAAGCTGCTCAATTTTTGTTTTTTGGTGCTATCTTTCCGGTATGTTTGTACATTGTGGTTCTGTCATACATTTTTTCATCATCATGTCAAACTCTACTTGCCAGAACAAATCCATTTTTTGCAGCTTTAGGCCAGAATGAATCAAAAAAGTATTTCGTTTGATTGTACTTACGTGCCCTTTCTGCTGGGTCTATAAGCTCTTAATATCTGGCAATCGAACATTTAACCGTAAAATACTTCACCATCCTCCAAATCATCAATATAAGAATGGAATTTCCATTAAACTCCTTTATAAGTTGATTTAGTGTGCTTTTGAACTTTTTTGGCTAAGTACATGTTTAAGCCCACATATTAGAGTCGGCTTTACGATCCACTCGTCAAGTGAAAGTGATAACCGAACCAAAATCGTACGCCAAACACCAACTTGACTCTTGCTGGATCCCTATTATAGAAAACAGCGCAACCAATAACCACAGCAAAGATTTATGATGAAAGGAAATATGCACCAATATATGTGGATTTGTTGAACATGTCATTCCGTCATACCTCGGTGCAATACTTTTTGTGCTTAAAGCTTGTTCTATTTTTGTACTACGACTAGTTATCCAAAAGTAAATGGATGGTTCATTTAAAACATTCCATAGATTTTAGCCATGCTCACCTACCACGACAAAGTCTTTCTGATCAGTTTATGTTTATTCCAGCAGGCCCTTTTTCACAACACAAAGAGTTTCAGGATCGATCTGGTAGCTATTTTGGTATGTAGAAAAGACCAACGATTGAAGATACTCGCGTTCAGCATGATTGAATATTTCATGTAAAAATGTTGCTAATCAATCAAAAGGCGACTGTGCATTCTGATCAATCAAATCCACTACTGCAGAAATATGCAGCTTTCTCAGTTTTACTTTTTTCGGGACTGGTCCATTAGCACCTATTCGTAAATTGGCATATGTGATAACGAGCACTTTGAGAAACGGAGCTATGGAATGGGAAAACAACATGTCAGAAAGGAATTTGCCATCGATTATAAGAACTTTGAGAGCATAGAAAGCTGTAAAAGCATCTAAAGATAGTGATTGATCCATATTAATACGTGTGATCGGTTCCGTACTGATCAGGCTCAATAACTTGAGACAGGGAGGTAAATATTTGAAGGAATTATCGATGAGGTTGTTTAACTCGACTCTATGAGTTTGTAAATTCTGCATTTCATGTAGATTGCGACAATCAAGACTGCTCATGTGGATATCACAGTATTCTAGTTCTTAAACTTTTTTCATAGCACATAGATTGAATATGGCAGCTAGGATCTTCTCTGCCCTGGTATCAAACTCATCTGCGCATAACGATGGTTCATCTACAATGGTATTCTGAGTAGCACTCGGGTTGCTGTTTGCTAGCTTATTTGACTCAACCGTCTTGTGGCGATAAAGGACCAAGCATTCTAAGCCGGCTGATTGTTTTAATTCAGGCGAATGGCCTATCAATAAGCAATTGATCTCCTCAAATTCGCTGAAGAACCTTGCTAGAGCATGAATCTCATCTAGAATATCGTGTATGGATAGCGACTCTGTTCGTATTGGGCCCTTTACGATCAGTTTTTCCGGTGTAACTGCACAGAACCCGATTTCTATACTAACAAAACATGCTGGACGTGAGAGATCATACGTCCCAACGCATTCAGATACCACAACATCCTTGCAATTCTCGTTTACAACAAGACTTAAATCATCCTTGAGTGTAACCTCGATCAATTTGATGTTATAGAAGCAATGATCAATTCTATCGGTTGTTTGACCACGTATTTCACCAACTGCAGTTCAAAAATTAAACTTTTTACCTGCCGCATTTCTATAGATGTATCACTTTCAGCATGCAAATTAGCGGCTACAAGTCCCTGTAAGTTGAGTGCTCCCCTCGTTCCACTTATCGCAATCTTTCTGTGATCTCACCAACCAACACCATAGCTTCCTTAGACAGGAAACTTTCCAAAAGTATACGATCGCTATACTTTCATCAATAAAACATGCTCTTCAACCAGTACATGGGACATCAACAACCGTGACGAGCTGTCAGCACTCTCCCTACGCAGATGCAATCGTGAGATGCTTTTCAGTAGTTTTACTACACCAAGCGCAAATACACCCGCCAGATCAAACTTGCCAACCGAATAGCGCATGTCCAGTTCGTCATATCTGCCTTTCAGAGCAACAACCGATCCTTCCTCAACACTTGCGCGGTACATTTTAATGGTTTTAAAGCACTTTTTGAGCACAAAGTTACTGCTAAATGCCAAGTTATGATCTTCCAGGTGAGTTACGTACGCAGCCGTTCCATCAATACCCACACTCAGGAGTGTTCATAGTACAACACCATATCACGGATCGGTTGCGCAACGAATTGATGAAATCCACCGAGCACTCGATCTTATAAATGCTATTGAAGGGAGTTTTGGTGCACATGACAGAATATTCTTGAAAAATGTTAGTGATTCGTATTTTTATGGTTATACGATCGATACGACTCGACTGCCATGGCTGCAACTCTGATACCCGCCTGAAATGCGATGGAAATACCATGTCATGTGACATCATCGCTACCATGCTCTTAAACAACAACGTTTCTCTTAGTATTAGTGCTAGTCTAGCACCGGTAAAACTGTGTCCTAGCTTTTTATGGAAGAGCTCTGAATATCACGCAGATAAGACGCACGTACATCACAGCACTCGAACAGGTATCCTACATTCAGATCGTTTATCTGCACTGTGCCATTGTAAGTGCATTCTGCTCTGCTGCTGCCGAATATTCTGGCGACCTGTCTTGATTCCCTCATCAAGTGCAATACAACATTTCGATTCGCACTTTCGCGAAACTTTATCAAAGCTTTGTTGAAGTTGCTGCCATGAACTGCTACATTTTCGGTACGAAGATCATCGTCGCATTCATCTGCCATTCTCAAAGCCGAAAATAATAGCATATCAGCCTGGAAAGTCATGCACAGATTGAAAGACAGTCTCTCATCGTCATCCAAATTCATAAATATGTATTTGAATATGAGCGGTACCTCTTCCAGGGAGAATCGGTGGTATACATCAGAATGCACGGGTACAGCTCTCATGTAAATGCTTGGTGTACGGTACCTCAACGATTTTAAACTTTGCATTCGGATTGTTACTGGCACACACAACGTCATGGTAACTCAACCACGGTTTTCTCGTTATTGAATCTGTGAAATGTACCATTTCCTCCGTGTGTTGAGTTAATCATAGCACCACATGCGGTAGCCTGTATTTGTAACCTCACCATTATCCAGCAAATTGATGAACACGCTCATTTTCATGTTTTTAAGATTATACCATACTATGTATTCCCTGTTTCTGTCCTCTAGAAATGAGTTAAACACCAGTATGTACACTATGCCCTTAGTAACATACTCGCGCACCTCATACAACATTTCAGATCCATCCCCTGTCCCAACACCATAAATACGCTACAAACTCATTTACCGAATAAACTCTCCTTGCTCGTAAAGCATGTGTAATATTAATCTGGAAAAATACCACATCTGAACATCGCATTGTAGTTAGAATAAGAAATGTGGTCAATAACCATTTTTTACTTGATTGTGCGTGTCAACACACCCAAAATGTATGTAATACCGAATCAAGGCGTGCTATGCTCATTTTTACATCAAAGTACGTTTATTTATCAAATTTACCCGTTTTGCTACCCTACACCATTCCTGAGGGTGTAATGAAGCTAAACGTGTACAAACAGCCTGAGAGGGTAAACGTTGCTGATAGCAATACGGTACAATGAGTGAAAACTAACATTATTGCATCATATAGCACGTTAAGTGCAAGTGGTGCTATATTTACCGAAATAGTAGTTGTGTTTGGAATAGCAAATGAGCATTAACCATGATAGGTCTACGAATGCTATATCGTGCTGGGCAATAGCTTAAATTACGGCCAAATACTACTCATTAAGGTTGTATATTGCTAAGCGATAGCTACACGGAGTAAAACATTTTACTAATTCCAAAGACATACTTCAAATTGAACCGTGGCCCATTTTTTTGGTAGACTACCCCGTCACTATCTTCGAATAAATAAATGACTTAACAATTGATTCTTTGATTCGTGTGAAATAACAGGGCAACCAATTTTATAGAATAAAAAATTATGCTCCGTTCTACATGAATACACTTGACAGTTTTTACTAAATTTATTGTTTTCAAACGTGATCAACTACTTTTTACGGGTAATATCTGCAAAGACACGATTTCCAAAGTGCTTTTATGCTTGTCCACCACAGCAAAATATGCTCCAAACTTTTTGTTAAGGAATACACGTAAGTAGCCCTAAATATCTTAATTTTACCGCTAAGAACAACTCTTCGTACCGACACCAAATAGGCCATCCACCACATCGTAGTACCAATTGCATAATCATCCTTTAGAATGCTTAACCTTACTGTGGTTTTTATTTCACGAAAAAGTCGACACCGACGGGATTCGAACCCGTGCGCCCCAAGGGCACCGGTTTAGCAGACCGACGCGTTAACCACTCCGCCACAGTGTCTTGCGCCACGATCATTTTTTACAATTTGAAATATTTGGAATTCAACGCTTACATTGATACTACGTTGTAACATGAAGCAGAAATAATAACGAACACATCCTACTTACATCTCCAAGAACGGTTAAAATATGCCGTTTTCACAGCCTGTATAATACTTGTTACGAAACATATTTTTACTCATTTCATCATTAAAGAACCATTGAACTCATTGAGAAAGTATTATAACATTTCTTGTGCCGTAAATAAGTATCGGCATCATACATGACCAAGGAAAATACACAAAATGTACTTTATAACCATTAAAACATGAATAGCTCCCAGCTAGATTATCGTCATTCACCTGCTGCATATCATTTTGTTACTTTGTATTGTACCATCTACCTGTTGCTCCCTTATTTCCTGTTATTATCACTTCATCCCACAGCAGTATCATTTTGTTGTACTGCCCGTACAATAACACATTTCCTGTTATTATTACTTTATCCCACGGCAGTATCATCCCCACTATCCGTAACATAACACAACTATCATTCCGCAAAACACATCGGTACAAGCCTTCCCATCATTCTATTTTACTCTTTGCACCTTTCCGTAGTTATTCTCCTTATAAACCTGGTAGATAACATCAGCACAGCTATAAAAGCCTTCCTTCAAGCTCACAACAACAACCTGACAGCCCTTATCCCTTAAATACATAGACACTCTCTGTGTCTGTCCTAGATCTAAAGCACTGTCAATCTCATCAAATAGGCACAGGCAATTCCGCGTATCCATACACGAAAACATCATGGCAACTGCTATCAATGACCGCTGCCCACCGCTCAATTCGTTGATGCTCACCGCATTGTTGTTGATCGTTATGTTCAGGGCATCGTTTTGTATGTTTATATTACACTCTGGTATGAATACGCCTATGATACCATTTATGGTGCTGTTGATGTTTTCTATGAACGTTTTTCTCTTTGCCTCGCTTTGTATTTCAAATTCATTTATGCTCTTCATAATTTTTTTCTTGTCGTTCTCTAATTTTATAATTTTGTTTTTGATTTCTGTTAATTGTTGCTCGTTCTTCTCTAAAAGATCAAAATTTTTAGGGTCCATCTCTTTCTTCATCACTGCTAAGTCCTTGATCTCCTGTTCATACATGTTTACCGTTCCATGTAAGAATGATAGGGTGTCTTTTACCGATAGGTGAGAATTGAGTGTGGAGATAAGATCTGAAAAGTTGTAATTCTTGCTTTTGAGGAAATCGTATAGAATGCTTTTGATGCCCTTAGATTGCACGCTACTTTGTGTGTTATCACGCTGTAAATAATCAGCGTGTACACCATCAACGTACACATCGTTGTTACCCATATCCTCTACGAAACACTCCTCCACCCGTTCAAATTCTTCCCTCATAATCTCCTCTATCTTCTCACCCGTATTATCTTCCATCCTCCTTCCCTCCAATTTGACCAGAGTATTCTTCAAATCGTACCGTACATCGTAACTATCGACCACATCATCCTCGTCATCCACCTTACTCATTTTCAGGTACTCTTCAATTTCTATTCTTTTCTTTTTTATTCTCTCATTGTACTGTTCTATACCCTCATTCTCCTTAATTATCCTATCCCGCTCTTTTTCTCTTATTTTCAGTTCCTCCTCCTTCTTCCTTTCTTTTACTAATTCTGCTCTTAGTTCGCTTATCTTGTTCAGGTCCTTGTCCCTGATTATCTTATTTATGGCATTTAATCGTGTACCTTTTTGTACTAGCCCACGTATTCTTTCCGATTTTTTACTGCTCCGCTCGATGAATGTAGCACAGTTGTTGTAATGGTTGCTAAGCAGCGAGCTGATGGATACTCCGCTGTTTAATCGTTTGATTAAACACTCAGCAGTGTGCATGCCACTCGCTTTACCCACCGCTTTTCCGTTACCGGTCGCCATACTTACATTTTCTGTTTTATCATGTCCATTCAACCCCTTCTCTCTTCCGTAATTATCTGCCCTTACACCTAGACTAACATTTTCATCGATCAAACGTGCCATCTCCCCCATTACTTCGTCATTTTCACGATCAATCTTCTCAATTTCTCTTTTACCAACCATGTCCTTTACATTAACCATTCCACCGCTTACCACTCCTCTATAATCATAAACGGTCCCCTCTAAGGTCACTGTAATCACCTTGTTCTTGAATGAAAATGTTCTAGCATCCTTATCGGTGTCAAACACATAATAGTTATTGAAAAGAAAATAAAATGCATTCTGATGCTCTTCTCTGTACTTTATTTTCTGTATGAGCAGGTTCTGTTTGTATTTGTTATCGATATATTTTATCTTGTCCAGTGGTATAAACGTGCCATTACCGTCTTTTATTATGTCCTTGGCCAGATCGCTGTTTCTTACCACGTAGTAATTCCTTTTATTACCAAGTATTGTATCGACAGCCCTCCTGTATTTGCTGTCAGTAAGCGTGAACAGTTCGAAGACTCGTCCCTCCGTTCTTTTCACACACGCATCGCTCTTCACGTATTCAATTTTGTTGCTGAGTTCTTTTAACTTTTCTACGTTCTTGCTTACGTTTGTTATGTCTGTGCTCAAAGCCAAAAGCGTGTTCCTGTCATTCATGATCTCATCGCATATGTCTGCACCACCTCCCTTTTCCATGCTATCCTCACATGCTATTCTCTTATCAACATCATTCACGGCATCTTGCTCGTCTTTAAAGCGCACTCTTCCTCCGCATCCATTAATTTCTTTTCTAATCCTCATCATATCCTCTATCAACGTAAACCGCTCCTCATTTATCCCAACTACATCCATGCCTCCTTCCATGATGCCTATCATCTCCTCGATTTCTGTACTCCTAGTCTTTAAGTACTGAACAATTGGCACCGTTCTCTTTTCCTTCTCCTTTAACGCATTCAACTCCTCTCTCATTTCCACGATTTTTATCTTTTCCTCCTTGCAGTGCAGTCTTCGCTGCGTTGCTCTATTTATGCGTTCCAACTTTTGTTTTATAATTTTTTTATGCTCGTCTATGCATTGCATTTCTACCAGCTCGAGCAACCTTTCCATGCGCTTGACAGATGCTAAGCGCTCTTCTACCACCTTCTTACGACCCATTCTCTTGCGATTGCTGATCGTATTTTCTCTCTCATCACGCAATCTACTAAAAAACGGTGCTATCCTGTCACTGAGCTGTTTCTTAACAGCATTCAGCTTGTCCTCTTTGTCCATCACACTGCTCAGGCGCTGCTTATAATGGTTGACCGTACCTACGCAGTAATTGATGAATGCGTTCAAATCGTTCGTGTGCAGGAACTTGGTAATTGTGCCCTGCTGTATCAGCAGAATATTCAGCGCAGATGTAACCGTTCTTACGGTGCTCAGCGATGCTGGATGGTTGTTTATATATATCTTAGACTTGCCGTCACGATTTACCTCTCTGCGTATTACTAGCGATGTAAACACCATCTCTACTTCGCAGCTCTGTGCACCTGCTCGTATCAGGTCCTTGTAACACTCTACTCTCATCATGCGCATGTTGCCCTTATCCAGACAGAACATGATTGCATCGAGTATGTTTGATTTGCCACTGCCGTTTAGACCGGTTAGTGCGGTGAATGTGCATATGTTGAGCGTTGTCTTCGAGATTGATTTGAAGTTTGTTATGGTGAGTTGCTTTAGTTCCATACTGGGGGTAGGGAAATAATGGAAATAGTTATGGCAGAGATTGAGGATAAGATGAGGAGATGAGGAGATGAGGAGATGATAATTGTGGAGCGTAATAATCTGGTGGTCGAGCAAACAAACTAACATGTTCAACCTTCTTGGTCAGCGGTATGATACCCTCTGTAAGAAAAAAGTTTCATTAACAATGGCTTGGTAAAGCAATGCACATGTGTTACAGTGTATAAAGACGAACAGCTCAAACAGATCATTACTTTGTTTGTTCATGGGATGTGCTGTACCAGGTAAATTGGATGAAAATTACACGCCTCACCGTATTGTGCAGGGCTAAAGAGATCATACAAAAAACGAAAATGTATTTGTTGAGATACAGCAATACAGGAAGATAAATAAACGATGTTTGGCAAATTAAATTGATCATACAGTGTTTTCTACAAAAAATCATGAACTAGTCAGGCAAACAGAGGATGTATCTAACACTTACAAAGACCGTAAGACTGAATTTGAGCATTTTACGTTGATTATCTACGTGATATATTAAAATGGAACCAAACGATTTGTACCATGGGCAAACTGTGCTACCGGCAAAAACCATTCTAAATATAAAAGCGGTATGCGAATGTTTCTTTGCTTCATACACGCTCTTCCCATTAAACAAGGCGGCAAAACTAAAAATACGGCAGCCTTAACCTGCCATTCCATAGCCAAACAGTGTCAGGGCTAGAAATTGTGTTTAAAGCACAGAAAATGTATGGAGAGGCTAATTATCTAGCGAATGACCAGGTAACAGCACGACCTGCTGAGTTAGAAGAGTAGAACAAACATCTGATTGAGCGGACAGATTGTATAAAAGCATAATTTAACCGATGTAATGATGCTTAGCCCAGAGTTATCAGTTTGAGAAAACACAAATCTAAGTTTTAACCGGTGTACTACGTAGTTGGCACATCAAATGAGTTCAATTAGCGCGTATCATGTTCATACTCTCCAACTTTTTCTTTTCGTCATCCATTCTAATGATGTACACCGGTCACTCCTTGTATCCCAGTCCGCAAATACGTGGGTAGATCAAACACTTGGTTCGATCCAACGGCGTGCGAGTAAAAACATTTAATCAAACACTAAGACGATGTTTAACGCCCTATACGGAACAATCAGGGGTGTGTGCACGTATGGCAGCAGCTATCAATAAAATATGAGGTAAACGAGCATTACGCTCTTAGAACCGCGTATGTTAGTGTTTTGTCCTTACGCAGCACGTGCTATATCCCCTTGTACAGCCAATCAAACATTTCACAGTAATCCAATGCTACCTTTACTACAAAGCCAACTCCGCATACCCAGTGCCGGTCTCGGAGTGCATTATTTCCGTCTATTCCCCGCTAAACAAATCGTTTTCTATCGATGCATAGAACCAAATCATGTTCTGGAGCCGCACGATGCACACCTATCATTCCTTTTCACCGCTATCCCTAGAATCTCTCAGCCTGCCATGGTATTCCCTCAAGTACCTGCTGATCTTCTCATCCTTGACCACTCCAACATATTTTTCGTAGTACTCCACCGCACACTCGTACTCCTTCCTGTTCTTGTACATATCACCGATCATAAGCCATCCACTGATTTCTCCGCACTCCACCATCCGCCTATAGCACTCCAGGGCACTTTTCACGTCATTAAATTTTTTATACTCGTTGCCCAGGCTCTGCCATATAAACGGATCGGTACTGTTGAGCAAGAGCGCCTTCTTAAAAAACGCAATCGCCAATCGGGATGATTGCATGGCGTACGCCTGCCCCATGCCAAAGTATGCACGATAATCGTTCGTACTCAGACTGTAATACTTTATTGCAGTGTTGTACTGGTTCAGCTCCATGTATTCGTGGGCTATCAGGGTGTTCAGAAACGCGTATCGGTGGTTGAAACGGATGGCCCGTTTGAAGTGGTGTATTGCGGCCGTATGATTCTTCTGGAGAGAGTAAAAATTACCGGCGGTTGCCATCGTTTCTACACTGAACGGATACTTGCTGTGCATGGAGTGGCACAGCAGGGACAATGCACGCTTATCATTCTTGATGTACAGAATGTTGCTGTACAGGTCGTAATGATCTATGAGTGCTGAGGAGTTGAACAGGGCAAGCGAAATGTCGTATTCCTTCTTGTGATAGAAGTACGCAGCTCGAAGATTCTTCAGGTACGGTGCGTTTAGGTTTGATTGGTACGAGCATGTGGGATGGGCGGTAAGGGGGTTTGAACGGCTGAGCAGGCCAGAATGTGCATCTATCTGTGCATTTATACAATCTCCCCTGCACGTACGATCCTCATCATCCTGTAAATCACTGTTCGTGCTCGTGTTGCTTGCATCGCTCGTAACCGTGATTGCAAATCGTGGCCTACTCTCATACGCCTGCCTGTTATTTTCGTTCCTGCTCGTAAATTGCGGAGCATCTGTTCTAACACGGGCATCGTCGCTGCTATCAAATTGACCGGCCACTTCGTTCTCCTTCCAATCGGTGACCTTAAACAGCACGTTCTCGTCAATACCAAGATCAATAAATCTACGGCAATACAACTCAACCTTGAACACCTCCCACACCATCTTCTCGTCTCCGCTCTTCGCACATCCAATCTCAACGACCCTGTTCCTATCCTCAAGCACACCCATCAATTCTTGCCACGCGTCCACAAACAGTCCGTTAACCGCAACAGCTCTCATCAGCAGCTCTTCCTTCCTCTTCTTGTCGCCCTCAACAAGCGCGCACACGTACAAAATGAACTCATTCTCAACATACGGCTCCAAACACATGTTCACACTCTCCCTGACCGTATGCTTGTGCAGCAGCAGCACGTAATTGCGCATGAAGTTGTCGCGCGTGTTGTGACACGTGCAGAAGTAGAACTGGTGATCAGGCCGGCAATGCACGCTCTGGTAGAGCGTGTAGTAGTTTTTTAGATGGAACTGGACGAGAAGTGGCAGATCGTGGGGCGACAGCTGCTGGGAAGGGTTTATGGACAGCTTGGCGAGATGGGATAGGGTGTTGAACTGGGCATGGCTGTAGAAAGACATGGTTTCGAGGGGTACGGTAAAAAATGGAGAATTTGTTGGTAGGCTGCCATCGATGAGCAGATGAAAAAAATGATAAGCCACGATGTGGGATCAAACACGTGTGCAGAGATGTTACTTGGATGGGCAAACTAGTAATACCCGGTATGGCACCGGCCACGAGTAAGAGATAACCGGATGAACGAGCATAAGGAGCTTGAACAGCAGACAATAGCTTAGCGGAAAGTGTGCAATAAGTGCCTTTTACTCGCACATATGAGGCATATTTGCAAGGAATACTCCAAAAATAGCTGTTCTTACGGTTATAACGTGGGATGATGATTTATTTGATGTTGACATGAAAGAACCATTCCATTAACATCAATCAATAAACATTTGACGATGCCATTCGTGTGGAAGAAAATGCAATGGGTAAGCATCAGCAATTTTTATCAAATTAACCTTTGCACATTTTCAAATTCAACCGGACAACAGTCAACCGATGTAGGAACAGTTTCCGCCACATGTAAGCATCAAATAAAGCGCTCTCCTCATATAACACCTGATTCATATACAATCGCGAACGTACTGCCATGTTGAATACAATGCTAGCAAATTAGTGGATCAGAATGGTGAGGTGCTGTGAACAAAGTACCACACTCACCCATGAATTGCTAATTTGTATGAAACTAGCAAAATGTGCTGATTGAGTGCTGTGGTTTGAGGAGATGAATAGACGAGCATTTTATAAAAAATAATTTATATAGGTAAATAACGGTCACTTGTCCTTGATATTTCTCTGCAACAGATGAACAGAAACCTTTTTGGTAAAAGTACGTTCATTTATCTCCTCATACATCACTAATATGCAAACAAACACTTTTGCTGGTCTACAATAAAAACATTTGCACGGTATTATCACATCCGTTTTGCACGCCATCGCAGGAGTGTTGTAAGAATTGCTCCTACTAAAAAGTACCTTGCACGTTCATACACTCTAAACCGTTTCGGTTATCGGATACCTTTCCCTGATGCGATTTGCTATACCGTGTCGCTGTGATTCTTGTGGAAAGATGTTTTATCTACTGTTAACACCAGCAGTTCATGACTTTAGCAAGGATCATTGCTGTGCGCTAGTGATTCTTGTGGAAAGATGTTTTATCTACTGTTAACACCAGCAGTTCATGACTTTAGCAAGGATCATTGCTGTGCGCTACAGTTCTAGGAGTAATTTGAACGGTACTGGCTGGGTGTACCATCACTACTTGTAGTACGAGTGCTGAGTGTGTCAGGATGAGTAACGTGGAAATAATCTTGTTTGGTGTTGGAGATGGTTAAATTTATGATTAGATTGTTTATAAACAGGGAAATGACAGCGCATCGCATTGGAAGAAATTGTGAAAACTTGTCAAAGACAAATGAATTATCAGGCATGGTTGGTGTGAATGCATCATAAGTGTTTGTTATGCTTCATACGTGCCTTGTTGGGCAAATAAGGTGTTCTTGTTCTGTTCCTCTCTTTAAAATATTCGTTTAGATCCATTCTATAAACTGCGGTACAGTGATCTGCCATAAAACACGTACCGTATTATCATGTCACTGTAAAGCATTGATGTACTCCGTGTTTTTTCTGATTATACACCATTTCAACGTATTTACGTGCTTTTCTGTCCATGAACATTTCGCGTCCTTAAGACCGTTCACTCCTGCAGGTCAGAGATTCAGTTAACGCTCATCTTAATGTCTGTTAACCAGGCCAACGCAAATTTAAAACATCATAGCAGGAAATGAGAATAAAGAATGCGTTTGATGTTTGATTTAATTAGTAAAATAGGACTCTCTCGTTATATTGGTACGTATTCATCACTACGTGTTGTAGCACCGGTCACAGCACGGCAAGGTGATCAAATAACCTTTTATAACCTTTTTCCGCTGGCAAGCACTTCTCTTGCACCATACCAAATCCTCTACCAATCCAAAATGCATATCCAACCACCAAGGTCTTCTCTCGTACATATTCTCAACTTTATTGCACCAAACATACGCATTCAATCCTTCCACACCAACCTCATAACCTAATACTACCGGTAAAACGAGCTACTCGCTCCATCAATACATCTAATTTATCATCATCGCATTTCCATCAATTAATAATCGTAGCAATCACTGCTTTTAATAACCATCCTGTTCACTAAGCAGATAATCACGTTTAAGATGATGTGCAGATTAGTTGGGAAGTATGAAATAAACAATTTTAGTTTGCTCGGGCTGTCATGATAAATTAAAATGGTCGTAAATTAACTGCTTGTTTATTTGTTGCCATTTTTCTGTTCCATCGCTGTATATGCTCGATTTCGTGCTGTTGCTTGATACCTTGAACCATCTCATTGTTCCTCGTCCTGTCATTTGGCAATTCAACACATGTGATTTGCTGTCATATGGAAGAGTTTTAGATATATTTGAGCTATAGTTAGAATTGTCTGGTCGTTCTACCTAAGTTACACTGCCATGTTCGCACTTCATTCAATACTTTTAATTGCTCATCATACCTCTATGTTTGGTCCTAAGCCGTTTATCTCTTCTTGATCAGTAATTCGCCATCGTATTCTTGTCCACTCGTGCTAATTCTGATTCTTTACCATTTCAAACCGCTTACAATCACATTCAAATCATTCTTAAACACAAAAATCTATGTCATTCACCCGGTCAGTTGTTCCTCAGCACCTCAATCTATCACAATACACTCGTTGATTAATTACTGTCAATTAAATCATTCATTAATTTATCATGGTAAAAGTATAAAAGAGCGCGGCGGAGCTCATCACATGCAATTTCTAATAACTGCATTGCTCGCAGGTATTATATACTGTGCAAATCCTATAAGGTTTCAGACAAGCGACATCAACGAGCAACAGCCGATCACCAACGTTATGGTGGAGTACCTCGTAGATGGAAGGCAAAAAAATGTGATGGACTCGTGCATCAATATGAGACAGAGCGAGGAATCGCCATACGATACTATTATCGGCGGCTGCCGCTGTGAGACGTCATTTGCGCCCTTAAGTTTGATAGTGGTCAGGTTCTTCACAAAAACGGACGATGAAGCCCTAGTCCCGGCTAACAACACGCTATACACGGTAATATACAGCAAAGAACTGGAAATTGTCCAGCCAGCTGACGAGACTGCCTCAAATACACTTGTCTTCAGAATTACCAAGGCCACGAAACGATTTTGTATAAAACTCAAGCAGTCGGTGTACCTCGGTGTTGAAACAACGGGCACAGGTGCTAATACCACGCTTGAAATCACCGCGCCAACACTTGAGACTCAGGCACCTGTGGTGTACGAACTCAACGATCTTCAACCTCCCGCAACTATTAGGATTGGTACGAATGAAGGCGGTGTAGAGGCGTACAGGCGATTCCTATGGAGCCGTGCAAAATCGGCACTCGAGTGTTGCTTTGACCATGCTAAGCTGAGATGCACACCAGAGTTTAGGAAGCAGCTTCAAAAACTGCAATTTTACCTGAAGTGCGGAAAGGAAAGGAGACGATGGGCGCACAAAGTGAGCGGATGCTTCATGAGCTCGTGTGCTACATCCAGAAAGCCAAGTCCGGTATGCAGACCGACGCCGTGTTATCCGCCCGCCCCTCAACCATGCTATCCGCCCTGCCCTCAACCATGCTATCCGCCCTGCCCTCAACCATGCTATCCGCCCTGCCCTCAACCATGCTATCCGCCCTGCCCTCAACCATGCTATCCGCCAGCACCTCAACCATGCTACTACCCGCCAGCACCAAGTTCTTATGAGTGCAGCATGCAAACACTGGTTTTAATTCAGTTCCTTGTGAGGTTAGGAGACAATCTAGGACGTGTTATAGATATATGCCGGCAAGAACCTTCATTCTTTACGGCAATAAATGTTGGTCCGTGCCCAACCACTCACCAGGAATACATCTGTCGTGTTGATGATATGATTCAAAGTACGTGCAATGTCAGACCATACCATTACGCAGTACCGCCAGCTCCGATAGGTATAGTGTGCAAGAGCGGTGCCTACGCTATTGATTACCTCGTAGGTACGAACAAAAATTTCATGTTTGTGTGCCAACCGGCTGGGCCGCTTCATCTCAAGAAGGCCATGGAGAGAATGAAGAGTATGAAAAAGATAACCAGGGACAGAAAGAAGAGAGTAATAGAAGATGAGGAAAGTTCTGATGAGGAGGAAGAGGATCATAAGAAGAAGAAGAGCGTTTCTAGAGGAGTTATTATCGGAATATCGTGCTGTGGTGGTGTATGCTTGGTTGCAGTGTTGTGCTATGTTGGATACACTCTTATGTAATTGAATTGAAGTAAATCCCTGTGTAGAACGTACATGTTTTGTGTTTTGTTTTTGATACTGTGACTTTATTACAATTCGTGTTGGTGTGGTTTACCGTTTATGATGGCATAGGATGTGAACAAACGCATTGCTGCAGTTTTGGTTTCGTTTTGTGGATCAGATCTGTGGAGATTCTCATTTTAACCAAAAAGGTTTTATCCGGTGTTAACACGGATGAACATGTCTTGGGTATTAAAGTGTGTTTAGCTAATTTAATGTTTTAAACGAGTTAATTGAGAGGTTTTTTGATGGTTTAAGCGGATCACAGAATATCTAAACCGAGAAAAATGGAACTTTTCTTTATACTGGTGAGGATATGACGGCCATATTGATGGTGAGTCACAAGAGATGAACAATCTTCTCGCGGGAGTAGAGCATGGATGTTCGTGACTTGAGGTGTCCCTGGGAGAGGGATGTCGTGCAAGTCACGGTTTGTGTGTTAAGATCGCTACTACGGTTGCAGCAAACCTTTCTATTGCAGTGGAAATGCATGTGAACGTGTTGTACGCGATAGCGTGCTACTTCCCTCCATGACCAAAGACCAGTGGTCATAGCGTACGAGAACGGTGTGAAAAGGTAGATAATCGTGCAGTTAGTGATAAAATGCGTGAAGATAAACGTGTTTTCAATTAAAAAATAGCGAACACCCTCATGGGCAACGAAAGGCACCTTCTTACACAAATTGAAGACAAAACGTCAGAGTTAATTGACATACTGCCACAGGTAAATGATAAAACATCATTCATAAATTTATATTTGTACAGGAATTCACATATGAAACACGAGCTGGAGAAGAATACGAATGTGCTGGTCTCTTATTACGATATTCTAAACGTGCATTCACAGGTTGTGTTGTACAGGTTTATTGAGCGATATCCGAACGCATACTGTAGCCTTGACGGGGATGACAAGAGTACAACGGAAGGAGGTGATAAAAATGGTGATGAAATGGAAACGGGGAATAAAGACGGTAGGAATGACGGTTTTATGGTTGAAAGTATAGCGTTGAACAACGAAAATATGTCAGAGTGTAGGAAAACAGCACTGATAAATACGAGTGAAGATAATAGCAATGGTAACACGTCAATACCAGGTAGAATAGAAAGGAAGAGTTGTGGGAATGAACATGAGATGCATATAAATCGGTGCGAAGCAGCAGAGTGTTGCACAAATCGTTGTTTTACGGATGACAATGGCAAAACAGTGGTATGTGATTGTTTTGCACAGCATGAGACAGAAATTCATGAGAAAACGGAGCAGATAGGCGAAAGAACACATCACAAGAAGAAGCAGTTACGTACGAATGACAACATAGTGGTAGAAGAAGATAGAATTGAATTTAACGACGAAACGATGGACAGGATTGAGGCTCTTGGTCTAAACATACACGAGATGAAACAAAAGCTGAAAACTCGTGTTGTGGACAGCACGTTACCGTCAAAATGCAAGGAACCCAGTGATTGCGATAAAGAAGAAGGCTTTATTGGTGTTCCATCAGGATATACCAATTTTGAGAAAGGTCTTATAAACGAGTACATCCTCAAGTCTTCCAACTATCATCCGAAGTACTTACAAAGAATAAAAGATAAATTGCTCATTTTTGATACTTTATTCGACCAGTTCATCGTTCATTCTGTAAAAAACAACGAGTACGCGAAATATCTCCTTGACAAAATGATAATACTGATGTGTGAATATAGAATTGAGATAAATGAAGGCTATTTAAGAACGCTTAGCACTGTTATGAGAGATTGTAATGAATTAACGTTCGTTTTGGGAGCATTTATGAGCGGTAAGGAGGAAATGTTTAATGGGCTGATTATGGAAAGAAAGTACAGGGATATGTTCGTTAAGATGATGGAGAGACAAGGAAAAACGGAACATGGTGGTATGCATAGCAGAAATGGTGAGAGTGGTACTGTAGACAGTAGTAATGTACGCAGCACCGCTAAGACTGACACTACTCCTGGTACCGGTGATGAACCATCTTTTGCCAATCCTGTTGGTAAGACGGTCTTTCTCAGTAAAACACACAATTTTACGATACTTAACCTGCCGCAAACGCTCCAACAAACACTTCAACAGGTACAAAGTAATGCTCTGCCAATCAACGTTCTGCTATTCCATCTCAATAGTGCATCCTCTCGTACAATAAAAAACTATAAGGGGCAGCTTTTCAGCTTGCTCCTGAATAACACGTTTCATCCCCTCATGCTTAAGTTACTGATGGAGCGTGCATGTGAGTACAGAACAGTGATTGAACATTTTTTCTCGTTTCAAAGCTACGGTACGCAGCGTGTCATTATTCTGGAATGTTTGATGATGTTGATTGAGGATGGATGGGAGTTGGGCGGTGAAATGGTGAGAATGTTTTTTGGAGCGATGGATGGTACTGCGATAAAGTTTAATGAGGTATTGGAGAGCAGAGTGGTAGCCTTCTATGAGAAAACCAGAAATTTGGGAATGTTATAGATGGGAGCGTTGTGCATTTTTAAGCACGGTTTTATGGAGATTTAATCGGCAGTACAAAGGAAAGGTGCATTCACACGGATTAATGGCGGTGGAGAGAGTCGCGAACAGCTTAACCGGACACGTTTGTGATTTGAATACCAACAACGCAATAAACAGTAACCGTGTAATTACGTGGAATTGATCAGGTACTCCGTATTTATTTATTTTTGTGATAACGTATCACAACGTTGTATTGTACTTTCGGTCCTGCCTCTTCATCGCAATGTCTCTGTCTTCAATGCCGGTGTTCGTTAATAAACCTCGTGCAGTGCTTGGTAGGTTGAACTGCAAACATTGTATGGCGATATTGTGCATCGATTAGTACGGCAGCACGTTTTACATCCTTCATTAGGATCACAACTTGGATGAACATATGGCCTTTGCAAAAATGTGATTGATAGGCGTAGAAGAGACAGTAAAACGGATCATTTCTTTTTAACTTTTACGGTGCACCACGGTTCAGTAATAGATAAAATTGTTATTTTTTAGTTGTTGTACAAAGCTGGTAGAGAAGACTCTCGATGTAAAACCGGTATAAAATGCGGTAGTGATTGTATGCCACCAAAAATATAGAGGATATCTCAACATTCCAAAAATATGTGTGTCAAGAAACATACTGTGTTAATGTTTAAACCCTGCATGGAAGGTTGCTTGACCATTCATTCCCATGAGAAGATTATTAGATGGTAGCACAGAACGTGTATTAGGATGACCATTTTTAGCTCAGTTGGTATTTTAAGGAGAGCACAGAACAATACTCAAAAAATTTGGCATTTGCGTTGCTCAGGTGCTGTGAGATGGGTAAGTATACCCGTAGTAAAAGAAATGTGTGTTGCTGTGGAATGCGAAATATTTTAAATAAATAAACTTGGAAAGAACGCGTGGCCCAGGTTTCTGGATTTATCGGTTTGAAAAAATTGAGGTTAGCACAACTGCTGGTGGATGGAACACGTTGGCAAGGCCTTGGAGTTTAGTATAGAATTACTTTAAAATATGTTTAGTACACGACAGTCTACGAATTCTAGGAGTATTAGGTTTTCACAACACTGATTTGATGAGGCAGAACGGATACATGGTATGTATCCTTAAAACATAGGTTATTTATTCAAGGAATAAACCTAATTATTTTACAATGATGGTTTTTTACATTTACAAAAGCATACGAGCGTGATCTACCGTCATCCAACACATATAACACTATAACTCTTTTATTTATCCATTTTCTTACTATTATCATAAATCTCACGTATTAACTTCCTAATTGAGATCAGAGGATAGTTATCATCGGTATTTTTTCCGGGTTCATGTACCACCTTGTACGCATCATTTTTGAGCATATTAATGAGTTCAGCAGGTGTGTAGTCCTTTTCTCCCAAGTACAACGCCATAGCACCCGTAACATGCGGTGCCGCCATGCTAGTGCCAGAAACTACTTTATACTCTCCATTGATCCAAGAACTCTTGATATCGACACCCGGTGCGTACAAATCTACGCATTGGCCGTAATTGGAGAAAAAGGCGACCGTGTCTGATGCTGTTGATGCGCCGGCAGTCATTGCTAATTTCGATGATGATGGTGAGAATTCACAGGCATCTTCATGATCGTTGCCAGCCGCAGCCGAGAAATGTATGCCGATATCTGTGGCATATTTTACAGCATAGTCCAATACCTTAGATTTTAGACCACCTACACTCATGTTCACGATCGATTTTGGCTTGTGGTCGCTCGATGCGGTACCTAGGGAATTAGTTGCGTAGCTGGAATTCCCTGTGATTGAGAGCAGAGGATTGAAACTGGAAATACGGAAAGGATCAGTAAGGCCCGTCAGTTTTAATTGGCCAAGCGGATCATTTTCAGTTCCAAGGTCGTGGTTAACCACACTTAAAAACGAGCGAACCGTGTTGATGATGCTTGATACGTGCCATAAAGGATTGAATGCGCTCGTAGACATGATAGATCCGCCAATACGTCTGTGAGGAATGCCTTTTTCACGCCAGTCAGACCATGAGTTGTCGTTCATATCCTGACCACTATCATATCTGCCATCCAGCACTCTCTTATAGTACTCGTTTCTTTTATTCTCTTCATATCGCTCCATCTTTTCTGAATGCTTGCGTATGACATAGTCGATGCCCATTATCACGCTGCTCAGCATGCCACTTCCCATTTTATCTAACACTTTTACCGCCACAATCTCTGCTTTCCTTGCAATACCCACTGTTTTACCTGCTATTACGCCCGAAACGTGTGTACCATGCCCGTTCAGATCTGCATCACTACTACTAGTCGTGAAGTTTGCGCCAAAGAATGCCCTGCCTTGTAATTCGGGATGAGAAAGCTCCACACCGGTGTCTATTACGTACACCTGCGTATTTTTTCCCGATGAGTAGGGATAACGGAACGTGTGCATGGTGTTTACCTTGGTGCCCGAACTGATGCGGGATATTCCCCACGGTGCATCATTCTGGTATTCAAGAACGGCATGTGCATGAGATTGTGTACGAATGCGTGATGTACTTCCACTGCCTTTATCGGCATTCCCGATCACATTATTTTTCCTCAGATCATCGAGCTTATGATTTTTATATTTTGATGCGTTCTGAACTTGGCTAAACCTGTGGTCCCTGTTCTTGAGCATACGGTTTGCACCGATGAGTGCTTCACGGGTATTATTTGTCTTTCCATACGAGCCGTCGCTCCTATCACTCTTATGTTTCTTGTTACGCCTTTCTCCTTCATCACCACGGTCAACACTCAGTCTATCGCTCAGCTCATCATCCCAGCTATCGTGTTGGGCACTGCTAGCATCAGCACCCAACACAAACTCTCCTTTAACGATGAATTCTTTAATTTGCACCTTCATGTCCCGCTCTACATAAGCCACCTTCTCATCATTTCTCAATTTATTCGCACTTTCTTCCTTCAAATCGCCAATAAACCCGTTACTGAGCGTGTTTACCACTGTGTCGCCCATTCCCAATGCATTGAATACACTGTTACTTAGGATATTATAGTTGTACCGCTTGGGATTGTCTTTTAACATTACGATGTACCGTGCTGCACATATATATCGTATGAGAAGGATCAGCATGTGTGTTGGCAATGTGGCCGAAGATAAAGCATAATGTGAAACCATCAGTTTTGTATTTTTTGTGATATCAGAAGATGAAGAGGGATGCGGTGGAAGAGGTACAACAGATGGTGGGTTATGATCAACGACAATAGGTACAGCATTACCGTGTAAAAGGTTGTTAGAACATAAACGTATTACGGGCAGGATGAATGGTGTGCTTAGAAAGGATAAAAAACTAAGCGAAAGTAAATAACGAAACCAATGAAGATAAGAAGTAAATACAGCAGAAAAAGCGCAGGAGATGTAAACATGAATAAAAAATAAAATAAGGAATAATGTAAATTTAGCATTCTGTGCTAAATAAACCAAAAATGTACGTTTAGTTAATTTAACGAAGGGTCATACACAAATGGTAAATATCATCTTGTTAGTCAGCAATAGCCTTGTGTAGAAACGATTAAGCAAATTTAGTGTTTGTTTAGGTGTTATTGATGTGAGAAGATGAATAAATGATTTATAGTAAAAGAGAAAGCAAATTTAATTGGATCGATAATGGCTGTGAACCGCGTGGCATGGCGAACCGATGATTTGTTAAAGGTTATTAAAGAATTTATAGAACGAGTAGAGCAAAGCAGGACCAATGAAAATACACGTACACTGTGCTAGCTGCATTATTTGCTGTGTGCAAGGTGTCCTAGGCAATACAACTTCCTTACAGTGCAGAAACATTGTATTGATGCCATAGATTGATGAGCACAGCAATTAATTTACTAAGGTACCCTTTTCCATGCAATATTTCGGTAAGTCTCCTTTAAAATGATGTCTGCGTTTGTTTTGTTGTTCAAAGCGTTTCATCGCATCTATAACATCAATTGTGTAGCCCCCTTAAATCACAAATAAAGAAGTAAACAAATGGTAAAGACATCAAAGGTTTACGGAGTAAAACTACGGAAGAGGGAAATTTTCGTGGCATCGGCTTCTGAGTGGCATCATTCTTCGACGTACACACATGAGACATTATTAAAGATCTTTTCGACCATAAAAGATGCTTCTGACGCGATAATCGCGAAAATGGACGAGTCAAAAATAGAGAAAAATCACGGTCTCAGGCGTAATGTCAACTTCGTAATTGACATGAATTTAGAAACTGAGATAGTCACACGAGCAGATGATGAAGGCAGTAAGAAGTATTTTATTAGGCCGGAAAAACCTTTTGAAAGGGACATTAGTGAGCTTGTGGATGATAAGGATTTTGAGACTGAGCTGACCGAAGACGAAGAGGAGTTCTTGAGCGGAAAAGTAGAAATTGGGGGAGCGGAAATGCAGAGCACCATTGCAACCCCGGATACTCGCGGAAACACGGCGAAAGGATTAAAGAGTGCAAGTGCTACAGCTGCTGAGAACACGGTGTGCGAGGTAAGAAACGTTGTAGACACTTACAAAGCAGACAGCATTGAAACAAAAAGGGTTGCAGCAGGCGATAAATGCAAAACTGATGTTTCTGAATCAGATTTGACAATGAAAAAGATGTCTGGCGTTTCAACAGCAGATAATAACCGTAGGATCGCACAAGTTAACAAATATGATGTGGTCAGCACATTAATTAATCATGGAATAGACGGTACTGGTAATGCAACTGGGAGATCGGATGCCAGAATTATTACTAGCTCTGAAGTGATGGTCAATGAAACCAGTGGAAAGAGGGGCAGAGCAAAGATCGGTACTAAAAAGACGCAAGAAATTGCTGCTGATACATCCGGCAGTACCGGAAAGAGCGAACTGCGATCACAGTCCGTTAAAGACACACAGAGCATGAAGAAAATGAATCACAAGAAAAAAAATGAGCAGTCAACCGCGAAGAAACAACGACTAGTCGACGATAAACAACCAAGAAGGAATATTTTTTCCAATTTTCAACCGAAGCTTTTGCGAACACCTACTCAGGAGGAGATAAACGAGTATTATACCGACTATTCTATAATAAAGAATCCCCTGAGAAATATCAGGAGCGGTAATTCGCCTTATGTGTACTATGAAATCACAGGGAAGAAGGAGCTCAGGAAGCGAATGGTAATACGGCTCAAAGGGAGGAAAAGAAGTGTGAAGGATGAATTGATTGGCAAGTTTTTCGTAAGCGGTGACATGTCGGATGAGGGTGATGATGTTAAGTTCTAAAATAAACTAAAGTTTGAATAATAACCTGTTGAAGTGCAATTTTGCAAGGTTTTGTTAAGTTATGAGCGCATTTGCGGTTCATATGAAGAGAAGAGTGAATAAATATTGGTTCAGGTAACAATGGTATTGAAGATTTGGTTGGTTTTATGGTACAGCTCGTGGATGTGAAGAGATTGAGAGGGTGTACAGGTAAAGATATGCAGAAATGACGGGTCAAAACATGATATAACAGGTATATGAGATAGCAAATAAGCTGAGGCAAATATTGTTGTACACGCTCCATGCATACAAATAGTACCATTCTCACTGAGAATAAATTTCCTGTTTAGTACACAAATTCTGCAAGCTATTCATTGAATTTAAAAGCAGCTGCTTTATATTCTCATTCATCCATAACGCACATCAAATTAACACCAGTCGTTGAACACTGAGTTTGTGACCTCAAACACATCACAACAAACCAAGATAATCTGGCAGTTTGTAGACACGAATCATTAAATTTTCGCGTAATTAAATAAAAGCTTAAAATTTTTTTACCCACCACATATTCAATGATATAGAATCATATAAAACAAATGTTACATCAAAGTAAGTTGCTGAACCATACAGCAGTATTGAGACTCATGATGATAAAAGCGGCAAAAGTACGTAGTCACATCAATAATTTTGATGTCTAACCCATTCGCAATACCTACTGCAAGTATATCACTACAATACTGGTCCATTAACACCACATCGTGGTAAAGGTTTGTCCTTGTGTTGGTGGGTTGCTGTTAATCTGAAGTCTTTGGTTTGTAATGATCCCTTTGCATTGTATTTAAGTTGTTATTCGGCTGTATACATGTGTTAGCACAAAAATGCGTGTTAGTGGTATCAAGTGTAAGGGACTTTTACTGTATTTTGCTTGGCTGAACGCTGTATTGTATCCCTTTGTGTTATTGCACTCCAATTATATATTCTACACTCGATACGTTCTATTACATGCTCTCAATGTCTTTCTAGAAAAGCTTTTGAACAATATCTGCGTATTAAATAGATTAGTAAAAAAGTTCAAAGAAGAGATGAACCGAGCATTTAGTCGTATTTGGTGTGTAGAAGTATGTGGAATAGAATTACTTGAATTTTGCCTGATATAATCTTGGTATTTTTTTCACTGTGATTTGTGTAGGCGCGAATTATTTCTTATCTAGTACAATATATAGATGGTCGAGTATGATGAGCAAACACCTTATTTTTCCTTAAGGTATTGGCAATCACTCAATAAGAAATGGATAGTATGATTGTTGAGCACTATATTGCGATACTTATCGTTATAAGATGCTTGAGTAACAGTTTTATATGTAAGTACTTGAAATCCTTGAACTTTCGTACCGATGGTTACATACATACAATCCTGTTGAGACAAGTAATGTGGTTTGTACCGTATTTAATGCGAATAATTTAGCAATTTGAGATTTATATCCTTGGTTTTTATAGACATTTCTCTATCGCAGTTATCACAACTACAAATTTACCATTTTATAGATTTTCTGCATTTGTGTAGCAATACGGTTGCTATGAAGTTGCATTATGTTGTTCTTATCAGTGATATGTAACATTGAGAACGCCTAAACTGGTTTAACTTGCATTTGAAGAGGAATGAATCAGGTGTTATAAATGCTTTTGAAAGACAACAAGGGAAAAGAAAACGATCAAAAATGTAAAGTATAGCTCGTTTACATATCCTAGGATGTTTTGGTACTTTAGCTCATACATTTATTTACACATTTAAGCTGCAGCCTTAATAATTTATATTTTATAAATGGTTAATGTGGGTGCATATACCGGTTATCTTAGCGAAGATGCTTGGTGGATAGACTGTTCTAAATAGGAAAATGTTATGATACGGCCGTTTAACTCTTATGTTATCCTGTCCTTCAACACAATTATATTGTGATACCAAAATAAATAAATACCACATTTACTTACCACTCGATGATGTGGTATCAATAGCAAACGTAGCAATGCACATAAAGACGCTTGTTCTGTTGCATCTGAAAAAAATTATTGTACCGGTTGACACGAGCTACCAGAGAGTGCGCAATGGTGCAAACAAATGATTTGCTGTGATACAGCGAGTTTATGATAGATAAGAGAAATAGTTCAATAAAAGCATGGTACTTTACTTATTCGGTACCATGTAGTTTGAGAACAAGTAGAATTTGTAAGCATTCAAGGCGTCAAAGACATATTAAAACTAACGTTGTAGATGGAGCGTATATGGACGAAATACATCGATATCAAGAAAATTGCATAAAAATAATTAATTCATTGAACTTACAATAAGGTACACTTCATTATGTCACCTTTTATACCTTTCTTACCCACACCAGAACAATTCTTGCTCTCAGTACCGAGCAATGGAGTATAAGAGGTATCGTCATGGTCAAAAAATTTGTCGGATGACTGGTCATTATTGGGGGTATGTTGTTCAATGTCTGCAGTTTTTTTACCTGCTTTACCGTGATTATGGCGTATTCGGCAGCTACACTTTTCAGAACAATCTAATTCGTTTTTAGAATGTTTTTTATGATTTTGTTGAGCCTCTTTGCTCTTGTGCGAGTAAGAACAGCTTTTTCTTTTCGCAGCGCTTCGTTTGAGTAGGCATTGCTTATCATCGTAATCATCAGGTTCAGATGATGATAAATCATGGCAATCAGGTATATTTCCGGATAGTACGTTGCTAAAACGCAGAAAAGTAATAATGATAGGAAGTATTGTCATTGAAAGAATATATTTTGTGAAGCGGTGTAAAAATAACTTTTAAAAATATTACTATAGCGATAAAGTTGACATGTGATAAAACATTGGCGGTTACATCAATCGTATGAATAAAGAGAAACGTAAAATATTAGAACTTATGATTCTATTTAAGCTGAAAATGCAGCGCGAGAGAGTCATTTTTGTATAAAAACTGTTAGGATAAAAATTAGCTCTTCCATCATTAATCGTATAAAACTCAATCTACCATAACACTCGTGCTTAAATGACCAATGCTTGTCTTATAAACCAAAAACGCTTGTGAAAAAAACAAATTTCTTACCGCAACTTTTATAGGTATAAGAAGACGACCTACAGTTGATTGGCTGTTTGGATCAGCAGTAAAAATTTTTTGTACCATCTTTTGGCACATAAAGGAGTTAGAAATTATCATTCAACTCATTCTTTATGAGACGTTCCCAACTATCTATTGTAAAAGTTAGAGGGACATGATTACTGAGTGAAAACCAATCTTTGAATCCCTGCCAAAAGATTCAAAATAAATGAATGAAGACGCAAAAAAGTAACACTTCATGTTAAAAGAAGAAATTGTCATTTAAATGGTATAAAAATTTTATTTTGTTTTATAAGCGGAAATACTGCAGCTACATATGAACGAAATGTATTTCTATGACAACGATAGCATCAAATTTTCAACTAGAATGTTGCTTAGATCAACAAATACGTTTATAAAATGTTTTTATTTCGGTTTATAAGTTGTTACCTACAATGCCATATACATATATATTAAAATAAATAAGAAAAACTACAATTTAGTACAAAAACACCAGTAGCATAATTACATAACTTGATAGTGTACATCCAAATGACACTATCACGAATGAAAATTTTTGTGAAGAAATACACCTCTTGCATTCAAAGCTCTTCCTTGGTAGAGATATGCCTGTTTTTGTAACAAATGATTTAAAATTAGTTGAAACCACATATAACCGCTCGATTGAAGGCATTGTTTCTGCTAAAAGTATATGATAAAATCATAAGACAATTCAAAATATAAAAATGAAATGGTTCACGCCCGATAACCATAGTTTTCTGGCACGAAATATAACTACACAACACTAAAGTATTGTTTGTATTTAAACAAAACTTTTCTGCAAACAAAAATGGTTTAGCTATCGCAATATATTGTTATCCAAAACATTTTCCCTTTATCAAATACGAAAACCGTGTTAATCCATGATTATTTACAATTTAATATCCAATATATTCATCTAAATGAAATCGGACACGTTTTATCATGTTTTCGTCTTTTTTTAACGATAGTACGTTTATTTATTTCCTTATACAACAAATTTTTGTTTCGTTCTTGTAAACCTTATTCTGCAATGAAACGGCGGAAGTATTGTATGCTGACATAAAATAAATAACATCATGGATTTTGTAACGAAGATTACGTGAAACAACGATCAGCAATCGTATCACTAAGTCTTAAAAATGAGGCAGCCGTATCGGTTCCCGAGACTCACTTATAATCAGAAGTGTTTATAGGTAAAACCACTACACTGACTCTACAGATATTGAACCATCATTTGAAGCGATTGCTATACACTAATCGATGAATTATGTATTGTACTGATCGATTGTATCTTGGGTTAAAACACGACATCAAGTCATACAAAGACTTCTGTGCTCATAGCATGTCATATACAACATTTTCTTGAAAGGTAACCACCACTCTTCCGCTAAGTACAAAGCTTGTACCTGTAGAAAAGGCAAAAAACGACAAGACAAAGACAGGCAAAGAAAAAAAAATGTCTCAAACAAACGAAAGCGTTTTTATGCACCATTTCGTTCATATTCTTATTCTCTATTTTGATAGTTCCTTCATTCTCGTCATCAACCCAAATCATGTTAGTACCTACCATACAGAAATACATAATAGCTATTATGTTGCGATCGACGAGAGCTGTACTTTGAATTTGATCTGTTTCATCGCTCAAAATCTTTTTCTCAGTGTAGTTAGAGGGTAAAAGCACCAGTTCATTGTTCATAGTTACACCAAGAGCAAGCATGCCGCCATCGGAGAGCAATGATGAATATGGCATCTTTGTATGGGGGTCTATAAGCGATGTGTCCAGTGTATATATGCTTTGATTATCTTTCACAAACGAAATATGAGATTTGTTCATTTCTCCGTCCCTCATTCTTAGTTTGATAAAAATATTTATGTTTTATAAGTGCATCTTTTATTGGTGATTAATTTGCCTTTTAATCGGTTAAATGACTCTAACTCCATTGATAATGAATAATTTCCAGTCAGGTCTGACCAATCGATCCACACTATTTTCATTGAACATTTTGTAATCGCGTATTAGTGCGTATTTGATGTTTCTCCGGAAATTTAATACGTAACAAATGCTTTATGTATAGTAGCATGCATATGATGTAATGATAACTTTCTCTTTGTGGTTAAAATACGTTGCTGGATGTGATTCATTTGATATAGGATTAATAATGTGCAACTACGAAGAGTGACCTGTGTAACATATATTCCTATCTTTATGTGTTGAAGTTTGCATCAGTAACGTAATTGAGGACAGGAAAAAATAGTTGCTTGTAATTTACGAAATTTAGGATGACCTGCCAATTATTTTAACGTATTTTCATTAATTATGGTTGCCATAAAAAGGTTGTATTTGAAATTGATATTAGGTGTATTTTATAAATATTGTCACCTGTAACTAATATTGTGCAAAACCATGACGCTTAGCCTATGTTCTAAATAAGCTCATTTAATTTATTGGATTTGTGATAAATTGCTAAACTCCCAATCTATACATAAACACAGAGTTCATATATCCTAATTAATTGTGAATAGAGGATCGGTCAACGATTAATCTATTAAAACGTGTAACAGTCGTGTAATATAGCACTATAGTACCAACTATTGAATCAACATAAATCTATACACACCGCGTCCTTTCCCACCAGTTCTTTCTGATCGCCAGGATTGGCGTTGTATGTACCCGTAGGGGTGTTATTTTGCTGATTTTTTGCAGTTGCTTGATTTTTCTTTTCGTCCGACTCCTTCAGTTCTTGTGTTTTCATCTGTAAATAATTTATAAAATCATTTAAAATGGCAATGTTCTTGTCAATTTTTTCCTTTCTCTCCTTGTCTTCTTTTTCTTTCTTTCTTTTTCTTTTTTCTTGTCCCTCTCGTTTTTTTTTCTATTCTTGCTCTTATACTCGTCTTCGTCGCTGTCTGAGACTTCGCTATCATCCTCATCACCTTCTCTGTCATTTTTATGTCCCTTACGTTTGTTTCTCTTCCGGCTTTTGCCTTTTCTATGCTTTCTCCTACCTTCATTTCCCTCATCATCACATTTATCTGTGTGCATATCGCAGTCATCCCTATGCATATCACAGTCATCCTTGCGTTTATTGCAACTGTCCTTGCTGGTTCCATATATGCTATTGCTGCTACACTCATCTCTGCACATTCTTTCTTTGCGCACCTCACATGCATCCTTACCGAACGGTATACCTTTTAGTGATTCCAGGCATTTGTCATCGATGCAGCAGACCTCGACATTACCCAATGTTTTTTTGCAGTTGTTTATGATAGAGCGCAGCGATTTTAAAGCCTTCTTTATACATTCTTTAAACATGTCTTCATCATCCGTGTTATCACATGGATTTGCAAACTTTTTATCGTTGATTGGCTGCAGGGCATTCACGTTTAGCGGACTGTTCAGGGGCATTTGTGCCTGCGGTACCGAAGAAAGTTGATATGAGCTGTTCGTCTGTGGGTAACTATACTGTGCTGGCTGAGGTGTATACGTTGCGCTTGCTGCTCCGGTGTACACAGGTTGTCCAACTTGTACGTAGCTGGTGGGCGTGTACGATTCTTGTGTACCGCCTGTATTAATGAATGGTATGTTGGAGGGCAGTTTATCGAACTGCCCGGTCGATCGACAGTTCAGCGCTTCCTTGTTGGGCGTATACATTCCAGCCATTATATTACTGTCCGTGAAACCATTGGTGTTCACGTCATTACATATCATTGCATCACCTGTTCTTATAAAATTGTATAGAAATAGGAATATCATTCGTTCTTTTTTGAAAACAGTGTAGTTTTATTTAACTGGATTATTTATTTTCATGGTGAAACATTTTATGTATCAAAATGGAGAAAAGGTCCTTAGTGATGAGGTTGTAGAGGATGATTGGATTGTGCAAACAGGTGCGCACCATACATGGGTGGATAGCTAAATTAAATTATACAGGATACATGTGGTTGCTACCATTATGGTTTTCAAGAAAAATGAGAACCGGAATTTGTAAAAATGCCTTGTTACCTAATATTTTTTTGGATGTATTTTATTTGTGAGACATTGTGATCAAATATCATGAACAGGTGAGCGTGGATAAACCAGTGAGAATAAAATAATATTTTATGCGACACACTTATACAAGAATTACATTGTGGTAGTTGTTTCAAGATATTTAATGAGAATATAATGCCAAGAATGGATAGGTAAGGTAATAAAAAGAGAAATGAAGCTGTAAATCAACGGTACGCCGAGAAAAAAACGAATAAAAGAATAAATTATTTCATCGATATCGCGTTAGAATACATTCCGTACTGAAAACGGTATGTATATAACTAAAAATGTAAAACTGCTTTAAAAAGAAATTTAGATCCGGATGAAACAATTTTCTGAAAGAATTGTTTCGTAAAAGTGTTAAAGCTATCTAATCCCCATGTCAATATTAAGTAAAGTATTTTACTGAATAAAAAGACGATCTGTTTTAGAATTTTATTTTATAGCTCGGTAATCCTTAGTTGTAATCCTCAATACGAAGAAGTGATTATTCAACTGGAATTAGTTATGACATATAGCTAATCCAGTTTCGTTTTAGACGTTTAAGATTTGGTTTACGCGTACAAAGTAAATAGCCACAATTACAGTTATTATTTATCTACATTTAGTTCTAAAACTAGATCGAAACGGCTGATAATTGTTTATTCGTCATATTTCAAAATTGTCAAATATTTTCTGATTATGGGTAGCTACTTTGACAGAATCAATAGCGTGTTTTGCCTTTGTCATAATAACATATGTTGGCGTATAAAACCCCGATTAAAATAAAAATCTGCTTTATACATTACTAATTTGCGATTAATACTTGATTTAAGCTTGTATACGGTATAAAATAGAGGTGTGATTGGTTAGAAAATAAATTAATACGGTACACTAGTGAAGACCGTATATTGATATGTGCTAGTACAAACAATTTATATCATTAATTCGTTATAAAAGCAAAAATAATATCACTTCATACGTTATAAAGCATGGAGCACGGCTAGCTGCAGTACTTAGTTTTGTGAAATGTTTGAGATTGTTGATATTAAAAGAAGAATTAAGTTGAATTGTTTGCAGATAATAGAGAGTTAATAAAGTGAACATTTCCTACACACCTGTTGATTAGAGCCACCAAACAGAGATAAAGAAATTGAGAAAATACTTGAATTATTAAAGCGCTTATACACATATTATTTGGTTCCTGTGATATATTTCCATATTGTTGCTGGTTTCATAAATATCGTAAGTTAAATTCTTATTGCACGATGAATTTTCTAGCTCATTTCTAATGTTAAGTTGAATATAATCAATTAATTACAAAGTTTTATAGACCTAATATCCTTAACTGTGATCGGAATTGGTTACATTATAGTGCACACATCTTTGTGTACTTGAAGAATAGGTATCTTATTTAAGACAGATTATTCACGATTCAGAAACAACAGTTCACTGATAATGCCAATATGGCAAAAATATGGTACTAAACGTGACAATTTATTGATCACATTGTTATTTACGATCGTTCTTAGATTATACTGGCCAGATAACACTCACTATACAGTTCTAAAGTTAGCGAGTGGAAAAATGCTAACCGAATAATGGTATAAGGGCGCACTGCAGAAAGGAATTTGTGCACAACACATGTTTTATGTAAGAATTGAATACAATTCTTTGCTTTGAGTGACCGCACATAAAAATTTGAATACAACAAGAATTGCTGTGGACACATAGATATATACATGTTTAAGTTAATTTTTAAATCCACCAAATATTTTATCTAAGCTTTTAAAATTTTGACGAAAAAAAATCCATCCATATTGTGGATATGTGGAAATATTCTCCTTGCATATTTCATTTTAGCATCGAAAAACATCCCTCTAAAGGCAGTAAACCCTCTTTTACCAACGTTGCCTTCACATTCCAGGATTTTTGCATTTTTTCTCTTCCGAAGGAGATACTCTACTACGCATTCATTCTCGTCAGCCAATACGCTACATGTGGAGTAAATCATTATACCATTGCCCTTTAAAGAGTCAAACCCCTTTAGTATCAGCTTCTTCTGAGTCTCAGCATACCGTCTAAGATCATCCTCGGCAAGTGTTTTGGCTTTACCATCTTTTGAAATCGTACCTGTGCCAGAACAAGGCGCATCAAGAAGTACACGGTCTACTTTTTCTATTTCAAGCTCCAAAACGTTCATATTTATCACTACGCTGTTTTGCACGCCCATTCGCAGCAGATTGCCTGCCAAGGAAGAAATACGATCAGGATTGTTCTCTACCAAGTACAACATTCCAGTATTTTTCATCATTTCAGCAATAAAAGTGCTTTTACCACCTGGACTAGCACACATATCCAACACAGACATATGCTCTTTCACGTCTAAGTTTATGACGGATAAAATAGATGAGGCGCCCTGAATGTAGTACCAACCATCCAAATACTCTGGAGTGGCGCCAATGGGCACCTTGCTATCGTATATAGTAAGACAATTATTGTAGAAGTCCAAATTCTCGATCGCCATTCCTCTTTGCGATAAATTTTTAGCAAGTTCTTTTTTGGTAGTCTTCAGGGTATTAACGCGTATCACAACTGGTCTTTTCTTCTCACTCTCTTCAAGAAAAACTATGCGTTCCTCTTCATTGAACATATTGGCAATTTTTTCTAAAAAAAACGGTGAGCATGAGCTTTGCATTAGGGGATAGGCAATTATTTTGGATAATATAGCTTCAAACTAAAAAATTGTAATGTATTAAGCTTCACACGCTGTTTCATTATGTGGTTATAAACTGCAAATAACATCGATCGATCTATTTTTTTAACCAATGGTTCATATAGTCATATTTAACATTATCTTACCGTCTAATTTCCCTCCAAATATCATCGATACAACCAAAAAGAGACAGTTAGGCGACTGATTGGTCAGTTCTGTGAAATAAATTATTTGACCTTTCGAGAAAAATAAAAAATTTTGTTTCACGTATTCGCACTGCATGAAGAGTCTAAAGTTGTTGTACAACTCATTCTTTCTGAGATGCACTTAGTCATCATTTACAAACAATATTTTCATCCTATTTTTATTTATTCAACCCCTACTATTATTTGGTTGGCTGTTTTTACGAACACCACCACGTCCTCCAATCAAAATGCATGAAATAAATAACATATCTGCACTTTTAACTTTTGTTTGATGTCCTCAATATTGTAACAAATTGCGAAGACATTCACAATATATTGAGGTGATTTACCAGAAAAAGAATAAAATACGAAGAAATGGATGTAGAAGTGTGTTTTTGGTCAGTGTGACAGAACATAATATCACAGTTAAACAGATGTTTTGGTGAACAGTTTGTATGTTCTTATCATCGACTAACATTCATTTTTCTGGAAGAATCAAAACTATAAATAAGTTAAGAAGTCGATGTATC